TGCAATTTTTCTAAAATGAATCCATTATCCAAGTATCTCAAATATCTTTTACTTCTGTTGATCTTTAATGTAAATGTCAAAACTTTTTTTTTTTTTTTTGTATGAATAAATGTCAAACTTTTCCTTCGCGTTTGTACGTTAAAAGTATTTTACAAAAAGCTAAAGAGTTTTACAATTTAAAGATATTTTCTTTTGAAGTATTTTACAAAAAGCTAAAGAGTTTTACAATTTAAAGATATTTTCTTTTGAACATCTCACTTTGCTTGTGGTTTGCATCCGGATGGTGACGCGGCATTAGCATAAACTACTTGGCTATATGGCATATAAGATTTATGAATTTTGTGAGAGGTTATTCGTCGGTAAACCCTGCATGTTGCTGATTTTTAGTAAACTAGGATAGTGATATGTTGTATTTTATCGGTTTTGAATCGTTGTTTCTTGCCTAGACTTCTTTTACGAGTGTTTAGCGCCCGCTAAGTTTTCTGTCATTTTACAAACTCAAAAGGATGAAAATTTTTATATATGTAAAAGCATGCGGCATAGCGCATGTACTCACCTAGCTAATAGGATTAATGATTTCATAAACACCTTTAATAAAACAAAAACACAATTCCTGCAGGTTGCTATTAAATTCTCACCAGCAAAAAAGATAAAGAACCAAAACGATGGCTCGACACAATCAACCGCAACCAACACTTTCTAAATGTCAAAGATTTAACAATTACAATCAGAAGATTTGTCAAGCTAAGTTGAAATTTTGCCATGTTAATGTTATAGTACAAATATTGTTTAATTTTCTGATGTTCCTTTCAAATACTGAATTAGCTTCTAGAGATGTTCCATGGTCATTGTCGTTTTCTTTCCAATTAATCAAACTTAGCTTATAAACATCAATCTCTGTAATTTTATGTTGCTACATTGTGGTGCTATGCGTTATAGACTTCAACTGATCCTTATGTAATTACCACACAGGGTGAACCTGAGAAACCAAATAATATTGCAAAGGTTATTGAAATGTTTGAAGCTGATGATGGGGAGCCTTACTGTCGGGTTCGATGGTTTTACAGACCAGATGATACTGTGAGATGTTATTATGTTTTGAGTTTTCTAGATTCTTTAGTACTAATGATTATTGCTCCTGCTTCTTTAGAACTAAAGATTAGATTCTTAGTATAGTATTTATGTCTCTCATGTGTGTTCTTTGTATTCCCTAGGTAATTGAAAGACTTGCGAATCTTGTGCAAGAAAATAGTGTTTTGATCAAATATTGAGGACGGTAATCCTCTTACTTGCATTTATTCGAAATGCAACATTGCAAAAGTCCCATTACCAAAGTATCAAATACTCTGATTTCAGTTGGCACAATGTATGAAAAGTTTGGTGATTTGGCTTATGAATGTATTTATCTAGACTAATTAACATCATAGTTGTCTATTCTCAAACAGTTGGAAGCTCTCATTGATGTTTTTAGTTTCTTGTTTTAGGTTGGTAGGTTTCATAATATAAGCTGCAGAGTTTCCAGAGAGAATGGGATTATGGGAGAGCACGTGTCACGTTTGTCAGGTATTCATTCGATTATCAACCAGAGAGATGACATTAATTCTTGGTTTAATTGATTTGGTGTTTCTCTAATTAAATTAATCAGCTCCGGTTTAATAACTAAACCAAACCAAAACTACTAATTTAATAGCACCACGGTTCAACCCTAGATTTTGATTCGATAATATAATCCCAACTCTCTATCATATATACGATTAAATAGGATTAATTAAGTTCTTCCGGTTTAGCTAGAGATTAAACCAAAACAATCTAATAATTCTACAATCACAACCATGTGACCACTCCTCCAACACCACGGTTTTGGTTCAGTAGTCAATTTCAATTAATTATTATTAACAAAACAAGCATCCACTTCTACGAATACCACAAGCCACTTACGATTATTACGTTCAGTTAATGGACTCACTTACACGTGGGATCCCATGGTTTAGACTGGTTTAGGCTCTCGGTTCAATAATCACAACAACACACATGACACGAGACAAAGAATTGCCGGATTACCTTTCTCGGCTAGCTTTCTCGACGGATCTGCTACGGCTCGACAAGGCGGTTCAAGTTCACGGTGGTTAGGTCCTCATAACTCAATCACAAAACAAAACAAGGCAACAGATCAAAATACAATCACAGAAACTTCCCGCACAAATTACTGTAGGGTTTCCTTACTCTTAAAGGCCTCGACGATGGACCATGACTGCTCCAGTGACGGCAGGTGACATCCGGTGAGTCGGTAAACTCCGGTGACACACGTTGGCTGGGTGGTTCTCCAGCGGTGGCCTCCTCTTTCTTCTTCTACTTCTCTCAATTTTGAGAGAATTATACACATATATATTCACGAATACATGCATCACTAACAAAACCCTTTTTTCATTTGGTATGTTACTTGAGCCTTTAATGGGCTTCGCTCCTCTTTTGAAAAAAACAAATGGCCCAACTACCAATTATTGAATTGGGATGTTACAAATATCCTTTTAACAACAAGCCGTTGCAAAATAATGGTGGGAGAATTCTGTGTTTTCAGAGCTTTTGGAAAAGTAATAATGAAATAAACAGAGGTGATTGATTAATGGGCATTACCGATTAGCGTGGTAAGTTTTATATACCACATGTTTTGATATTTGTTTAAAAATTTAGATGAACGGCTTTATTGACGTCAATGATCTCCTTCAGCATTGAAAATTTGGAATGTCTATGATAAGAAAGATGATCCACGTTGATCATTGCTCCAGAGGGTCTTCTCTCTGTATGGTTTAAAAAGATGTCCGCTTCATTGTAGCCTTATGAAGAAAAATAAATTATGCATTTATGTTAGTGACTCTAAGCATGAATAGATAAATTATACATAAATGCTTCAATAATTTTAGTTTTTCTTCATAAATATCACGGGTTACAAGTGACTTTTTTTTTCCTCGTGGGGTACAAGTGACTCTAAGCATAAATAGATACGTCCGTTTCATTGTAGCCTTATGACTCTTGGTACTCACAACTTTCATGGGAACCTAGCTTAAAGGTTAAGTTCATTGACAATGTAATCATATATATAAAAGTTGGCCAACTCTCTCCATATGAGTGCCACATCATCACACAAGAAGACGACATGTGTCATTCAACATTATTTAAATTAAAAAATCATCAAAATTAATTGAGGGAAAATCAAAAGTCTTGATTAAATCCTCCATAATCCTATTTCTAAATGATTTTTCAAAACAAAAATAAAATTATAAAATTATTTTAATAAATCAAACAAATCCATGTCTCTTATATGGCTATATGCAATAGCATAAAGGCCATGAATGTTTTAGAGATTTTAGAAGGTTTTTAGATTATGTAAAAATAAAAAGAAAAACAAATAGAAAATTGATAAAAAAAAAAAAGATCTCGTAGAGGAATTCTCAAAAACCTATTGAAATGAGATTTTGGATGTTGTTAAGAAATTAGTAAAAACTCTTAGAATTTAGATTCCCTATTTTTAGGAAAACCAATTTTCTGAAAATCTTGAATGGTTAAAAAATGGATTTTTGGAAAAACTAAAACCAAAAACCATTTGAAAAACCATTACCATTCAAGGCCAAAATCTAAAAGTGTTATTTAAATAATTATTTAATTTTTGCTTCTTTTTTTCCTTTTTTTCATACGACAACACTTGAGATCGAAATATCCTATATTCTTGTTATGTGTATTCATGATAGTGAAGGAATATTAGAATCTTAGATATAAAAAATCAAATTATAAGCGAAAATGTATAAATTAATATTTAGAGTCAAAAACGAATCTAACCATAAAATTGTAAGTACATAAAATGAGTCTAATTTTATTAACTATACAATAACAAAAAATAAATAAACATAAATTAGCAACAAAAACAATTAACATATTTATCTTAACAATTTTCAAAACAAATCCACGCGTAGCGTGGGAATTCATCTAGTATTGTGTAAAAGATGAAAAAGGGACATAAATAGATATAGATTCGTTAATATATGATTTTATCCTAGTTTAACATAAGATTTTGGGTATCTATCCGTTCTTGGGATTATTATGGATAACATAACGGTTTGATTCTCTCAAAACTACATCCAATATTATCCAGATGCAAGTTAAGTTGATTCTCTCAAAACTATATCCAATATTATCCAAATGCAAGTTATGTTTTGTTACAAACGTATTAAAATATATTATTTTATCCAGTTAACAATTTTTCTTTTTGAATCTGATCTTGATTATAAATGTTTCAAAATAATTATTTATAAAAAGAAAAAAATATTTTTCTTGAATAATTTTTAATATTGATTATAAATATTTTCTAACTATATATTTAAATTAAATATTATATCCGAAGAATTATTATGTAATGTTGAATAATTACCTGTAACAAGTTAAAAAAAAAAATCAAAATAGTTATTTTTCTGTCGGTCAACTCAAAATAATTATTATAAATGAGAAATATATATATTTATATATTGAATAAATATTATTTTCTTTTTAAAAGCGAAACACTCGTTAGATCAGGTGACCATGAAAAGAAAAATTCAGCTCTATCCCAAAAAGAAAATAAATCATGCAAATACAGGAAAACAATAAACTACGAAGATACAGAAAAGCCATACCAATGTGAAGAGAATCATTGAATAAAGAAGAACGATTGGGGGTAAATTAGTCATTAATTTGGTCTAAGCGTGAAACTGCTTCCAGCCGATGGTGCCTTATGCCACGGGCAAAAAAAAAAGACCAAACACATTGAACAAAACTAACAAACATTCCCTTCAAATTCGGAAAATGAGAATCTCATAATCTATTTATTACACTCCCAAAAACGCTAACAAATCGTTGAATAGAATAATTAAGAAGGTAATTAAATCCTAAACCGTGAGAGAATCTCGAATCTCGATCCTCTCTTAAATATCACTCTTATCTTCATCCTCCTAAAATCTTCTTAATTGTCTCTCTCTCTCTCACAAAAACCAAACACTATCTCTCGAGTATCACAAGGAGATATGGGGAATAATAACGAAATGTCAGCGAGCGAGGTTGCGGCGGCGAAGCAGAAGAACGTCGACGATTGGTTACCGATCACATCCTCCAGAAACGCTAAGTGGTGGTACTCTGCTTTTCACAATGTCACCGCCATGGTTGGTGCTGGTGTTCTCAGCTTGCCCTACGCTATGTCCAATCTCGGATGGTACTATTTGTTGAATCTGATAATCTAAATCTCCTTTATGTTTCCATGATCTGATCTGAGTTTTTTTATGACAGGGGACCTGGTGTGACGATTATGGTGATGTCATGGTTAATAACTATGTACACACTGTGGCAAATGGTGGAGATGCATGAGATTGTTCCAGGGAAGAGGCTTGATAGGTATCACGAGCTAGGTCAACACGCTTTTGGCGAAAAGCTTGGCCTATGGATCGTTGTGCCGCAGCAGCTTATAGTGGAGGTCGGTGTAGACATCGTTTATATGGTCACAGGAGGAGCATCCCTTAAGAAAGTCCATCAACTACTCTGTTCTGACTGCAAAGAGATCAGAACTACATTTTGGATCATGATCTTTGCTTCCATCCATTTTGTTATCTCTCACCTTCCCAATTTCAACTCTATCTCCATCATCTCACTCGCCGCGGCTGTTATGTCCTTAACGTAAATCTCTTTAACACACACATATATTGGTTTTCTTTTATACTTGATTAGAAAGTTAGACTAATCAGACCTAGAGCTAGCGTGCCTTGTGGTTCAAGGCTAGGGATCAAATTCCACTATGGTTCCCAAAACATGTAGAAAACTAGATTTTATTGCAAATGGGTTTTAAGATCTTTGTGATGCATTTACAGTTACTCAACTATCGCTTGGACTGCATCGGTGCACAAAGGGGTACATCCAGATGTGGACTACACTCCTAGAGCCTCTACCGATGCTGGAAAAGTATTCAACTTCTTGAATGCGTTGGGAGATGTGGCTTTTGCCTATGCAGGTCACAACGTTGTGTTGGAGATTCAGGCCACGATCCCTTCGACTCCGGAGATGCCATCCAAGATCCCAATGTGGAGAGGAGTTGTTGTAGCCTACATTGTAGTCGCCATCTGCTACTTCCCTGTAGCATTCCTCGGGTATTATATATTTGGAAACAGCGTTGATGACAACATTCTCATCACTTTGGAAAAGCCTGTCTGGCTTATTGCTATGGCTAACATGTTCGTGGTTATCCACGTCATTGGAAGCTATCAGGTCTTCTTCCACATTCTAGTACTTCTTTTATTATTTGAATGAAGTAAGAATAATCTCATGAATATTGACACTCTCTATGTGGATTCAGATATTTGCAATGCCGGTATTTGACATGATGGAAACCGTTTTGGTCAAAAAGATGAATTTCGATCCTTCCTTCAAGCTCCGCTTTATCACTCGTAGCCTTTACGTCGGTAAGAAGCCACTCCTCATTTTTATACATGTAACTTCATCCTCTTACTCCATCCATTAATCTCATTTTCCTCACATTTGGACCGTGCAGCTTTCACGATGATCGTTGCGATATGCGTCCCGTTTTTCGGTGGACTACTCGGCTTCTTTGGAGGATTCGCCTTCGCACCAACAACTTACTACGTATAGTACAACTAACCCTTCATTCCTTCATTGGTTTATGTATAGATTAAAGTTGTGACTTATATACACATATTAATTTGTAACTGCAGCTTCCATGCATTATTTGGCTCGTTCTCAAGAAACCAAAGAGGTTTGGTCTATCTTGGACAATTAACTGGGTATGTTATTTAGTAAGCAATGATACATATTCCATAGCTCTTGTTTTTCTTGTAAATTAAGTAATAATTTTGTGTGTGTTTGGTTTGTTGTTTTGTGGAAAATGAAAATTACAGTTCTGCATCATAGTAGGAGTTCTTTTGACGATCCTAGCCCCAATTGGAGGACTCAGAACCATCATTATCAACGCCAAGACCTACAAGTTCTTCTCTTAGATCGATCACTTTCTGTAACCACACAAACCAGAAATAAAATCACGGCCTGTCGAATTTTATGTGACTGTCCGTTTAAGTAAATTTATGTTCTCATTTGTAGTTAAGACGCTTGATATTATTATGTTTGGTTTCGTTTTGATATTAAACTCTTTTATATAATTAATCTCCATGTTCTGGTTCTTCGAATGTTGTGATTTCGTAAATTATGCAAGAACGTTCACGGGAATTTGATGACACGCCTAGATGCAATGTTACCATGGTCAGTACGACACTGCGTTTTGTTTTCTCAAACAAAATCTTAATGGTTTATATAATTGGAGGATTTGGATCTGTGCTTAGATTTAATTTTAATCACGGGTTTTTCACCTGTCAACAACACTCTTGATTTGAAAACAAATTATACTTTCTAATACAGCATGCATGAGTGATGAGAATTATTTACTAGCTTCGTCTAGATATTTGTTTCGTTCCAGCATTCATGATTCACGGGAATTATATTATTTTGGCTTCTCAAATATCTACAATGTTTTTGTTGATACTATGTGTTGCTTGTGAAGTTGTGATTCTGGTCACATCAAAACGTCCTTGCATCAAATTCTATCTAATTAAATCGGCAATTTTGGCTACAAAGCTCTTTGATGATTCATATTACGTAACCTTACATAAAAATAAAAAAGTGACGACAATACTAAACCGGAAATAATACAAATTGCAAAGTAAATACTATTTGTTACCGCGTGGACAAACCTAAATCGACAAAAAAAGAAAAAGGATCAGCCGCTCTCGAACAAGGAGAGACGATGGTGGCCATGCCAGAGGATAGGGAGAAGACCAATCCGAGGAAAAGATATAGGATAGTGAATAAATCCGCGGTAATATTCTTTCATCATCTACTTGTTATTTTTTTTAAAAGAGATTCACATGTCTTTTATCGTCACACATCCTGACCCTCTTTCTTGTCGCTTCTAGGGTTCTTTACTTCGAATTCGAAGAGTACCACGCTATGGTGGAAATGAATATATCTGTAACGATGAGTCTTGTCCTTGTCCTGCCTTAGTTATCCTTTATGCTAGGCTCGGCCTTCATCGTTACAATTTGCTCCAGGTTTTGTTAAACTCGCTCTATGTATGCATGATTGAATTTTAGACCAGGTTAGAATTCAATCAATGATTTGCTTTCTTTCTTGCTCAATATTAGGGGAAAACCTTAGAGCTCAGTAGCGTAAAGAAATACAACAAGTCGTCGCATTCTGCTGCTTCCTCTTACCACATTACTTTGGACGCCATCGCTCTTCATCCTTTTGAGACTAAAGTTTATGAAATATCCTATGGCAAATTAGCTTTGTCCTGCCCAATTGCTAGACCTCTAGGTATATTACGTGAATTTTGTGGTGCTGCTTATACAACAAGCAACCCATCTTGCTAAATCATCATTCTCACTTAAACATTGCTGATCTTTATTCTTGTATAGGGGAAACCACCATTGATGAAATCAAGAGATGCAGCAGCAGCTTGTACAAAAACTTCTCCCCCATCGATACCATGCCTGAGTGGCCCCCAGAGAATCCTTTTGAACATTCAAAGCTGGTAAGATTAAGACCAGTGAGTTTTGCTTTTGCTCATGATCAACAAGTAGTAATAGTAGTGAGTGATGTTTTCCATAAGCTTCTTCTTTTTTCTTTTTTTTTTGCAGCTGAACAGTTATGAGCTGCAAGACAATGACTGGATTCGTCTCTACTTGGAACTTGCAGTTGCCACGACTAATAGGGGCACCGTTATGGTTCATGATGATCTGTCCAACCTGATGATTGTCCAAGTGGCTATAGATACTACTCCCCAAGATGTGGATTTGGTATTCAACCGCACAAATTTTGCAATTGTCTACATAATGTACAAGGACTCGTGTGAGGCTCGAGTTGGTAAGGATGTTGATCGCGTAGCTATAGTCAGAAGAGCCTTCGATGAGCAGCGGGGATGTTTCAGTCTTGTGGGCAAGACTCTGAGTTTACCAAAAGAGTGAGCAACATTTGCTTAGCCTTATGTCTCAAACGGCAGCTGTTATCAAGTCCTAGGCGGTTTAAGGCATAGAAATACAGTGGGGTTAGCTTGTCACAAGGCAAGATCCACATTAGAAATACAGTAGTTTTCCTTTTCATTTCTGATTTCAGAGGCTGCTTTGCTATTTTCTTCAAACAAAACAAAGGGAAAGTACAAAATATTATCTGGCAAAGTTCTCTGCTCTTTTTACGAAAAAGTTGAAAGTGGCCAAATACGTAGTTTAAGCAGTGAGTTTCAGATATTTCCATACAGACACCGCAAAATAGAAAATCCGACCAATTGCTAGAAAGAACTCAACTTTGTCTGTTTAACCAAATTGTTTTAACTAAACAAAAGCCGAATCATACCAAATGTCTAGATAGCAATACCTCCATCAATGGTGAATTCCTGCAAACCAAAGATTTTAACCATGGTTAGGTTGCTAACATAATCAGAAACCAAGGTTAACCACCATTCGACAGGAGTATGAGTAATTAACCTGTCCGGTTATGTAACTGGCAGCAGGACTGAGAGCCAAGAATTCTACCAAGCCAGCAACTTCTTCAGCTTTTCCATACCGTCCTGAAAACCAAACCGTTTTGCTTTGTATCACAATATTTTTGTTCTAACAATTTTTTGATGTCTCAGATGCATCCTAATCCACATAAATTACCCTGCAACAAATGTAAAAAATGAAATCTCCATTACCTAATGGGATTGTTCCCAGGATTTTCTTTTCCATGTCTTCTCCAAGCTCGGCAGTCATGTCAGATGCAATGAATCCGGGGCAAACCACATTGACCTGGAATAGAGCAAATTGTCAATGGACCAAGTTTCAAAATCATGTCCAGGAAATTCAGAAAAAAGAAGACAAATATGATGAGGGAGATAGGTCACATACATTTATATTCCTGCACGCAACTTCTCTAGCAATAGTCTTGGAAAACGAAATAACTCCACCTTTAGCGGCAGCGTAGTTTGCTTGACCAATATTACCAATGAGACCAACAACTGATGAGATATTGATGATTCTTCCCTGCAAGATCATATGCAAAGTAAACCATAAGTTATGCTTGTCTTTATATCACTTCTTAATCTTATAGAAGAGCTCAAATAAAAACGCATTTGTCTTCTAGAAGTAACAATTCTGCAAAGAGAAGTGTTACCTTTCTCTTCTTCATCATGATCTTTACTGCTGCCTAAAGAGAGTAAAGGAGTTTCAGTCCCTGAGAATCCGAGTATCAAAATTTTTTGCAGGATTGCAGGAATACAAACCTGAGTACAGAGAAATACACCAGTGAGATTCAAAGCAATCACTTCGTCCCATTGCGATTGCTTCATTCGTATTGACAAGGTATCCCGAGTAATTCCTGAAAATATGTAGCCATGTCAGTAAGGTACTAAGTAAAAATCAATGGGAACCAAGGTTGTCATTTACCTGCATTGTTAACCACAACATCAATGGTTCCCCATTTATCAACAGCCTGCAGAAAAATAGAACATAAGAAAAATGAAAATATGTAGAAGGAATATAAGATGTACTTGATCACTCACGGTTTTCATCATCGCATCCACATCAGCCGCTTTCGAGACATCACCCCCAAAAGTGATAGCCTGGCCACCATATTCTTCAATCTACAGTTGCATAGAGAAGAAATCTCAGAGATAACATGGAATAAGGTGACATTGTACAAGAAAACACTATTGACTGCAGATGACATTTCTTAGTTAAAGAGATGAGGTTTCCTTTGGCAGTGAGAGCAAAATCACAAATGCATTCGAGAAGCAAATGACAACAAGAAACAGAGTAATGAAACATTTTCCAGGGCCAGAAAATCCAATTGTAAATTATCTCAAAACCAAAACTGATTCAAGCAATCATCATTGTTAAACTCGAAAGGTGACACAGTTCTTTTCATACCAATAAACATCCCTCCATAACTAATACCTATGATTTATAGGTCTAAATGGATATCACGGAACAGGAAACAATGAAACTGCTGCAAAACTCAAGCAGCACAGAGTGTTGGGGGAACTGATGAAAAACATTGTAAATTACTTGGTGCATGAATCATGCAAATTGCACTTTAATTCAGGGTGACAATCACCTGTTTAGAAACTTCTTCAGCCTCCTTTGCTGACCCAGCATAATTCACCAAGACCTGCAACAGAAACACAATGTTTGCTTCCATATCAGTATCAGACAATACCTCTATTGGTTTTCTTTCTGTAAAACTAAAACACTATAACCCAGACTAGACACTAGACAGAGAACCAAGACTATTGGGTACCAACAACTGAGAAAATATGTTAATGCCAAGTGATCCTGACCTAAAATCTTCATAACTCAGAAACTTGAAGACTAGTGTTCTGTAAATTGAATGCTTCAAGAGTATATATACAGATCAAATATAACAGCAATGACTAAAAACAAGTCCCCCAAAATTCGGATATGCATATAGACAGTGTTAGTCCTAACCTTACAGCCAGCTTTACCCAAGGCTAGAGCAATTGCTTTACCAACCCCTTTAGAGGCACCAGTGACAACGACCACAGGAGATTCCACTTTTTGAACAACTTCACCAGGTGATTGTTTAGTAGCTGTCGCTTGAGTTAGACCAGTGGAAAACGCAAACAGACATCCTGAAACATATATTCCAATAGTCAACAAACTAATAAAGTTAAAAAACAAATCTCCCAACTCAGAAATTCCCCAAAGTGAGTACCCATTTGCCTACTAACAAACCCGTAACCTAATTTCTCATAGCAATATCCAGGAAATGAATAGCAAAAGAAGCATCAAACAAATATCACCTTTGTCAGTGATGTCTTTCTTGTAAACTCGCTGATCCTTTGGCTCTTCTCCTTGGAGCACCGACATCCCTCTTCGAGGTCCATGGTCTCGATGAGATTCTTCATCATCTTCGACCATTTCTTCATCCTCTTCGAACATTTCTTCATCCTCTTCGAGAAATTCTTCATCCTCGTCTACATATTCTTCATATTCTATCTCTGCCATCTAAATTATATACATACATAAAGAGCATTAGTGTAGCAAGCAACATTGAAATCAAAATATGATCAAGCCACAAACCTTAAACTTGAGATTTTTCTTTGCTCGATTTGGCTTCTCTTTAAATTTTAGACCCAGAGGACCTGTTTTCATGCCTATAGAATAGAATTCGTGAAGGAGATGTTGCGGTTTTTCAGGGCAAACAGCTTCCTTGTCAGATTTTTCTCCAACTACTATCCACATCACTTCTGTAGAAACGTAAATGTATCCCTTAAACCCAGTATCTGTACTGCTACTACTTTTGCATCTCACCACCATTTCCCCTCCAACCGATCTACAATCAAGCATTAGTACATCGTGAAGACCTTTGTATTCATTAGGCCCTTCCTTAGTGGGTCCTCGGTAGATGATGCCAGGGTGATCCCAACCCTTGAATAAGATCAATGATGCGCCAACAGGATGACTTCTAAGACGCACCAAAGCTTGCTCTAGCGTGTCGTATCTAAATATTTCATCTATGTAGTACTTTTTTTCCTTGGGATCACATGGCCTTTCAAAATTGCAGTTAAAATACATCTCCCTCTCTCTTGGTATGCCAAATTGTTTAATAAACGACAATGCATGTCTTATATCAAGCGCATAGCAACTATGAGAAAACACTCCATCATTTATATCTGCATCTTTAGGGAGATTCATTCCATAACTTTTTGATGAACGAATTCGCACAGGTACTGTGGGCACAACGGAATAAACTCTTCCACCCATCCATGCAAAACTAAGGAAGCACTAACCATGTCGCCTGCTGTGTATGCCCAACACAGCAAATGATAACGCTGGTCTCGAATATAGCCTGAAACCTTTTCCAGCAATTTCACAGTTTTTTCCCGGGAGATAAACTTTCTATCTAAACTTTTTGGTTCCCAAAATATAACCATTAGCCCACCGGTATCAGAAAAGTAGAGTTGACTTTTTGGCTCTGTTTTCAAGACGAATTTATATCTTGCTTCACCGAGACAGCTCTCTGCCAGTGCATCGGAGATAACCCCTGATAGATGACACAATTGCGGAAACCTCTGAATTATAGGAGACCTTCTGGGGCAGCTCATCTTGAAGTCATCTTCTGATTCGCTGTCTTGGCTGTTGTCTGAGACATTTCGATGTTCTTCTTCCCTGTGAGAGCTTGATTCTACTGATCTGGGATGACCACTTCGTTTCCGAACATCGGGTGGCGAAGACCAAACAAGCTCAGAATTTTCTTCTCTCATCTTATGCATATCCAGTGTAACCTGTTAATATAGAGGAGAAACGATAAACTACTACTTTTCTGATGGAAAATCAGAACCAGTAGCGTGATATACAATATTAGAAGCATGCATTCAAAGACAATCAATCATGAGACAGAAGACTGAACAATGAACACTAGCCAAAACTTCAGTTGCAAAGCCTGAATATGAACACATTCAAAAGTGAATAATGAACACACAAAAAATCAACAAGCCAGAGAGTCTCTGTTTAGATTCTAGACAGAGAGAATCATCTACGGGAAAACAGGTTAAATATGTGGTTCAAAACATCTCAACTATAAAATATCCAAGTGCTACACAGCAATAACTTTGGACATCAGAAGCAATTCCCAATAATGAAATCATCTAGATGAAACTTTCAGAAGCCTATACGTCCATGTTCCAACCTTTACTATCACCATAATCGGTTAAAATATTTACTAATGTAAAATCTAAGTAGATATCTCATTGTAACTAAAACAGATGCTATGAATTTTAAAACTTGCTTCCTATAGTCAGATTTGCATCAAGACAACTGTTGACCCCTTTCCTTATGTTCATTCCTAGACTGGGTACTGGACTTTAGAAAAAAAAAAAAACTGAAAAGATCCCCATGGCTCTGAAAAGATCCAAAGAATGTCACCAAAGGGATAGGAAATGAAAGTCAGAAAAATAGAAACAAAGAAGACTCCATGTGGTCAAAGATAGGGTCTAACCTTTCTGATTAAATCGGTTATATGTTTTTTCAATTCCTGTTGAGGCTTTAATAGTTCTCCTTCAAGAGGGAACACCTACATGAAAATACAAAATCTATTAAAATGGGATAAGATAAACAAAATCTTTCCAAGGGATTCCTTGCGTTCCCAATTTACCATTAACTTGCTTTATCAGAAAAATTTAATTTTACATCTCGTTCTATAAGATATATTCCCCCCAAAACTTCCAAACTAAGAACGGATCCACTAAATATGCGCTAGCTGTCAGCACCAGTACCTACTCAAGTTGATTTGGGAGTATATCTTGTACCTGGTCTTAGCAATAGAACCAAAAGATTATACGCGATACAAGTCTACTTCATTGTTTAACTCGGCAAGCTAAACGATTAATACTAGTCTAACTTGAGAGTTAAGAATTTCATTAAGTTAAGTCGAGCTAAGATATAGCAGAATCTCAAAAATAGAAAAAGACGTAGAAAAGACTCTGACCTTATCTCTGATAAAGTGTAAGACCTTTTCACGAATCTGCTCATCAGTACTAAGAGTCGCCTCAGTATGTTTAAACAATGCAGTCAAAGATGCTACACCAAAAAGGTAAAATAATGAAACATAAGAAGCTGCTATGGTAATACAATTACTAATACCAACATAGTATATATCTTAGGTTTTGAACACGCCACAACATGCAGTCTGTATTTATTAAGATGGAGTGAGTAACACTACAGAGAGAAAAATATCTACCATAAGACTGAGACAATATTTACTGATTTTCTCAAAGTAGCATCACGGCTATAAGATGAATCAGAAGAAATTAAATTACCCTTTGTATCCTGCCGAAATAGTGACATAAAAGCCTTGTGCACAGCATCGCGCTCCACCAAATCCTCTATTATTTGGATCATATTACACAGAGACAGATGGTGAAAACAGATTAGATAGATCAAGGTTAGATAACAAAAATCTCAGAATTACCAGTATTGAGACATTGTATAAGAACACCAATTATCTTAGATGTAAACTCAGGTGTATCCTTGCAAAACAATGGAAGCCCGTGGATGGCTTGAACTCGTACCTACAAATAAGAAGCAGAAGATACTGTTTTTAGAAAAGAATATATATCACAAGCAGAAAACTGAAAATTGGGTAGAACCAGGTCTTTATCCTCTAAAAAATTAGAGAAACTTGAACATACTCCTGACTCATCTCAATTTCCTGCGTTACATTATAACAAACTATTAATAACACAAACAGAAATAAGAAAAAAAATCATTCAACACAGTACTTTTAGAATGAATCGAGCTTATTTATCCAAAGTGAAACCAAGTTTGAGCATGACAAACTAATCGAAGTTCATTTCAGTTTAGCATGGAACACCTACATCTACCATGTACTTGTGGATAAATCATTTGTGTAAGAAGACAAGGTACATACCCCGACATCCACTTCACCGATTAGATCCATGTACGCATCAAAAGCTTCAGTTGCGAGACTGGTGAAGAACTTGAAGTAGCGTGGAATCAGCTGCGCTCCAAGCTGCTTGGTCTTGATGTTTGTCTTAGACAACTCGATAATCCCTTCATAGTCTTGAACATTCTGCAAACCATGAGAAAACGATAAAAACACTGTCAAACACAAGACACAAATAAAGCAAGCCTAGGAAGAGCCAAAAATCAATCACACAGTATCCATTTTCAGAAACCGATGATACACAAATTCCGAAGCAAAAAAAACCTTCTCAACACAGAGAGACGATTCGGGAACACAATGAACAACTAAATCGAACATATAACTATCGATTTCAAATCCATGGAAAAAAAAACCCTAAGTAAAATAGAGGCGAACCTGAGACTTGTCCGTACATTCGCTCAAGCGCTTGTCGAACTCATAAAGCTTCTCGATAAGCGTAGCTTCTTCGAAAAACTGTTCTGACATTTCTGAGACTTGCAGAAGAAGCTGAGACGGAGAAATGGAAGCAAATGAGTATACACAGTTGGTTTGACGAAAACAGAACTTATACACATGTATTCACATCTCTTTACACACAAAATTGTGAAAAAGCTTTGGTAGAAAGGTGAAATGGACGAAGAAGACGAAGACGATGAGACCGTACACGGCGATTTCGGAAGAGTGTAGAAGAAGGTTGATAGTGTTCGCTCGCAGAATTGCCCAAGGGTTTCTGTGTCTTTTTTGTTGTTTAGCTTGAAGGTGAGAGAGAGAGCAAGTTTTATTATGCCCCTTCCCTAAAACGCTGTCGCTTTTGTTCCAAATTTGTGTTTTGAGAAACGACACCCTTATTTATCAATTCTTTCAAATTTATCCCAATTGTTTATTACAGAGTAAGACGTTTTTTAGCAGAGCGCCTCAAACTGTTAACATAATTCGTTACCATAATCAATAAATTTCCAAGCGGGAAAATTTTCCCTCCTTAAAATCTAGAATTTCCCTTCTAGATTTATAGTCGAATTTCGCTTGTCGTTTGATTATGAGTATGCCAAAATGATTTCCCATTGAAATAGTTGAAAGAAAAAAGTTTTTTGATTGTTTACGTCAACGTCGCTGTGTACTTTTTTAAGGGAGAACTTGTGAAAAAATATTTAAAAAGTAAATGAGATTTCTTTGGGTTGTGATTGTAAAGGCCCACCCGATGGAAGCCCAGAAATGAGGATATTTGTTATCGCGTGGACAAACCTAAATCGACAAAAAAAAAAAGAGAAGAAGCATCAGCCGCTCTCGACAATGGTGGCCGGGGCAGAGGTTAGAGAGAAGAGAATTCCTCGGAAAAGATATAGAATAGTGAATAGATCCGCGGTAATATTCTTTCATCACTTTTACTTGTTAATTTTTAAAAGAGGTTCACACATGTCTTTCATCCTGACCTTCTTTCTTGTCGCTTCTAGAGTTCCTTTATAAACAGAGTACCACGCTATGGTGGAAATGAATATATCTGTAACGATGAGTCTTCTCCTTGTCCTGCCTTAGTTGTCCTTTATGCTAGGCTCGGCCTTCATCGTTACAATTTGCTCCAGGTTTTGTTAAACTCGCTCTATGCATGATCTTCTTCTTCTTTGTCTATGTATTTTTGTCAACCGATTTGCTTTATTTCTTGATCAATATTAGGGGAAAAACTTAGAGCTCAGTAGCGTAAAGAAATACAACCAGTCCACGCATTCTGCTGCTTCTTCTTACCACATTACTCTGGACATCATGAATTTCACCGCTCTTCAACCTTTTGAGACTACAGTTTATGAAATATCCTATGGCAAATTAGCTTTGACGTGCCGAATTGCTAGACCTCTAGGTATATTACCAGACTTTTGTGGTGGTGCTTATACAACAAGCAAGCCATCTTACTAAATCATCACTCTCAACTTAAACATTGCTGAATTTATTCTTGTATAGGGGAAACCACCATAGATGTAATCAAGAGATGCAGCAGCAGCTTGTACAGAAACTTCTCCCCCATCGATACCATGCCTGAGTGGCCCCCAGAGAATCCTTTTGAACATTCAAAGCTGGTGAGATTAAGACCTATGATGATCAACAAGTAGTAATAGTTGAGTGATGTTTTCCATAAGCTTCTTCTTTTTTATTTTATTTCAGCTGAGCAGTTATGAGCTGCAAGACAATGACTGGATTCGTCTCTACTTGGAACTTGCAGTTGCCACGACTAATAGGGGCACCATTACAGATCATAATGATCTGTCCAACTTGAAGATTATCCAAGTGGCTATAGATACTACTCCCCAAGATGTGGATTTGGTATTAAACCGCACAAATTTTGCAATTGTCTACATACGGTACAAGGACTCGTGCGAGGCTCGAGTTGGTAAGGATGTTGATCGCGTAGCTATAGTCAGAAGAGCTTTCCATGAGCAGCTGGGATGCTTCAGTCTTGTGGGCAAGACTCTGAGTTTACCAAAAGAGTGAGCAACTTTTGCTTAGCCTTATGTCTCAAACGGCAGCTGTTATCTAGTCCTAGGCGGTTTAAGGCATAGAAATACAGTGGGGGTAGCTTCTCACAAGGCAAGATCCACATTCGAATATGTGGATTAGTTTGTACATATAAAACCAATAAGTTATTTGGTGCCTTTGGAATGTTTTATCTTTTTTTTTTTTACGTTTGAGTTGTATTTGGATTGTTTCTTTTGTGTGGGTTTAGGTTGTGCTTGAATAATTTAACATAGGTTTGTAGTTTTCCTTTTTGTTTTAAGATACATATGGTGAAGTTTATTTAGATTATAAATAAAGTAAACAGTGTCCCGTTTTAGTTTCCTAGACGTCTTCATTTTTTTGTGTTCATCTGATACATTTCTGATTTCAGAGGCTGCTTTGCTATTTTCTTCAAACAAAACAAAGGGAAAGTACAAAATATTATCTGGCAAAGTTCTCTACTCTGTTTACGAAAAAGTTGAAGTGGCCAAATACGTAGTTTAAGCAGTGAGTTTTAGATAATTCCATACAGAAACCGCAAAATAGAAAATCCGACCAATTGCTAGAAAGAACTCAACTTTGTCTGTTTAACCAAATTGTTTTAACTAAACAAAAGCCGAATCATACCAAATGTCTAGATAGCAATACCTCCGTCAATGGTGAATGCCTGCAAACCAAAGATTTTAACCATGGTTAGGTCGCTAACATAATCAGAAACCAAGGTTAACCGCCATTTGGCAGGAGTATGAGTTACTAACCTGTCCGGTTATGTAACTGGCTGCAGGACTGAGTGCCAAGAATTCTACCAAGCCAGCCACTTCTTCCGGTTTTCCATACCGTCCTGAAAACCAAACCGTTTGGCTTTGTATCACAAGTATTTTTTATCTAACAATTTTTTGATGTCTCAGATGCATCCTAATCCATATAAATTACCCTGCAACAAATGTAAAAGATGAAATCTCCATACCTAATGGGATTGTTCCCAGGATTTTCTTTTCCATGTCTTCTCCAAGCTCGGCAGTCATGTCAGATGCAATGAATCCGGGGCAAACCGCATTGACCTGGAATAGAGCAAATTGTCAACGGACCAAGTTTCAAAATCATGTCCAGGGAATTCAGAAAAAAAAGACGAATATGATAAGAGAGATAGGTCACATACATTTATATTCCTGCTCGCACCTTCTCTGGCAATAGTCTTGGAAAACGCAATAACTCCACCTTTAGCTGCAGCGTAGTTTGCTTGCCCAATATTACCAATGAGACCAACAACTGACGAGATATTGATGATTCTTCCCTGCAAGATCATATGCAAAAGTATACCATAAATTATGCTTGTCTTTATATCACTTCTTAATCTTATAGAAGAGCTCAAATAAAAACGCATGTCTTCTAGAAGTAACAATTCTGCAAAGAGAAGTGTTACCTTTCTCTTCTTCATCATGATCTTTACTGCTGCCTAAAGAGAGTAAAGGAGTTTCAGTCCCTGAGAATCCGAGTATCAAAATTTTAGCAGGATTGCAGGAATACAAACCTGAGTACAGAGAAATACACCAGTGAGATTCAAAGCAATCACTTCGTCCCATTGTGATTGCTTCATTCGTATTAACAAGGTATCCCGAGTAATTCCTGAAAATATGTAACCATGTCAGTAAGGTACTAAGTAAAAATCAATGGGAACCAAGGTTCTCATTTACCTGCATTGTTAACCACAACATCAATGGTTCCCCATTTATCAAGAGCCTACAGAAAAAGAACAAAGGAAAATGATAAGATGTAAAAAGATTAGGGAATATGAGATGGTGCACAGTTGATCACTCACGGTTTTCATCATTGCATCAACATCAGCCGCTTTTGAGACATCACCCCCAAAAGTGATAGCCTGGCCACCATATTCTTCAATCTACAGTCCCATAGAAAAGAAATGTCAGAGATAACATGGAATTAGGTGACATTGTAGAAGAAAACACTATTGACTGCAGATGACATTTGTTAGCTAAAAAAAAGATGGATCAAGAGCAAAATCACAAACGCATTTGAGAAGCACATGGCAAGAAGAAACAGTTTCAAGGGCCATAATATTCAATTGTTTACATTTCTTGTCCCAGAAACCAAAACTGTTTAAAGGAATTATCATCGTTAAACTCGAAAGGTACCACATTTGTTTTCGTACCAATAACAGCATCCTTCCATTCCTAACACCTATGTATTATTTGGTCTAAAGCGATACCCCGAAGCAGAAAAACAAGGTAAGAGCTGAAAACCAAAGCTGATGAAAAACATTCTAAATACTTGGTGCATTAATCATGTAAATTGCACTCTAATCCAGGGCAATGAATCACCTGTTTAGAAACTTCTTCAGCCTCCTTTGCTGACCTAGCATAATTCACCAGGACCTGCAGCAGAAACAGAGTGTTTGCTTCCAGATCAGAAAACTAAGACTAATGTGTAGCAATTACGGAGATAAACCTATTGATCACTATAATGACAAAAGAAACTGAAAGCAATCCTGAGCTAAAATCTTCATAACTCAAAAACTTTAAAGACTAGTACTATGATGCAAATTGAATGCTTGGAGAGTATATATACAGATCAAATCTAACAACAATGACTCCAAAATTCCGATAGTGTTAAGCCTAACCTTGCAGCCAGCTTTCCCCAAGGCTAGAGCAATTGCTTTACCAATCCCTCTAGAGGCACCAGTGATAACGACCACTGGAGATTCAACTTTTTGAACAACTTCGCCTGGTGATTGCTCAGTAGCAGTCGCTTGAGCTTTCACAACTGCAATCCATGAAGAATATGAGAATTGAGAGAGATCAAATCTATGTAAAACCGCAAAGGAAGAGAGAATAGAAATGAATATACCAGAGGTAGAAAACGGCTGTCGCGATCCACATCGTAGTATTCCGAAATGAGGCATCGCAGAGTGAAGCGGAGCCCATTGCCGGACCTGAGAGATCTCACGGTAACCTAGCTTCGCGGCGGATTTCAAGGAGATGAGTCTCGGTGCTGTGACGGCGGTGGCCATGGCGAATCGGTTGTTCAAGTGAATCTGTACAAGTGAACCTCGTAGAGATCGACCCAGCGGAGAAGAGAGAAAAGTCTTAATTTTGTCTATTTCTGCTGAACAATAATATATAGATTTTCAAAAAGCGATAAAAACGAAGTGTGTAAAGTTATGTAGTTGGAGCTGGTGGAATTTAGGCGAGACTCGATTTCACTGATGGAGCTCGATATTATACAGTAATACCTTAAGGGTAATAAAGGTAAGAATGGAATGGATATCCTAAATTTTGGTTCGTTCGGAATCATTATTTTCCCAATATGAATCCATTCTGATATTGATATATTTTGTAAGAATTTTCCAATATTGATATGTTTGTATGAATTTAAAGACAGAGCGGATATTTTTAATTTTTTTAACAATTAAACTCCATATATTAATTTATGGAAAATAATTTTCTTCTACGAGAACTAATCGAGTACCGTCGAATTTACATAGAAAAAACAAAACCTACAAGCTTTTGCATATTTTGCAAGATGATCGACGGAGGTATTACCACTACGAGAGATATACTTAATACTAAAAATAAAAAATTAGTCTCTGTAGTCAACAAAATTTCTCATCTTTCTAGAAAAAAGGCCACTCCTCAAACTAAAAATCATCTCTAAAAAAATCTGAGTAATCCGTCAAAATGAGGATACTAGTCATTAGGATCGCCAGTAAACACTTCATCGTCCACAAAAGAGTCTTTAATTCAGTATGCAGAGGGAAAAGACTTCTGCGTGAATCTTTTATCCTAAATGCAATAGTCTTCTTCCACATGAACCTAAATACAACAGTCATCCTCCACACGAAACAATCCAACCATGTCTGGACAGAGTGGATATCCTATAACCTAAATATTGGTTCATTTGGATTATTATTTTTTCAATCTGCTCTTGATCTTCTGATATTGATATGTTTTATAAGAATTAAATATATATATTTTTTGAAAAAGCAAGTAAAAAAGGACTAATTATTTTCCTTGGATTGATGACATGAATACAACAATACTTTTGTTACAATATTAAATATGAGACATGTACAATCTATAATAGTGTTCTAATTAAAATAATAAAAAATAAAAAATTGGTCAAAGGAAGAAAAAATGAAGGACGAAGAGGATTGAACGGTAGACGTAGACGCCATTGGAGTTTGAAAGAGGAACACAAAGGGAACTAGTCGACGCTTCATGGATTTTTGTCGTTTCGGTTTCATCTTCTTCTTCTTTCTTTAGCACGATTAAAGCCTCACTAGATCCATCATCGGCCATGGATCAATCTACAGCTACGGCTACGTCTCCGTCTTCCACTCATTATTTCTCCATTTTCACGAATTATCCTCTGATTTCCGCCGTCACCTCTTTCACTATCGCTCAATTCATCAAACTCTTCACCTCCTGGTACGTTCTCTCTCTATATCTATGTTGGGATCAGACTCCGACTAAATGCTAAATGTGCCTTTGTTTTCTTGTATCCAATTTATAGTTTAGGGAGTGATCTTGATATTGATTTCTCAACCGGATCAGAAACGGTACTTAGAAATTCTAATAGACGTTAGAGAAGAAAGGATCTTTAATGTATTCTTGGGATTCTGCAGGTATAGGGAACGGAGATGGGATCTCAAACAGCTTATTGGGTCCGGAGGAATGCCTTCTTCACATTCAGCTACCGTTACAGCTCTCGCTGTAGCTATTGGTTTGCAAGAGGGCTTTGGTGGATCACATTTTGCCATTGCTTTGGTTTTGGCATCTGTTGTAAGTTTGCTACTTTCTCTAGTTTGTCAATTGGTTATTAAGGAATCAAGTGACCATTATATGTGAGTGATTTTGGTTCGTAGGTGATGTATGATGCTACCGGTGTTAGATTACATGCCGGTCGTCAAGCTGAGGTTTGATTGCTGCTCTAACTTTTCACTTGACTGGTTTTTTTTTATACTATTGGTTTTGTCGTGATGCATTTGAGCTCTGGTATCCTGATCTCTGGGGTCTGATTCATTTTCCAGGTTCTCAATCAGATTGTATACGAACTTCCTGCAGAACATCCCCTGGCTGAAAGCAGACCTTTGCGGGAACTTCTCGGTCATACCCCTCCCCAGGTATGTAATACAGTTTATTAAATACCTATTAATCCTTGTGATCACAGACCACACACAAATCTCACCTTGCTGAACCATCTCATAGATTACTATATGATCCAATTCCCAATTCTCTCTTAGACCTATGACGATATGAGATTTTTATAGCTGTTACATTTAGCAAGATAGTTAGTGAGTTAGTGGAAAGCATGAGTACAAATAGAGTATTTGAAGGAATCGGTGAGGGTGATTGTGTAATTGGGAACAGTGTTGGGGGGGGGGGCTTTTGGAGGCTTGTGTCAGTTGATGGAACTCTAGAACGAACCCTAGTTTTTGTTTACTTTGGTTGATAAAATGAACTACTCTTTGATTTTTCTCATCAGATTCTGTTTTCCATTTGCTGAGAATTCAGGTCGTTGCTGGTGGAATGCTTGGAAGTGCCACAGCAGTCACTGGATACTTATTTTTCAGGATAGCTACTAGCTAACGGCTAGAACATGCATAGACACAACTCTTCTGCTTCATTGCCTATCGAAGCCACTGGACAGTACCAAAACAGATTTACAACCGAATCCGCGTTAAAAAATATTTATTCTTGTTTAACCTTGCCCTTACCATATGTAAAGAAATCTTGAAACAACACCATTACAAAAATTACGTGATTTTATTTGAAAATAAATAGTATACAAAGGAATTTGTGGAATAAAATTGTATTGTTCATCATTGTTTACCAAGTATTGTGGAGAAGACATCTCTCATGTGCAGAGTAGGATCCAAAGTAATACCAGACTCTGCTCGCCAAGCAATGTGTTGGTCAGGACGGACTAAAATAGATCCTCTCTCCGACATTTTACAAATACTCCACCAAGAAGTTCCTTCACCATTTTGTCTTTTCACTTCCATAACATCGACATAATTTTCCCATGGAGCTAATGCTGAATTGCTCTCCCTTTCAAGACCTTCATCACTACTAGGCCAGACCACGCATACTTTTACATTAGCCATTAACTCTTTAGCGACTTTGAATGTAGCACGAGCTAGCTCATAGGACTCTTGTAATGGCGATATTATAAGTAGAAACTCCACTTTCTCTGTCGAAACAAGATCCAGTGTAGAAACAATAACATCTCTTGTGGAATCTGACAGTATTTTCATATACATATGAGGCAGTCTTGAACCTGGTACAGCACAAGGCACATAGTCTCTTCTGCGACCACTCGGTACTTCGGGATCACCAGCTTCAGACTTGTTATCAGGAACAATGGCTCCCTCTAAATACCTAAACAGTAAACACAGTAGCTTCTGTCACTCCAAATTTGAATTTACATTGGAATATAAAGCGGAAACACATTGGTTCAAACATTAAAGACCACACTCTCCATGTCATGAAACCGCTGATATCAGTTAACAAAAGCAGCCAACCCTAGTTTCTTCTCTTTTTTATTCTTGGGGCAACTCAGACTAGAGTTAGAATTCTATACAGTTCCAAAGGTGGTATTATACCTGAAACCAAGATCTTCTGCAGGAAACTGTAGCTGTAGGCTTTTTCCTCCTTCGAAGATACTCTTTAATCTGCTAAGTCTCTGATTTCCCAGTGGATTGCTCTCATTCAATATAGATTCTGAAAGCTGTGCACGACCTAGTGCAAAGACATTATCCAAGATTGCCTTTTGTAGCCCAGTTGGAAGGATGGAACCAACTGTTTTGTTTATAAACCTATGCACTACAACACCATAGAGATATAATTGCTGTAAACCTGATCACAGAACGATGAACTGAGCAAGAAGACAAGCTAGTTTTAGTTTACCTGAGTTTGCAACTGTTGGGTCAAGGCCTAGCGCTGAAGGAACCGACATAGCTGCTCTGAAGTTCTGAACACTGAGTGAAGTATTGGAAAGGGCAATCTAACACACACAATAAGATACGTGTTAATGACTCAAGATAAGAGGAAAGTATGGCAAGAAAAAGTTAGAAAAGATAAATACCATACCGGCCTACGTTCTGTTTCATAAGTGTTAAGAATCGAAGATTTTGCAGAGCCCTGAACAAGAGCTGCTATTTTCCATGCAAGATTATGAGAATCCTGAATTCCAGTGTTCATTCCTGCAAAAATCATGTAATTTGCTATCAGAATACTATCCAAGACAGCTGATTGAATGTCAAATCAAAATCAAACCGATTCCTGAGGCTTGCCATCACTCAATTCTTATAACTTAGAAAAAGAAACTGAGAACAATGATCCTTTAAGATCAACTTTCAAGTCTGGGGCATCCGTCAGTATCACAATATCTCATCCAACCATATCTTCAATCATAATAGTACTACAATGGAAAATATCCTAAGTTATATCCATCATACATGACAAAACTGTCAAAGAAGCAGTGTCTGGTTACCCTTTTCAAAAAAATTGGAACACTTACCAAAACCTCCAGCAGGCGGGAACCGGTGAGCAGCATCACCAGCAAGTATCACTCTGTTCTCAAAGCCCATGAATTTCTCGGCGACTTCAGCATGCATGACCCATGGCTTAATATCAGCTACATCCAAGTCTGAAAGCTCATGTCCCACCAAATTGAATATCAGCATCTTGCACATCTACAAAACAATCAACGGTCCGAAAGATATGACAAACAAAGTCGCATTTGAAGTTGGTCACAGCTGGGACAGAGATAAAATGACAGAGGTGAATAAGTTTTCACAAGTGAAAAGTAATGATAGAAAATACCTCAGGACTGAAATCAGATAGACTCTGTTGAGGTGGATAGTATGGAATCTGCAGTAAAAAGAAATGAATATATGCTAAGCTACGGTATATAACACTTATTTAAGTACATAAATTGAGATTAAAGTATCCTTGAATTTCTGGGTCGGGCTATAGCTACCTGCAAAACAAATTCTCCTTGTAGAAGATCATGGGCAACAAGAACTCCTATACCGTTGGTGTTAAAAATAAAAAATAACATCCCTGGTCTGCTACTGATCAGGTACTCACCGAGCTCTCTACTCATAAAATGGACACTAACAAGCTTTTGTAGATCTTTTTCCCCTCGCATTTCTATTTCTGTGAGCTTTCTTACAGCACTCCCAGCACCATCAGCACCAACCAGTAGACTACATTGAATGTTTCTTTTCATATTCTTGCCTCCTTTGAGAAAAGAAACAGTTGCAGTAATACTGTCCTTGTTACCATCAATCGCCACACACTCATGACCCATAAGAATTTGCCTCGCAACCACAGCGTCAACCTCAAGACCATCCGACTCTTTGGAACTTCGAACATGAAAGCCGAGGTCTTCCAACCGCTTAAGCAATAAATTTGTCAATTTGTACTGGGAGAAGTGAGCAACAGAAGCTGGGCTGACAATTTTCTCAAAATCTGTACATAAACACCACAAGGACTTGTGTGAAAGGCCTGCATTATTCCTCAACATAAAATAGTTCTACTCTATGAGAACTATTTATACAAGAAAATTGTATGGAAGAACACACCTTGAGGCTGCATGTGATCCACTGTGCCTAGAGTTGAGCCGGAGAGAGATGTACAGTAAATAAATTTTCTCCACAAATCTACAGGAGGCTGTGATCTTTCAATCTCCTCAGCTAATCCATCCAATGCACGGAAGATCTAAGTAAATGAAAACTGAGACATTAAGGTTTAAAATCCAAGACAACCAAAAACAATATTAACCACAGGAAACACAAAAAATCCAACCTCCATTGATCGGTTGTTGATAAAATGTGCTTGTGGATGTTTCGAGAAGCTTGTGGCTTTGTCCACAACAGCACATTTCACTCCTAACATAAAGGTGAGAATTCAATTCGATCAAAGACGTGAACTTAACTTGATAATGTAAGCTCAAAACTCAAAACTTCATATGAAAATCAAAGAAATTAGGAGAAAAATTGTACCTAGTTTGGTGAGAAGGATGGATAAAACGAGGCCCACCGGTCCAGCGCCGACGATCAGAACAGGAAGCTTAGCAGCATCTTCGCCATTGAATGAATTTGTACTTGAAAAGTCCTTGCTTTGGAAGTACCTCACTGGGTACACTCTGATCCTCGAATTGTTTATGCTTATTCGTGTAACCCTCTTGATCAGCCCTAGAATCGCCATGGTCGAGAATCTAAACCCTAAACCCTGAAAATCAATGGAAGGTTAAAAAACTCTAATTTCAGCCCCTGAATACAAATTAATGAAGAAATAGAGAATCTAAGATCATCAAAGAGTACCTTCAGAGATGATTTCTCTCTCTCTCTTTCGACCTTTTACAAGTGTTTCAGAAACGAGAAATCATCTTCTAGGCTACGGCAGTGACGGCGGCGACACGGTGACAGAGACGACGGAGACGCCGTGCAGTTGATGGTGGGGCTTTGATATTATATTTTGTTTTTTTTAGTATTATTTTATAATACTTATTCATACTACGTGGCACTGGTTTTATCCACTAGATTTGGTCCACATGTGAATCGACCGTCAAAAACCAACAGATGTACAAATAGAGTTTTCAAGAATTGTCGACTCGGTTTTGTACTGATAAAACCTGATACAGTCTACTATCTACATTGATACCTCTCGTGAGAGAGGAATAGTTAGCAAAAATGGAGTGATCACAATGTGACCTGTACAAATCTATAGTCTCTATGCAGATGACTTGTAAAAGGTTAAGGACGAAAGAAAAAACAATTTACATAGGAGAGTGCAAAATGTTACACGTCCCACAATCTATCTTTTCTTCTTAATGGTGGATCGAGTAGCTTTTCTTCCAGAGGAAACTGAATGGTCTTGTCATTGTCTTCCTTCTGGAGATTGATTTAGTTAAAGGTTTTACTTCTGACTCTGGAGCTGAAACTGGCGCAGGTATAGCCATTGGTGCCGATACGGTTTTCCTGGGAGCTTCATCTCTCTTTGGTGATGGCTGATCTCTTTGCCTTTGTTCCCTGAATAGCATCAGAAGCTTCTGAGACTTGTCTCTTCCTCGGGGACTTCCGTTCACTGAGATCGAAACCAGAGATGGAATTACTCCTTCTTGTAGCACCATCTGGATACACGACTCGCTTCCCGTACATAGGATCACAAGGCAAGAAACTGCTTGCTCTTGTTCCACCGTGTCACCGGTGTCTAGCACCGTTGCAAGAGTACTGATCATGCCTTGTGTTGATATCATCTCTTCTTTCCCTTCCCGGCTAGAGGCTAGATTTAGTAATACGGCTAATGACTTCTCTATCCACAAGTGGTTACCTGTTGATGCAAGCACTTGGAGGCTTTTGATTATGTTTGATGAAAGGAGAGTGGGAATATTCGGAGAGTAGGTGGAGAGGTTGTAGAGGGCGTGAAGGGCGTCCAGCTTGCATTGGGTTTCGGTTTCCTGAAGAAGAAGATTAACGAAAACGGGAACTGCTTGGCTTGAGCCAATCACGGGCTTGGCTTCCTCGAGGCAGGAGAGGTTTAGATATAACGCAGTTGCTGGCCCTTGGGATTGGGAACAAGAAATCATTTTCTCCAGCAGTGGGATGACCCCTGAAGTCAGCATCAACTCTTTGTTCCTACAGTGCATCCAAAAGAACGAAACAGAAGAGATTATGAGAAGGTTTGCAAATGAAGAGCACCATGAACCGGGATATTAGATACAAGATCAAAAGTGACAGGATGTGCTAACTAACCTGTTATTGTTGACTGCTAAGTTAAATAGAGCCATAGCTCCGGTTTCCTGTGCGGCTGCATTGTTTTCATGAACAGCTGACTCTAGAAACTGTAAAAACGCCTCGACAAACCCATTGGCTCCCATGAGGATCCTGGCCTCTTCATTATCCTTCAGCAATAGCCTGACATTTTCTACTACTTTGCACTTTTTAGCCAAGTCCTCCTCTTTGTCCAAGATTGCCAATATATCCTGATACCCCTCTAGAACATTGATTTCAGAATCCACCTCATCATTGACATCAGGATCATTGTTTTCTTCTTTTTCTTGTCGTTCAGATTCAATAGTACTACTCTCTTCCAAAGGAACGATTTTAAAACCCTTCGGTGTGCACGATCCTACACTATCAACTGACTTTGAATTGGGGGATTCAGAGTCAGACATGGCTAATCTCCAGTAGTTGAGGTCAAGAGATTCTGGTGGTCCAGTAGGGACTGTGATCCCATTCTGCTCACACCAGCTCGCAATGAGACCTTTAACACAGTAATTGGGAGTCAGGGAAAGATGTGGGAGCTGCTGCTGAGTCTTGGGGCAAGAGTTATGTCCATCACTGAACCATTTCTCTATACAGACCCGTTCATAAGTCTGTCCAGAAGCAATAATGACAGGATCACACATAAGCTGCAAAGATATGGGACACCTAAGTTCTTCTGGTGGGATGGGCATCTGTCCTGATTTCCTACTGTTCATAGGCTTATAGTTAATAGAACCAAACTTGGATAGTTGACGCCCAAACGCATTTACACGATCTTCATTAGAACCTTGACCAGTGGGGGAACATGGTGTTGAACAAGGAGAGTCATTCTCATCCATCATCTCACTTCTGAATAGCTTGGAGTATTTTCTCATGAGATGCAACAGGTAAGCCACAATTGACTCCTTTCGCTTGTCTTCTTCCACACGTGCCCTGTCAATGAGTTTCTTTAAAGCACGCCGCTCCGCCAGAGCTGATCTAGAAGAAGTTATACTTAATCTAGTAGCTGCCTGGTGAAAAATTTCAAGTTCAGTGCTGTCATTGCCGTTGTCAAATTTCTTCCCTTGTTGCAATAGTGCAATTATCCTATCACCAACTTCCTTCTCTGATGGATCAAGTAAGAACTTGGTGTGCTCTATTTCACCAACAATGTCCAAAATCTGAAGAAATCAAATATCCAAATTAGAATTGGCCACAAGAAACTAGCATTTTATCAATTAGGATTCTAAAATCAACAAGCAAATAAAAACCAGGGTATGTATGAAATTATCAAACCAAAAAGACAAGCAGCTAGCTATTAATTTGCAAATGGAAAGATTGTGCTGTGAACTGAAATAGACATCTCACCTGAGACCCAATTGAGCTAGGAACAATGTCCTCCACGCGTCTAAGACTATCGATAAGTGCAGATTTTGTTTTCTCAAATTTTAATAGTACAGCATCCCCAGTAATGGCCTGTTCAACAAAAAAAAAGTGGAGGAATTCAAGAGAGAGACCAAACACACAAAAGAGAATAATGTATCCAAAGAAAGAAAGAGAAACTCACCAAATAAAGTTTGCTACACTCAGAACAGTGTTGAAGAATGTTCTTAGCCTTTTCAAGTGCAATATGTAACGAACACAAGGCTTGTATCCCTGATTTACTCCGAGGTCTTGCTTCTTCCAACGACGGGAAGATGGACAATACCTTGCAATAAACTGCAGATAGTTCCTTGCACATATCTCTATGTAACTGCATTTTAGCAAAGAATACGGAACAACACCATCAAATGACAAAAGTTACCATCAAAAGAACTAATGCCGCTGATGACAGATTTCACCATTCCTAAGATTCCCAATAACTCTCTAAACACAAGATTTGCTTACAACTAACAGGGAAAGTGATCAAAAGGCAAAACTGGATTCAAAGGAATCACATTTATATAACATTTCTAAACAAAAGCAATCACAACATACTAAGCAAAACCCCCTTTTTGTCCATTTGATTCCAACAACTAACCAACAAGAATCTTTGAGAAAGAATTATGAATGAAACATATGATTAGTGAGCATATATGTACCTTGGCATCGCTAGCAGCGAACAAATTCTCCTCGAGCTCGCTAACATCCATGATCTAACCTCACCCTGGAAACTCTAATTAGCTAGCTACAGCTTTATGCAAACCTGAAGACATGAAACAGAGAAGGAATCAGTGACGACAGAAGAACCAGGCATTAAGGATATATCCGACGCAAAGTCTTTACCTTTTTGGTTCCAAATTATGAGGAATTAACGAATCATTATCGTGGTGAAAACAACAAAACGAAATTTGATCATTGGAAACAAAAAATGAAAGAAAATTTGATTACCTTGTTCAAAGAAAGAGTCTTTCTTAACCCAGAAAAAAAAACAGAGAAGAAAATATACGAAAACCGGAAGAAAATCGAGCATAACGGAAGGAAGAGAGGCGCAGAAAATGGAGGTGATGAGAAACAAGTGTGTCAGCTCCACAAAACCCGCAAAATCTACGATTAGAAATTGAAACACGAACCAGACACGAGTTTTGGAAACGACAAAAAAACAAAAAGAGCTGGAAGAAGAAATTAGCGCACGTGTGGAAAAGTCGCCACAACAATACCAAAAAACGGAAAACCGAAAATAACGAACCGGGAAAATGGGGACCGGCCACAAAGAGAAAGGCTTCATAAGTAGAGAATCCGTTTAACTTGGCAAATGACTCAACACAAGTTTTGACAGCATTTTTTTGGTCAATGTTGGTTTAAGCCATCATGTTTTGTTAACTAATGGAGATTGTAGTACTACTATAAAATGGTTAGCTAATATCTGTATTATAAAAAGACTTGGCAACAACAAAAGTATTATAAAAAGACTAGAAAAGTGAGCTAGACATAAAAAGAAACTAAAAAAGTCTCAATCAGTTCCAATCACGATCAGCAATTGGTCAAATAACTCAAAAGTCCACCTACTATTAGTTATCAGCTTCAGCGATCATTCACAGAGCACAACATTTCTCAATCTATACTCAGATGATGACCGGATTAAGCCCATCTGGTGATATCAAACCACTCTTGGATGATGAATCCCAGAGACCTCGTGTTATCACTCCTTTTCCTTCTCCTAAACTCACCGACTTGTCTATGGTAATTAACTCTCTATCTTTTGGCTTTCTTCTTGTTTTCTCAGTGGGAAGTTTGAATTTTTGAAACTTTTTTTGTACCAGTTTCAAGGTGAGCACAAGGAAAGCTTGTATTGGGGAACTTATCGTCCTCAGGTGTATTTTGGAGTTCGAGCCAGGTATTAATTTGGAAACTCGGATTTGTTGCTTTTTATTAGTCACTTTATCATATAGGGCTGTTACAGGGGATTTGTATTTCTGTCTTGTCATATAAGCTCTAAAATAGCTAGTGGCTCTTCTTAATGCTGGAAAATGGAATCTAATCACTCTCCTATGTCATGTGAAACTCTCTTTCTTTCTTGTATAAGCTACTAAGTTTTTGTAGATGACTATGCAGAACTCCTAAGTCACTTGTTGCTGGATTGATGTGGCTCGTTATGAAAGATGGGAAGCAAGTTATGAGGCATTTCTGTGAAAACTCTGCCGATCTTAAGTCGTTTGGCTGGAGAGAACACAATGGAAGAGATTTTGGGCGGCAAGAACTGTTTGAACAAGATGTGGTTTTGGAGACAAGTTTTGTCAAGTCTAAGGAAGGCAGCCTTGGCTATGGAGGAGATTGGTCGATTCGAATCAATGTTAAAAATATGTTGAATGATGATGAAGTAAAGAGAAGTGCACATCTCTTCTTCTATCTAGCTGACGATGGTGGCAATGGTGTGAATTTAGGCAAAGATGTATTAGAGCTTAAAGAGAGTTCTGTCCTAGCTTCAGGTTCACGTCAAGATGTAGGAAACTGGCAGATGCACTTAAAATCACAGGTAACTTTTGATTTGAAACTGCTTTTGAGAGATCATAGGTTCTCATTAATTAGTTACTATCTTTGCAAGAAAATAACCATTTTAGCTACGCTTCGTCTGCAGAATCATCTTGAAACACATTATTGCGGTTTCAAGATGCCTGACATTGTCAATCTCTCTAATCTTGTTCAGCAAAATCTCACTGCACAGGTTATATTTTATATCTCAGTTTTGCTAGTTTCCAAAACTGTGTTTTTGGTAACCACAATGCTTATATGCCTCTTGGCTTGTATATTTTCAGAAAGGGAAGTCTGGACGATTTCAGCTCTCTGACACATCTGAGGATTCTTCAAATATTTATGTTTTTCAGGTAATCAGTCTTGATCAAGATATATGAATAAAGACTTATTTAAAAACAAAAACAGCATCCCTAAATAACTCATATGACTTCTTCATCCGCAATCCTCATTTTGCCATGCAGATTTCCACGACGACCCAATCTACTATAGATATTGCATTTGTCTCTGGGATAAGAGAAGAAGCTTCCAACATGGAAAAGCGTATAATGAGTCTTACAGGTTTATAAGCCTCCTGTTATTTCAGCATCATTGATCATCGGTTTACATTCACTGAACAATCAATATGTTTATAGTTTTGGATAGTGGACACCATTCCACTGTTGTAGGTCTATGAGCAGAGTTTCTATATAAGAAAATGTTTTGTCTAACACCATTTCCTTTCAAGATATCTAATTTTGATTAGCTGGTATCGATTCTATCTTGTGTACTTCTATGACTTTTAGCTAAGTTTCCGTCTTTCTTTTGTGTAGGTTTGCCACTCTCTAGTCTACTTGAAGAGAAACATATAGAATTTGATGCAAAGTTCAAGAAATGCTTCAACCTTTCTGAAAAGGTGTGATTCTTCTCTTTTTTTTCCTTAACACAAAAAAAACTTCAGACGATACTATAATAGCTAATCTTTAGCACATGGAAAGATCTACTTCTATGAAGGAATTCTTTTGCACAGTTATAATGAATCTCTCTTCATGTGACTCCAGCTTGATCCTGAAACTTTGTTGGTTGGTAAAGCTGCAATTGGGAACATGCTTGGAGGCATTGGTTACTTCTATGGTCAATCAAAAATTCATGTTCCTAAAAGTACTCTGGTGAGGTTCAGTTCTCTTGCTTTTTTCACTCCAAAAACAGATTCATAAAGTTAACAATGTTCAGTTGCAGGATACAAGTGAGGATGATTTCTTGCTATATTGGCCAGCTGAGCTATACACAGCAGTTCCAAGCCGGCCCGTGTTTCCTAGAGGATTTTTGTGGGATGAAGGCTTCCATCAATTGTTGATATGGTTAGTCATTATAGATCACTGAATAGGCTAAACCATTTCTTGATATGTTTACTTTGAGTATTGTTCTTATAAGATATGATCATTCTTTGGATTCAGGCGCTGGGATGTCCATATAACCTTGGAAATTGTTGGAAACTGGTTAGATCTAATGAATATAGATGGATGGATTCCACGTGAGCAAATTTTGGGAGCTGAAGCTCTCAGGTTGTTATATATATATACTCTCTTACTAACCTCGGAAATATTCATCATGCATTATTGTTTGTTGCTATTATGGATTCTAACATTTGTTTGTTGCAGTAAGATTCCAAAGCAGTACGTTGTTCAGTTCCCAAGCAATGGCAATCCACCTACACTACTTTTGGTGATACGCGGTAAGAGTCTTCTCGTATGTCTTTTGATTATACGATGTAGAGAACAGGTTTCAAAATCAAATCAACTACATGTTGACATTCCTTGTATATTTATCCAGATCTGATCAATGGGATACGGGCAGAGAAATTTAGCAAGTCAGAAAGAGATGAAGTCTTGTCATTTCTTGACCGTGCTTTTGTACGGCTAGATGCATGGTTTAAGTGGTTCAATACTTCCCAGATAGGTAACAACATGGAGTCAATACCTTACAGAGTTGCAGGATGCTTTCACTCTTCAACTGCTCTGTGCTTTCACACATTGAGTACATTAGTCCTACATTGAATGTTTTTGTATATTTATGACTTGATTAAACACCAGGAAAGGAGAAGGGAAGTTACTATTGGCATGGGAGAGACAATATAACAAATAAGGAACTAAACCCTCAGGTACTCTTTCTTGATCCTTAACTAAAATGTTACTAAAGTTTACTATGTGAATTTTTCCTAGCTTCCTTTTTATTTAGTTGGTTTACCACTCTATTCTGCTACTTGTATAACTGAGAATTTGGTAGATTAATCAATAGACTTCAAAGATACCTGATGCCTTAAGTTTCACAAATTCCGCAGTCTCTTTCCTCGGGTTTGGATGATTATCCTCGGGCTTCACACCCAAGTGAAGATGAGAGGCATGTCGACCTCAGATGTTGGATGTATCTTGCAGCAGATTGTATGAACTCCATCCAAGAGTTTATGGGGAAAAAAGACAGACTTGTAACGGTTAGAAGAACATGACATGAAAATAGACTACAATCTCTAAATTTGTTCATCACATATATTTTTTGACACTGTATCCTGCAGGAGGATTACAGCTCAATTGCCAAGCTGCTTTCAGATTTCAATCTTCTGAATCAGGTTTATATTTTTAAATGCAAATGCCTACAAGGCTACCCTTTTTCACTTTTGTAATTTCAGACAAGAATTGCATGATCTCTTGTACTCACTCTCCTCTCTTCTTCAACAGATGCACTATGACCAGGACCATGGGGCTTACCTTGACTTTGGTAATCATACAGAAGAAGTAAGGAAATTTGAATGAATTGTGTCGCAGAGAAGCCTCAATATCCACTGTCATGATAGTGAGAATTTGTTACTGAATCATATATGCTATGGTTTGATTCCCCAGGTTCGGTTAATCTGGAAAGAAGTAATTACCAAAGATGGACGTTTATCTCGAGAGCTTGTAAGGGAGACATTTGGGAAGCCAGAGCTAAGATTGATTCCTCACATTGGTTACGTCAGCTTCTTTCCCTTCATGTTTAGAATCATCCCAGCTGTAAGTTATATATTTTTGCATTAGTATCAAATATACTCCATTATCCATATGGTTGTTGAAACCCTAGTGAAGGACTACATTAAACTAAACCTTCACATTTTTGGTTGCTTGATGAAAGGATTCTTCAATACTCGACAAACAGCTCGATCTCATTTCAAACAGGAACATCGTATGGAGTGACTATGGACTACTTTCACTTGCCAAAACTAGGTGAGCTTGCTAGAACAAACATACCTGAGAATTTTCATTCTTCCGCGATTTCATAAACACTCATTTGTCTTCATGCAGCTCTTTGTACATGAAGTATAACTCTGAGCATGAAGCACCATATTGGAGAGGTGCTATATGGATGAACATGAACTACATGATTCTATCTTCCCTGCACCATTACTCTACAGGTACTGTACATTTCTGAGCCCCCTACTTCACTACCAAAAACTTTGTATAACCCATCAAAATTTTCTGCAGTGGATGGACCATACCGCAGCAAGGCAAGAACAATATACGAGGAACTAAGGAGCAATCTAATAAGGTATGCATGCTTGTATTAGGTACAGTTGAAGTTGAAGATATCTGAGTATATATGGCCTTACCTATATTGTGTTGTTGATGCAGGAACGTGGTTAGAAACTATGACCAGACTGGATATATCTGGGAACACTATGATCAAACAAAAGGAACTGGAGAAGGTGCACGTGTCTTCACCGGCTGGTCTGCACTTATCCTCTTAATCATGTCCAAAGAATACCCTCTATTTTAAAAACCGTTTTGATTACCAACATTTGTAACATTGAACATCAAACCTATCTGCCCGTGTTTGAGAACAAGATAAGGCAGTCTCTTCCAAACGCTTTAATGAAAATTATATCACAATACATCAAGATTTATAGCTCAGCTACTACGTACATGTTAAAGTTCAAAGCTAGCCTTGTCGGTTCTGAGCATAACAATGTGCGCATCCAGGAGGTAGTAAAGGATAGGAGAACTTCGAAACTAGAGTAATTGCAGATCCGCTTCTATGAGTCTTGAGCCATTTCTGTATCTTCAGCCACCATGATTTCCATATCTCTCATGTCTCGCTTCAATACGTTCCCAAGCCTTCCTATGGCTTCTGTCTCCTGTTGCAATACCTATTTACAATGTTCCAAACCGTTACATAGTGTTCTGATGCAGCTTCCTAGAGAAAAAGCTAAATATCCATATGCCAATACAGAGATTAGTGACCAAAGATGTTGCATATCATACCTCCTGCATATCTATCAAGCTCTGCTCGTCTATTTTAGTTGACCCAGGGAGATAAAGGGAACTACCAGCAGCAATTGAATTTGCTTGAGCACGAGATATTGTCTGCAGACTTTGCACCCTCCTAGAAAGCTCTGCTCCAGGACCTTTCACCTGAGAATCCACACCCATTTTTTACATCAAACTTTGTAAACCTCGAGTAGAAATTTAAATAAACAATGAAACAGACCTGTCTTGTTATTGCAGTTAACTTCCCAGACAGTTCGGCCTCTCCTTTCGTCAAGGGTAACCGGAAACCCTTCCCTTCTAAGCCCTCTATTATCCTCATCACCTTCAAGCACACAAGCCAGAACACAACAGTAAATGTAACTTTACTGTAATCTGGACTCACATAGCAAGGTAAGATCTTTCAATGTGATGGATTCTCTTACCCTCAACATGCGTCTTTGAAGACTCTGCTCCTTCTGTCTCAACCTTTCAATAGATGGAAAGGTTGATGCTTGCAAATGTCTCTGAAGCTGTAGAAACAATATCAAACAATTTGTCGTTTAATTATCCCCTAATAATATGAGAGAGAAAGACAGTGGTGAAATGATAACTCACCATTTTAACATTGCTCTGAGTCGTTTTAATTCTATCCCTATCTGAGACGAGAACTTCATCTTGAAGCTGCAGGAACCCAACAAAAAAATAGTGTCAAGATTCATTTGTCAAGTGCGCTAAATGAATAATTTCTTCACATATCATTGATATCAATCTTCAAAAAAACAATATTTTCTTAAGCATCCCATAAACCCACTTTCCCAAAAATGGACAAGGCACAAAACCACCAAACAAAAAGCATAGAATTTTCACAGGTGATGAAATCAACCTTAAGGCGCTGAGAAAGATCTTTGAAACCTTGCACAAGCTGAGGCCACAGGCGCTCTCTTTCTGTTGAATCCATGCCTTCAAGTTTGCTCATAGCCTCTGCCCACATTATCTACCACCAAATACAAGTAATCCTTCAGAAAGATCTCCGAGAAAATACAAGCAATACACAAGAAAACTGCACATTTCCATGATATAGTAGAAAAAATCAAGAAGATACTCACATCTGATACAGCTGCAGGCTTCACCCGGTACTGTGGTTCAGTCACACTAAACAAAAGATGCTGCAGGACCATGGAAACAACAGTTAACATAACCAGAAAATTTATCACCACATAACTAAAGAATCCAGAAATTTCCACCTAAACTAACCTGAAAAGCATACTTGGGATTCGTTGGATCTTCCTTATAAGCTTCAATGATGGCCTAAATCCAAATCAAGTAAACAAGACTTCTCAATCAATGTAAATACTAGGGTTAGGGATTTTTAGATCAGGAATTAAAGAAATAGCAAACCTGGACGTCACGATCGGCGAGAGAGTAAGGAATTGGAGCAACGGGAGCCATCTGAGTAGTCAATTGAGCATTTGGGAAAGGCGTTTGCTGCTGAGCGGTGTTGTTGAATGGTGACTGAAAACCAAAACTAGAAGATGGCTGTTGCTGAAACAGTGAACTCGGCTGCTGCTGTTGTTGCTGTTGTTGCTGTGGCTGTTGAGATGAGAAGGGAGTCGAGAAGAGTGAGGAGCCAAATCCGCCGGAGGAGAAGGAAGGAACCGACGGCGTTCCGAACGCAGGCGTGGCTGACGGTGTACCGAACGCCGGAGAAGACGTACCAAAGGCGGGTGTGGACGACGGAGTGCCGAACGACGGCGACGATGACGGAGTGCCGAACATTGGGAAAAGGAGAGGTTAGATCTCTGTGAAGAAGAGAGAGAGAGGACTTTTCTATTAGGCAAAAGGCGCCATTCGGATAACTTTAAAACGCAGCTCAAGTGTTCGACGGAATTCTCGGTCCTGCCTTCCGTGACTCAGCAACTGTTTAGGGTTTTGTTCATCTTTCGCTTATTGGTCAAATACTTCATCAAGACATCAACTAGCTCTAATTAGTTTTTTTTTAAAGATACTAACACAAATTTTTGTGCTAATGTCTCTTGGTGAACTTGATTTAACTTATTTATTTTATAATTTTTTTTTTCCAAAACTCGAAATTCTATAAAATATAGTCACATCTTCTAAACCGACAGAAAATATTGCATAAAATCGAGTCATAAATCTATCTTTGATTCTAAAATTTTAGACTATGTTCCTAATCCTCATATGGTAAAGAAACTAGAATAAAACACATATAATGGCAAAAACGATTGTGACTGCTCGTATTTTTGAAAATTTTATCTTCGATAATCTAACTAAACGAACAATTAATTTTTCACGATTACTTTTTACCAGAATTCGACCAAAACAAACTTTTAACCGTATAGAAACATCACAAAAATCATCATTGACATCTAATATTATATGTGTATTAGTTTTCAGTATTAAATATCATCCAATATAAAAATTAGTGAATTAAAATTTTTTTAAAAAAATTGATCATGTTTTGATGAAAAATTGTATATATCTAACCAATATTTTACATTTATATTTTGATATCTAAAAATCAAACCATGTAATATATAACTAACTATAGATTCTCATTTGATACAGTCTTATCACGGATTTATATAAGATGTATTAAAAATTGTGAAAGATTTTAAATACAAACAATCAATAAAAAATTAAAAATATATCCTAAAGAGATTAATAACATGAGAATAAATGATACTATAATTGTTTAGAATTTTTTAGAAAAATAACAGTGATAATTAAAAACTAAAAAATAAAAAACTTGGCGAAGTCCTCCTTAGCCTTTCCTTTCTCGCCCCTTCACTCACTCTTATTTTTCTCTCTCTCTCGATCTCAACGCGAAAAGCTTTTCTTCTCCAAAGGCAAAAATCGAAAACCTGCAAAAAGTTTCTCCGCCAAATCTCTCCAAAACCCTTCCTCCTCTCTTCTTTTCTTCTTCTTCTTCTACTCCGGTCGCTCCTTCGTCTCCATCTTCATACGTAATCTCGAAGTCGGTTGTTTCAATCCTGCCATGGCCGAAGGGAAGTTCGATCTGCCTGACGATCTCATCGTTTCCAAATCTTCTGATCAGTTGAAAGGTACTTCCCTCTCAATTTTCGACTTGTTTCTCTCTTTGGATGTCTTGATGTTTGAATTTCTTCCGCTCTCGATCGATTTGATTGCGTATACACAAATGTAATCGTTTGGTTTCTGGATCTGAATTCCATAGAATGCGGCAGCCATGTATAGTTTTGAATTTTGACTTAATATCTCCTGCTTAGGGTTCTACGATTTCAATCTATCTTTATCAACCTTGTTATGTCCGCTTTAGATGCATTAGCAACTTCATGTTTGGATTTAATCGATTCTATACTTTGGTATCTGGAAAGAAGAACCAATGATTTGTTCGTGCCTCTAATTCGAGCACTAGTTGTTTTCTGACTTTGTATCTGTTTGATTTCTCTGATTTCCTTCACCTATTGACTACTGTGTTTTTGTTTTTTTCTGCAGAATTGGCCTCAGATAACAGCATTCCCTTGTCTCCGCAATGGCTTTACACGAAATCAAGCGAGAGCAAGATGGTAATACTTAATCTAGAAATATGCTATACGTTTCTTTTCTTTTTTTTTCCACCTTATTGTATCAGAAGATGCTATGCCTATTCTTCACATCTAGAAAGTGTCGAGTTCTTTGTTTCTCTGTAACATTTTCCTCTTAATTCTTCATCTGATGTTCTTGCTATGTTGTAGGATGTTCGATCTCCTACTCCTGTACCCATGGGAAATCCAAGTGACCCAAATCTGAAGGATGCATGGCGCTTGGATGCACCCGAAGACAAAAAGGACTGGAGGAAAATTGTGCCTGAGAATGAAACTAGTCGCAGATGGCGTGAAGAGGAAAGAGAAACTGGTTTACTCGGTGCTAGGAAAGTTGATCGACGAAAAACAGAACGTCGCATTGACACTGTCTCAAGCAGAGATATTGGTGACAATAAAAATACTGCTGCTTCTGATAGGTGGAATGATGTTAATTCTCGCGCTGCTGTTAACGAACCCCGCCGCGACAATAAATGGTCATCTCGGTGGGGTCCTGATGACAAAGAGAAAGAAACCCGTTGTGAAAAGGTAGATAACATCAAGGACAAGGAGGAGCCACTGGGTGAAAGTCAATCTGTGGTTAGCAGCGTACGTGCAACTTCTGAGCGGGACTCTGACCCTCGTGACAAATGGAGGCCACGTCATAGGATGGAATCCCAGTCTGGTGGGCCGACTTCTTATCGCGCTGCACCTGGGTTTGGACTTGATAGAGGACGAGCCGAGGGCCCAAATTTAGGGTTCACTGTGGGCCGAGGAAGGGCAAATGCAACTGGGAGGGGTTCTTCAACTTCCTTAATTGGTGCTGGTGCATGTGCGTCTGCCTCTATGTTTAGGTATCCAAGGGGTAAGTTGCTTGACATGTATAGAAAACAGAAGCCTGATCCTTCCCTAGGTAGGATACCGACTGACATGGAGGAAGTTGCCTCCATAAGTCAAGTGGCTTTTGTTGAACCTCTTGCTTTTCTCGCACCTGATGCCGAAGAAGAGGTATGGTCTCCACCGAGAACTTGCTTCCATTGCCCTTTTTCATAAGTGTGGCTTTAGTTTTGTTTATTTCTTATTCGTAACTGACTTTATTGACGGGTATCTTATCTATCAGGCAAACCTTAATGGCATATGGAAGGGAAAGATCATTAGTAGCGAAGTTTACACTCCATCTGGGGAAGAATCCTTTGGTGAAAACTGTGTGGGTATGTTATCTTATCTTTAGCTGCTTGGTCTCTATCTTTCCACCTAGCATAATATGACAGATGCTTCTCTGACTCAGGTGAAACAAAAGTTGATGGTGCTTTGCTAGGGTTTGTTAATGGTGACAATGGTTCTGTGCAAAATAGTGATTCTGGTACGTTCGTGATAGGTATTATTAATTGGGTCTTCAGTATTACGTATTGTTTAGCTAAGGTCCATTAAGGTATATTCTGAATAAAAGTTGAACAATTATTGCTGTAGGATTACTTGGTAGTCATAATGGAGGTCTGGGGGGTGCTCCAAGCGTCTCAAGATTGAATTCTGTGGCTTCTGAAAGTTATGGATCTTTTGGAGCTGGTATTCAAGTTTCTCATGGAAGTCCTGAAGCAGTGAGATCAGTTTTTACTAAGTCCTCTGTGTTGGATGGGAGTGAATCCGTTGTTGGGTCTTTCGAGCAAGAATATATTGGCAAGCTGCAGCAACCAAATATTGAAGTGGATCACTCAGAAGGGGCTATGCCACCTGAGGAGTTTTTATTCTTGTATATTGATCCTCAAGGAGTAATTCAGGGACCATTCATTGGTTCTGACATTATTTCATGGTTTGAACAAGGGTTTTTTGGGACAGACCTACAGGTTCGCTTGGCAAATGCTCCAGAAGAAACTCCTTTTCAAGATCTAGGTAGGGTCATGTCATATTTAAAGACAGAAAGCTCCCATGCCCATATCAGTAACCAAAAGAGTGAGCTAGAAGAGACTAGGTTAAAAGCAAATTCAGACACTGGTTTATCAATTGCACCTGGAGCAGAATCAAATGATTCATCCTCTCGTTCGTTTTCGGTGTATAACAACCCCTCAGCTCAGGATAATTTTCAGAGAAAGTCTGAGGCAGAAGTTTATGGGACACCACCACATGCTGAGGACCGAAGTTTCTTGGACTTCTCTGCTCAGGATGAAGGTTTGTTATGCTGCTAACCTTTTTTCATTTTGTGTGCATTTGTGTGGGAGAACACTTGTCTTTCTTTGGGGTTTGCTATACTTGTGTAGAAGCTTTCATGTTCATATTAATTTCTTTTGTGTTCATCATAACTAAACAGCCTTTTTGTATTTTTTTCTAAATCAGAAATTGTATTCCCAGGAAGAGCTGGAGTTTCTGGTTATGCGTCAGTAAAATCCTCTACAAGTATGCATGATGCTTTAATGGAATTTTCTGGCCAGTCTGCTATTCCTGTTGAATCAACTAAGGCTGCTACTCAAAAGCAGAATGAGAATAAGCTGCACCCGTTTGGTGTGTTGTGGTCTGAGCTAGAGAGCAGTAATGCACCAGTTAACCTGTTACCAAACAGGTCTTATGATGCAATGGGGGAGCCTAGTGGTTCAATAGAAAATTGGCCCATTGATTCCCGAAGAAATAAACTAGTTGATCCCAACATGTCCCTTGATGCTCTGGCTTCTAACCGGATGTCGCAGTTTGAACATGTTTCCAACCGCTTTAGCCTTGGGGATCAACTTTCATCAAATCAACATCACCAACAGCAATTCCAAAACCGGGATATGCTGTCGCATTCACATTTAGGTGATCAAGCTCAGGATCTTGAGCATTTAATAACTCTCCAGTTGCAGCAGCAACAGAAGATTCAGTTGCAACAGCAGCAGAAGATTCAGTTGCAACAGCAGCAGAAGATGAAGCTGCAACAGCATCAGCTGGAACAAGAGCATCAGTTACATCAGAAGCTCTTACAGGAGCAACAACAGTCCCATGCTCGACAATTACATTTTCAACAGATTCTACAAGGACAGACTCCTGATTCAAGGTTTGGGCAGTCCCATGACTTCCCTCGATCCAACAGTGTTGATCAGATGTTGTTAGAGCACCAGCTAATGAATGAACTGCAGAAAAGTTCTGGCCATCCGTCACAAAATTTTGCACCATACCTTGAGCAACTTGCTGCAGGAAATTTTGGTCAATTGCCACATGAAGGCCGTCAGAGGGAACTACTTGAACAGCTACTTTCAACAAAAATGCAATCTCAGTATGGACCAATGCAATCTCAATATGGACCAATGCAATCTCAACATGGACAACTGCAATCTGAAGCAACTCGGTCTTTGGAGTACCAACTGCTGCAGCAAGAGCAGCTGATGCAATTGGCAAACGGAGTGCGGCACAATACACTATTGGAGGAACAGAGACATATTGACCCTCTGTGGCCATCTGACCATAATGATCAGCTTCTAAGAAGTCATCCTGGGATCCACCGTTCGCGGTCCTCTACAGGATTTAGACCACTAGACTTTCATCAACAGCAGCAGAGGCCACCCTTCGAGGATCAGTTTGGTCAACTTGAGCGGAACCTTTTATATCAGCAACAGCTTCGACAAGAATTATTCGAGCAGGGTCTGCCATTTGAGCGATCAGCATCCTTACCCGTAAGTGTATCGGGGATGAATCTGGATGCAGTAAATGGTCTTGGACTCTCTCAGGGTCTGGAGTTGCGAGATGCCACTGCCCACATGCAGATTGGGAATTCTACTCTGGGTTTCAATCATCAGAATCCCCGTATACCATTAGGTGAACCTCATTTTTCACAGTTGGAACCAATGGAAGGACGCTGGTCTGGAGCTGATACACAGGTTGTTGGTGAGTGGGCCGAATCTCAATTTCATAGATCAAATATTGATGCTGAACATCATAAAATGAGGTCAGAAAGTAGGAGAATGGGTGAAGATTCCAACTCATGGATGGTAAGTGGAACTACAGAAGACAGGTCAAAACAGCTATTTATGGAGTTGCTCCACCAGAGACCCGGCCATCAATCTGCTGAATCACCAAGTATGAACCGTGGGGAATCCTATGACAGGATGGCTCCTTCTGGCCTTACCCCAGGGATTCAAACACTTGGCGGCCTTTCAGACCATGGTGGTAGTCTTAACGCTCCATCTACTTTTGGGGCTCGAGCATTTTCTGATGAACAGATCAACAGATCATCCGGAGATAGGAACAATATGGGGTCATTGCACCGTAACAGTTCCTTGCTTTCTGGAATTATTGATGGTGGGCGGTCAAATCAGAATGAAAGTCAAGCCTTCAGTAATATGTTTGCTATGAACAAGGACACAAACGACATCAAAACTTGGAACAACGTGCCGCCTAAAAATGATGGAATGGGAAGGATGATGTCATATGAAGCCCAAGACAGAATGGGCAAGCAAGCAGTATTAGACTCCCTGGTTCAAGAGGAGCTTCCTGTTGTTACACCTGGTCAACATTCTTCTTTCAATATCTCTGGTATATGATTTTCAGAGTAATTGCATCTTTCAAGATTTTGTTTTTTCCCGGAATTCATGGTTTGGAAGGTTGATTTTTGCTTTGTTATTATGAAGGCTTATCCTGATATTATCTTGCTGCAGACCAATACAGTGACAACTTGGTTGGAGAAGACAGAAGGAAGGATAGGTAATTTTGTATTCTGCGTTTTAAGCACCAGTAGATTAGATATATAAAACACCCTGAACTCGCATACCTCTTTATTCCTGGCGATTAAATGTTAAGGTGATTGTTTGTAGGTTGGTAGTTCCATCACATGGACAGGATTCAGTTTTGTTAAAAAGGCCTCCCTCATCCCATTCTTCATCATCGCATGAAGGATTGCTTGAGCGTATGTCTGACACAGCTAGCAGGACAGCAGCAAGTTCTTATAGTGGAATTGAAGGTATATCTATGGGAAGGATCGTTTTTTTCTTTTTGGGTATTATTGATGGAAAATGGGACTCAAGTCTGTAAACAAATATTATCAGGAGGTGTGAGACGGGAATCAGGAGCAGCGGGAAATAAAGGGTCAACGTCAGAGGCCGCATCGTTCAGTGAGATGTTGAAGAAGAGTAATAGCATGAAGAAGGTGGCAGCAGAGTCAACTGATGCAACCGAAGGAAGCAAAGGTGGCGGTGGGAAGAAGAAAGGGAAGAAAGGGAGGCAGATAGATCCAGCTCTTCTAGGTTTCAAAGTCACTAGCAATCGCATTCTTATGGGCGAGATCCACCGTGCTGATGATTTTTAACTCTCTGTTTTCTTTTTGTACAAAATCTTTACATGTAAAGATTAGCTTCTCAAGCTTAGGCGTATAGGTTTTTTACAGAGAAGATAAAGACGTATCTTCCATCACATTGGAACACAGAAAATAAAAATAATAATGGTTTTTAGCTCAGAAATGGTCTGGTTCGTAATGTTACATTTTATTATTATTTGAAGGTTTTTATTTTCGAGTTGCAAAACAAAATTTAGTTAAAGTTTGCTGAAAGGAGCATGCATTGCTAACTAAAACAGCATTTGGTGATTTTCCACAGTAGAAGTAGAAGATGGAGCAGCTAGTGAGCATGGGTTTCTCCAGCGATTTGGCCGCCGAGGCTTTAACTGCCACCGGCGGAGATTCCATCCAGAGAGCCACCGACTGGATTCTCTCCCACCGCTCTTCCCCACAATCCACCGCCACGTTACAGCCCAAACTCGACCGCTTCCTCCGCCTCAATCCCAAAACCCTAAGCCCCGTCGTGGGTGACGATTCCAGCAAGCGCCCCAATCCCGAAACCCAAATCCCCGGCGCGGCTATTGATTCCAACAAGCGCCCCAAGCTCTCATCATCCCGCCACCGCCAACACCAGCCATTGTCGGAGCGTATGCGTCCTCGCACTCTCGACGATGTTGTAGGTCAAGACCATCTCCTCTCACCCGCTTCTCTCCTCCGTTCCGCCGTCGAATCCAATCGCCTCCCTTCCATTGTCTTCTGGGGTCCTCCTGGGACGGGGAAGACCTCAATCGCCAAGTCTCTCATCAATTCCTCTAAGGACCCGTCTCTGTATCGCTTCGTCTCCTTGTCTGCTGTTACTAGCGGGGTTAAGGATGTTAGAGACGCCGTTGAGAGTGCCAAAAGGCTTAATCTTGAAGGTAAAAAGAGGACTGTGTTGTTTATGGATGAGGTTCATAGGTTTAACAAGTCACAGCAAGATTCATTCTTGCCTGTTATTGAAGATGGTAGTATCCTCTTCATTGGAGCCACCACTGAGAACCCATCTTTCCATTTGATCACTCCTTTGCTCTCACGTTGTAGAGTTCTTACTCTTAATCCCTTGAAACCCAACCATGTTGAGACCCTTCTTAGACGAGCTGTAGATGATTCCGAGAGAGGACTCTCCAATAGCGTTGAGGTTGATGATTCTGTCATTGTGTTCTTGGCTAATAACTGCGATGGTGATGCACGCGTCGCCTTGAATGCTTTGGAAATTTCAGCTACTATGGCTACCGCTCGAGCCGGATCTGAGGCTGTTGTGTCTATTGATGATGCAAAAGAGGCTCTTCAGTGCAAACATTTGGCCTATGACAAGGCAGGGGATCAACATTACAACCTCATAAGCGCACTTCACAAGTCTATGCGAGGAGGAGATGCTAATGCTGCAATCTACTGGCTGGCTAGAATGCTCGAGGGTGGTGAAGAGCCACTTTACATTGCGAGGAGACTTATAAGGTTTGCAAGCGAGGACATTGGGCTTGCTGATCCTTCAGCTCTTACCCAGGCAGTTGCGTGCTATCAAGCTTCGCATTTCTTGGGTATGCCTGAATGCAATGTGATTCTCGCCCAATGCACCGCTTACTTGGCACTGGCTCCTAAATCCGTTGCAGTTTACAGAGCAATAGGAGCTGCACAGAAGGTTGTGAAGGACTCGGTTGGACAGAATGAAGGAGTCCCTCTACACCTGAGGAACGCTCCAACCAAGTTAATGAAGGAACTTGGCTATGGAAAAGAGTATATATATCCTCCGGATGATCCTTCTTCTGCGGCAGCTCAGACATATTTACCTCCGTCTCTTCTGCATTATAAGTTCCTGGAATGGCCACACGGTGCTTCAGGTGATCTCCAAGATCAAGAACACAAGCTCTAACCGCTATTCTTTTTTCTTTTCTTTTTGGTATGTGATGTATAGAGAGAATCATGTTGTTCAAGTCTTTGAAGAGGCTACACTTTAATTTGTGGTTTATTTCCTTCATTGAAGGCGAAAAGGGTGGCAACAATAGGGTAGAAAGAAAAATCTTCACTAATTATTCAAGATACAAAATCGAACAAACTCACTTCTATCTCTGTAAACGAAAGAAAGTTTTCATGGTCCCACTCCCCCATAAACCAACACAAATTAAAGAAAAATCTCAGACGTGGATCTATGAACAAAAAAATGTTGATTGATTCTTCCACTCTTTCACTGATCCAGACTTAGGTCTCCCCATTGGACCTTGTGTTTTGCGGCTAGATAATGGGCACCAACTGGACCACGACTGCCGTAAGGATAGAATTCTGGGAGTGTCTTCTTTTCTTCTATCTCTTTGAGCAATGGAGTGAAAAGCGCCCAAGCAGCGTCAAGTTCATCGCTTCTTATGAACAACCTGCGTTCACCTTCGATCGCATCTAACAAAAGCCTCTCATATGCATCTGGAATCTCCTTTGAATACCTTCAACAGAAAAAGGATACATGAAACTAGATATAGGCAAAAAGAACACAATTTTTTTATAAAGTTGAGGATTATATATACAAAGAAGACCTCAAAGCTTGTCTTTATTATGTCTTAAATTACCTTGCTGAATAGAGAAGATTCAAGTTACTCCGATCTAATCTCATTCCTAAACCAGGGACCTTGTTGTTGATTTTCAAATAGATAGCTTCATCTGGTTGGACGCGGATGACCAGCTCATTTGTGGTCTGGTCAAGATCAGTACCAGAGTTCCGGTTATATAAATTTCCAGGCACATGCCTAAACTGCACCCTTATCTCCGCACTGTTTCAATAGATATATTTATATTATTACAGCCAAACCAGAACATTTGCAAAAAAATTCCAAAGTTTGGTACCTCCGGGTGTTTAAAGCTTTCCCAGCTTTCATTAGAAAAGGTACGCCATCCCATCTTGCATTGTCGATGAATAGTGCAGCAGCTGCAAATGTCGGGGTCAGGCTACCTTTTGGCACAGTTTTATCATCAGTATAGCTTGGATAAGTGACTCCTCCTAAGCTGTGGCCCTTGTACTGTCCTATCACCACATCTTGAAGTTGTATTGGCCTCATTGAACGTAGTACCTTTACCTGAATTGATGCGAGGATCTCAAAATACTGCCTTGAAATCAACAAAACTATAAGAAAGGGAACAATAGGACACCTTTTCATTTCTGATATCCTCTGCATCCAAACTCACAGGCGTTTCCATGGCGAAAAGAGCTAATATCTGAAGCAGATGATTCTGCATTATATCTCTTATTATTCCGTAATTGTCGAAGTACCTGAATTCGAAGAATAGAAGAGTATCAAAACATAGGCTTCAACACAGGAGAAATAAAATATCAGACAGAGGACAACAATGATTACCCTCCGCGTCCTTCAGTGCCGAAATCCTCAGAAAATATGAATTGCACGTTCCTGATATACTGCCTTGACCATAACGGTTCAAATATAAGATTTGAGAATCGAAGAACCGACAAGTTCTCAACTAGCTCCTTTCCTAAGTAATGGTCTATCCTGTAAAAATCAACTTTCCATATCAGCAAGGTATCTAAAACCATCATCATTAAACATTTACAATAACATAAACACAATATCTCCACCTAAATATTTGGTCTTCCTCCAGGTACTGCTTAAGAGACTTTGTTAAAGCAGCCGAGGTTTTGGCATCTCGGCCAAAAGGTTTCTCAACAATGACCCTAGTCCATCCATTGACAGATGAAGCAGATGAGCTTGCACACTTCACCGCGTCAACAAAGATATTTGGAGGGATTGAAAGATAGAAAAGGCGGTTCGAAAGTCTTCCACCCTGTAAATAGTTATGTGATGGATAAGGACAGATAGGAAAGAATAAAAGTAAGAAGACCAAACTTTTCTAGTTTTTACTAATTTTTCAAACAAACAATAATAGTTTTCCCAATTATGTATCCCACCTACCAAGGCAACGCCTGACCTGAATTAGCCTTCAGAAAAATGAAGCAGTGATGCAATATGGTTGCAAAGAATTCATGAGGAAGGCAGAAAAATGAATAAGCTGAGTAAAAGATCAATACCTCATGCTCCTTGAGCTTCTCGTCCAATGCAACAAAATGTTCCTGAGAATCATACTGACCAGAATGGTAAAAACATCTCTTGAGAAACTCTTCCATCTTTTCACCGCAGTTTGCCCTGAAACATCACAGTTAAATGTTAGACAAACGATCTCTGACAAAGTACCAAAGAAAAGAAACCATAAGGACCAATATCTTGGTGGTTTTAAAAGCTACAATAATTCACCTCTTATCAATTCTACATGTCAGTGTTTTGCTAACCATGTCTCTAAGTTCAGCATCTGTCATCTTACTCCTTGCATAGCCAAATATTGTAAAATGCTGCAACGAAAAACAGCTTACCACATCAACCAATATAACAATCATCATCAGAAAGAAAGAAAGAGAGGAGAAGGTTTTATACCTCAGGAAGATAGCCTTCATAGTAAAGTGCGAAAAGAGCTGGGAATATTTTCTTCTTGGCAAGATCACCAGAGGCTCCCACCACCGTGATACTAACTGTTGATTGGGGTTCACCGCCATCAGACTCTGCTACAACCTTGTCAGCTTCAAGTGAAGGAATCGTTAACAAGCCTCCATCTTTCGGTTCCTCGACCGGGCTTAACTTGGTGGCTACTGAGCCTAAACACACAATTGTAGGCGCATTAGAGAGCATTCATTTCATGCATTCTTTTGTCTAAAGTCGGAGACTTTTGTATAAGAAAATCTATCAAACAGACATTTATGAAGTACTGAAATCAATCCTATATATATACAAGCTTTTCAAGTTACCCGCAAAGCAAGGCATAAAGAAGAAAACCCAATTGAGAATCCGATTAAAGTTACCATCTTGCGCGACAACAGAACTCTGAACGGACTTCCTCTGCGATCTAACACAGAGCTCGTCGAGATTAAGCCCCTGAGGAGAAGCGTAGTGGAAGGAGAGTGACCGGCGTGGGTCAACAACATTGATCAGCGAAGAAGGGTGATTCGACAAGAAAGGAGAGTTCGAAGTGCGGGAGCGGTAGGTAGGGCAGGAGAGAGACGAAGAAAACGATGACATTTTCGAACTAGACGAGTGTGAGTTATGCAATTAAGGGTTTGGATGCAAATTTCACAATTGCACAAATGAATGATATGAGCGAATTTGTTAAGAAGGACAATTGTCAAATTTTTGAGCCTTTTGACGTCTCCCAAAGGTTATGTCTTTGCCAAATCTTTGTGGTTTTGTTGGTATAGTTAAGTGAAAGGTTATTTGCAAATAATAATATTATTCAATTCACAAGTGGTCTTTCATTTGTCTTTTGAAGGATTTGCAACTATGTATTGTTTCCTTTTAATCAAATGATTTCATCTCATTAGTTATCAATTTCCCTGGATAATTTTATCTATTGAAAGCATTGTGAAATTTACTTGATGGGTGTAACAAACTTAAGAAGGATACTTTTCTTGTTTCATGAAAACAAGAAACAAAAAAAGTATTTTAAAACACTGTATATGTATATAATGTAGGTCAATCATCTAACTGGTAAATATTTTTTCATTACAACCATATCATTGAACAAAACATTTTTTAAAATGCAAAACCATTGTGAATGATATAGCTAATTTAAATTTGTTCAAAGGGACATGAGGCATACGCGCTAGAGAGGTAACAATGAGAGAAAAATATAACAAACATGAAAAAGGCTTCATACTCTGTTTCCTCTTATCTGCGAAAGCCATTAATGAAACAATAAAAAATCAGCATAGAAAGCTCTCTCCTCTCCTCTTCTCTCTCTATCCCTCTATCTAGAAAAGAAAGATTCCTCAAAAATCAGCCATGAAAGTAATGAAGAAAGGTAAAGTGCACCCAACTCATTCTCTTCCACCATCTTCTTCTTCTTCGAATGGAGATGACTCTCTTTCTGTCTTTAAGCTCCTCCCGAGTGCGATTCTGGTTCTGGTGTCGGTTCTCTCGGCCGAAGATCGGGAAGTTCTTGCTTACTTAATCACCAGGTCACTCAACACCACCACCGTCGTACTCGTATCAAGCAAGAAGAAGAGAAGTCATGATAAAGTTCCTCTTTTTGACTGTGGATGTTTCGATTGCTACACAAGTTACTGGTCTAAATGGGATTCTTCGTCTAACCGTGAGCTCATCAACCAGATCATAGAGACCTTCGAAGATCATCTCACTAGCGACGAGAACTCTGCCTCCCACAAATCCAAGAAAAACAAGAGCAGAGCAAAGAAGACAGAGATATCGGAAGAACCCATCGCTAAAACCACAGAACCACCGGTGGCTTCCGATGAATTCCCACGTGAGAACTCACCGGGCGTCGTGAGTGGTCACAGCAAGGGTTTGGCGAGGAAGGTGTTACCGGACGTGTTGGGTTTATTCAATTCGCGTTTTTGGAGCCTTTGGAATCTCAACGCTTAAGAGCATGGTTATAGGTGATACTCATATAGTATCATTAAGAATTTTTTAGTATTATTTATAATATTTGTTTATTGTTTGAGATTTTTTATGATACTCCTACTAAATATGTTTGCATTGGTGATACCGGTTTAAGTATCATAAAAAAAAAAAATTGCAAAATCAAAAATAAATTTATAAAAACATGGATTACAAATGCATTGGTGATTTTTTTTTTTTTTCTGCTTTCACAAAAAAACGCGTTTCACGGACGAATCAGGAGCCGCCACGTCATCCGATACCGGGTATCAAAAGTATCACTGCAGTGATACTGATCAGGCCCAAATTCATTGTCTGATCCATTAAAAAATTATATTTGGACTCTTGATACTCTAATTGTATCACCTATGGACATGGTCTAAAGGGCAATAAGGCATCATCGCTCTAAAGCTTCTTTTGGTTTTCTAAAAATGCTGTTTTTGGAAACCCTCAAAAAAAGGTGAATCTTATGTTAGTTTGGCTCAAATACACGTAATCAAGAAAGATTTATTTTATGTTGTGAAAATGCAGACATAGCTCTCATTACTGTTCTTGTGATTAATTTTCTAAAGGGTTGGTTAGCTTGTTGAAACTGTGTTATTTTGCTTAAGGCTCTGCCTATTCTTTCTTCTTTTGGGTTGGTGGTAACAACCTCACTCTCAATATTTTTTGTTGCTTAGGATGAAAGTTTTGGGGATTAGGTAGGTACAATAGTTTCGGAAGGTCTTTGTTTGATTAGGCACTTCTCAAAGAGTGTCTCATTTAGATATTTTTAGCAACTAATGTATTAATCATATAAATGTGGAATAGATATAAAAACGATTAATCATGTCATCGAATGTTGCCTTTCCTTTAATACATTCACATTCTTATTCAACATTCCTTTGTAAATCTTACCTATAACTTTTATTACTAGGACAACTCCTTGAAGCTTATACCTCATAATATCAAAAAAAGCCACATTGTAGTGTGTGGTCTGCTCTCAGCCTCTCAAGTTCCTATCTGGAATTGGGTCAAAGTCTCAATAACTTTTTCTTTTTAATAAATTTTAATGTTCAATGGGCATCTTCTTAGAGCATATTCTGAGGCCTTTTCCATCTCCATTTAGATTTTCTCGGCCCAATAAGAAAAAATAATAATTAAAAAAAACATAAAATATTGTTTGTCAAGTCACTTGAGGAACACACTGTCCATTCGACAAGACAATTTTGAGTCTCTCTTCCTCTTCTTCTCTTTCTCTCTCCTCTCTCTCCGTCGTCGCAAGAGTGCATCTTTCACGCCGGCACCTTCCCGCAGCTCTCTTCTACCAATTCTCTCTTAGATCTTCTCATGCGCCTTTCTCTGCCATCTTAATCCATCGCTATACAAGCTCGCAGGGTTGAGTTTTCGTCTCTAGGCCATCTCATCCATGGCTATTCCTCTCGGGAAGCTCACCATCCTCATCGGCGCAGGTCCGTACTTTTCTGGGCCTTTTCGTGTTTTAGTGATTAATTAATTAATCGGTACTCGAATTCCTCTCGGGTTCTCATTTGGTTCGTCGATGGGGAATCGAAATAAGAGGATTGAAAATTAGGGTTTTTGATAAACCCTTTAGAATGATCACTGTAGCTTCACTGTCTCTCAATCATCGAATCTTCTTCAGCTCCAATTTCAAGTCTTTTCATCTTTTAGTCTGCTTACTGTGTTGGTTTTTCATCTGTGGCCTAGTTTCTTCGACCAATCTGAAAACATCAGAAATTGAACAAAGGGACAGTTTTTACTCTCGTCTATGTGTTAGGGGAGATTATTCAGCTTTCTTGGAGACAAGTTTATGTTTAATTTCGTTGTGAATGCACCAATAATGATGAATTTTACCCATTACTGTCTTACAGTTTCGATTCATTTTGAGTACACATGCTTAATGTTCAATTCACTTGCTTTTACGTTAGGTCTTGTTGGGTCAGTGCTTGCTAAAGAAGGGAGCTTACCAGATGTTTCGAATTTTGTCGCCGGTGCTATTAAGGTGTTCTAACTTCTATGTTGTGCAAAAGCTTTTAGTATTTTATGATGCTTTTTTATTAATGGGGTAATGGTTTATTTCTCTTGATAGATGGTATTTAGGCAGCTGAAACAAGAAGAACCTACCAAATCAGCCAGCAAGCCCCGCAATGATACACTTATGGCACAGGTTTTTATTGAGATTAAACTACTTACTTACGAGGATAGGTTATTAAAATATAGCCTGGATAAGATAGACTTGGATTTAGATTTACCTGTCTTATCTCTATTTTTCCTGTAGGTTAACAGTCTTAGGCATGAATTGAGCTTGCTTTCTTCAAACAGACCCATCACTATTGTTACCTCAGCAGGATCAGGTCCTCTGGAGTTTTTATGTTGAAGTTTTGTATTCCTTTCTGCTTTATTTTAACAATTTCCTTTAATTTCCAGGTGGTAAAAAGTATGGTTACATCATTATAATTGGGGTTATAGGCTACGGATATGTATGGTGGAAGGTAATAATACTTCACCATTTTGAGCTACTTAAAACAGTCTCGATTGGAGTGCTGTTGGCTAGTCAAGATTTTGTATTTTGGAAAACAATTTATTTTGTTCTCCTTGTCAATTAATTTGACCTGGTTTATTCGCTTGTAGTTTCTTTCTCTCTTTTGAAAACTTACTGGGCACTGATTTATACTGCAACATTCTCAGGGCTGGAAATTTCCAGATTTTATGTTTGCAACAAGGCGCAGCTTATCAGATGCATGTAATAGTGTTGGCAGCCAGATCGATGGTTTTTACACATCACTCTCGGCAAGTTCTTACTTCCCATATTAGTTATGATGGTTCCTTTTGTGAGCCTAATCCATCCAAATGATCAAGTACCTTTATTTAATTTAGTTGCAGAACATCTGTGTTTTGTCTCATTTTGTTAACATTTTATGACAGGGTACAAAACAAGAGTTAAGTTCAAAAATTGACGGGATGGGTCGTAGTTTGGATGCTAATACAGAAATTATTCAAGAAACAGGACGAGAGGTATGTTAGATGAATGTGCACAAATACTTGTGTTTCACTGCGTTGTCAAGGGCTTTCTGATATTTCTAAATGTTTTCTTGATAATTAATTATTTAATTGTTTAGGTGATGGAACTTCAAAGAGGTACAGAAAATATTAAGGATGATGTTAAGTTTGTTTTCGATGCTGTTGAAACTCTGGTAAGAAAATTGAGTAATTGCATATTCACCCGTTTGTTCTCCTAAAAACAAAAAAGAAAGAGAGCTGATCTTGTGATCTTTGATTTCCAGGCAAGCAAAGTCTATCGTATTGAGGGAAATCAGGTACAATATGTCACAACTGTAGTTGGAAATTATTTTTCCTTGTCAGGCATTTGTTGATCGAAATTGATTTTTTGGCCATCCATAAAGGATATCACGCTTAAAGGAGTCGGGGCTCTGCATGCTCAGTGTCGGGAGAACAAAAGAATTCAAGAGTCCAATCAGGCATGAGGCTTCTCCATTGTGCAGTGCATTTTAGGAAATGGCTACATAATCTACAATTTTATCTTATTTACTCGGACTTTTTTTATGTTTAGGCGTTGCCATCAACTTCAGCAGTGCCAGCCCTTGAGGCAGCTCCTATGACACCATCGTCAAGGGTAAATGACTAAACTCGTCTCACAATGAATTTCCAACTGTTCGTCATGTTTTTGGGATTGTTACCGATCTTGTTCTGTTCTATTGCTTATTCCTCTTTGGTGTTTTAATGTTAGCAGACTTTGTCTTTGCCTCCTGCTTCTCCCCGTGAATCCCAGTCACCTTCAACTTCTAATGGAGCTCAACAGGTTTGTCCTCTCTCAAACTAGAGTTTTGGATTAGAAACTGAACTTGGTTTTAGTGAATACTGACATTACATTTGGGCAGTCACGTGGTCCACTTCAGCACACTCAATCTATGTCTGGTTTGAAGGTAAATAATATATCCCTCTTCCCTGTCCCTCAATTCTCATACATCAATATGGGTCAAACCTAACCTAAAACTATCTTTTGTAAACTTGGGTCTCAGGAGATAAGCGAAAATGGAACACATTCCGGAGAAACTACGGGAAACACAAGTTCAGGCCTGTTTAGTATGTTCTCAATGCCAAGAATAGGGAGGACTCGTAGTGTGGTCAACACAGTGCCTACTAACTCCATTGGACCCCAATAGGGGCTTGTCAATACTGAAGAGAGAGTTTGAACATTCAAATGATCAGCAAGCCAGAAATGGGCAAGTGCTAGAAGAGGATTTGAATAGATCATGCTGCGTCTATACTCGTCCCTTGCTTAGTGAAGACAATGCCATAAATGGTGCATAATTTTTGTAGGGATGCAGCTTATATTTAATTGGATTATATATGTCACAATTAATCAGTATGTTGCTCTGCCCTTTCGTAATTCAGTTTATACAGAGGTTGACGATGCTTTTGTCTGGCCGTCTCTTCTTTTCCTTTTTTTTGTATTGAATAAAAGGCTGGTCCATTTGGCAATTACATTGTTCCTACCAAAGCTTTCCTTACATAATGAAAGGATAAGAGATTGTATCATGTCATATTTTGTTAGTTTTAAATGTGATGAGTTATAATGTGATTATGCTTGGAAACAAGCAAAGTAACTGGGACGATACGAGATCATTATTTTGCGCAAGAGATATAACAGTACCAAATTGGACATGTTTTAAAGTTGTTTCTAGCAAGAGAGGAATGACTCACATGGCTGATGTTGGGCTCATGTTCCTGCATCAGACGTAAGTTTTGTCTAAATGTCAAGATAACTTTAAACCTCTTCTCATTATATAATAGCTGCTGTTATATTCAAAAGCTCTTTCGACAGAACATAACTAATTAAAGAAACTATCTTCAACCTCTTGTTGTATTCGGAAAACAGTAACAAACTGATAACTGTGACCTATAAACCCATTTAAACATAAGCTGCATCCCTCCAAAAATATTATGCACCATTTATGGCATTGTCTCGATGCACATGCCAAAAGAAAAGCAAAATCTATTCAAATATTTTACTAGATACAACATGGCCCATTCTTGTTTGTTAATCCTAATAATTAAAAAAAACGAACTCTCTTCAGTTAGTAGGCACTGTGTTGACCACAGTACGAGTCCTCACTATTCTTGGTATTGAGAACCTACCAAACACGCCCGAACTCAAGCCTAATGCACCGTTTCCCCCAGAATATTTTCCATTCGAAGACGTCTCACAGCTACTAGAGCTTTCATTTATGTCCTAAGAACAGAATTTATACACAACTGTTTTAGGTTAAGTATGACGCATATTGATGCTCAAAACTTAAGTGATAGGGAAGAGATGAAGAATGTTTACCTTCAAACCAGACATAGATTGAGTGTGCTGAAGTGGGCCCCGTGACTGTCCAAATGGAATGTCAGTACTCTTTAAAACGAATTTTGATTCTAATCAGTAACTCTGGTTTGAGATAGAACAAACCTGTTGAGCTCCATTAGGGGTTGACGGCGACTGGGATTCATCGGGAGAAGCAGGAGGTAAAGACAGAGTCTGCTTACATCAAAAAACCAGAGAGATATAAGTAATAGAACAGAACAAGATCGGTAACGATCCCGATACTTGATGAACAGTTGAAATTCATTATGAGACCAGATAAAAGACTTGGTCATTTACCCTTGAAGATGGTGTCATAGGAGCTGCCTCAAGGGCTGGCACTGATGAAGTTGATGGCAAAGCCTAATTATAAAAGAAGTCTGGGTAAATAAGATGAACAATGGAGAAGCCTAATTATAAAAGAAAGTATATGTAGCAATGTCCCTAAAATACACTGCACAATGGAGAAGGGTCCTGCCTTATTGGACTCTTGAATTCTTTGGTTCTCCCGACACTGAGCATGCAGAGCCCCAACTCCCCTAAGCGTGATATCCTTTATGGATGGCCAAGAAATTTAAATTCAATCAACACAATGCCTGATGAACACAAAAAATTCTCCAACTACAACTGTGACAAATGTTACCTGATTTCCCTCAATACGATAGACTTTGTTTGCCTGACAATCATGAAGATCACAAGATTATCTCTCTTTTCTTGTTTTTAGGGAGAACAAACGGATGAACATATATGCAATTACTCAAATTTCTCACCAGAGTTTCAACAGCAGCGAAAACAGACTTAACGTCATCCTTTATAATTGCTGTACCATCCTGTAGTTCAGTCACCTAAACATTTTGATATAGTATAAAGAAAATAGTGAGAATCATCAGAAAGCCTTGACAACGCAGTGAAACAAAGTATTTGTTTAAATTCAATCTAACACACCTCTCGTCCTGTTTGTTCAATAACTTCCGTATTTGCATCCAAACGACGACCCACCCTGTCAACTTGTGAACCTAACTCCTGTTTTGTACCCTGTCATGAAATGTTAACAGAAACAAAATGAGACAAAATATTGAATTATTGATCTTCTGCACTTGAATTATACTTATTGTACTAGATCATTTGGATGGATTAGCTAACGAAAGAAACCATCATAACTGATAAGAATAGAGTTCAATGGTCAAATCAAGACAAGTTAGTAAGCAAACAGTATAAGAGTGCTCGAGAAAAGAGAAGTGAGAACTTGCCGAGAGCGATGAGTAAAAACCATCGATCTGTTTGCCAACATTATCACATGCATCTGATAAGCTACGCCTTGTCGCAAACATAAAATCTGGAAGTTTCCAGCCCTGAGATTGTTGCAGAATAAATCAGTGAGCAGTAAGTTTTCAAAAAAGAGAAAGAAACTACAAACAACTAAACCAGGTCAAACTAATTAGTAAGGAGAATCGAATGAAATGTTTTCCAAAATACAAAATCTTGACTAGCCAACAACACTTCAAATGACCAAGTAACTAATTTTAAGTAGCTCAGGTATGGTGAAGTATTATTACCTTCCACCACACATATCCGTAGCCTATCACCCCAACGATAACGATCAGACCATACTTTTTACCACCTGTGAATTAAAGGAAAGTGTTAACTGTTTTCTTCCGAGTTTTGATAAACAGTAAACAAAGAATGGTGTTACTCTAATGAAATGACTCGCTAATGCTAGGAAGAAAAAAGCCACCGATCAGATCATAACTGGTCTTGTTTGATGTGAGAAATTTAGCAAAAGAAAACCCGATATATGATTCAAAAAACAACGTCCAGATAATTTAAGTGTGCAAAACCCAACTCCAAGTTTCATATCAAACCAATTTTGTCATTTTTAGTGCAGAAGAGGAAGACAAAACCTCAAAATAAAAAGTAAAAAAAACTCCAAAGGACCTGATCCTGCTGTTGAAACAATAGTGATAGGTCTGCTTGACCCCAGCAACTGTATCTCATGCCTAAGACTGTTAACCTACAAAAACAAATACAGGTCAGGCAAGAAACTATTGATTCACAATAAATCTAAGTCCTCAGCAAGTCTATATTATCTAGCTCCATCCGATAGCTTATCCTCGCCAATAGATTAATCTCAAACTAACCTGGGCCACAAGTACATCATTGTGGGGCTTGCTAGCTGATTTGCTAGGTTCTTCTTGTTTCAGTTGCTTAAATACCATCTGTCAACATAAACAAAACCCATTGCCTCATTTTGCCAAACCGCATCATACACATGTGGAGTCGCCAAGCTTTTGCACAATATAGAAATTTGAATACCTTAAAAGCACCAGAAACCAAATTCGAGAAATCCGGTAAGCCCCCTTCTTTAGCAAATGCTGACCCAACAAGACCTAAAGTAACATTTGCAAAAATCACAATATAGTAATTGCAGTAACTTGGACGAACAATAAGCATGTACACGAAATCAATCGATTCAGCAAGTTCACAATCAGTGTACTAGTAGGTGCATTGATCACAGAGAAACTAAACATAAACTTCTCATCCTCTAACTGAGATTACCCATCGATGAAACCAATAATGATCAAAGTCTTAAATTTTAAGCCAGTCAAGGACACTGATGGTTTCTACAGCAATCAAAGGGTTTATGAAAAACCCTAACTTCTCATCCTCTAACTGAGATTACCCATCAACGAAACCAATAAAAAACAATGGAGAATTCGAGCACCGATCAAATTAGTCTCTAATACAAGAAATACCCTATAAAAGCACAGACCTGCGCCGATGAGGATGGTGAGCTTCCCGAGCGGAAGAGCCATAGCTAGAGACGAGCTTATACGGCGAAGGACTAAGATGGAACACGAAGCCGCGTGAGTAGGTCGGAGAGAGGATTGGTAGGAGAGAGCTGCGGGAACGTACCGGCGAAACAGAGGGGCTCTTGGGACGATGAAGCGAGAGAGAAAGACGACGTGCGTTTATATTGTTCGCTTGTTGATGCAACAAAACAGAGTTGCTATTCAAACCGAACCGAAATTTCCGGTCAAATTTGGTCTAAATTTGATCAGAGAAAATAGACACGGTATGGTTAATTTTAAAACCTAGGAGGTAGGCCTAGCCGCCTAGGCATTAATTCAGAACCGGACACCGAAGTTTGAATTCGGTTTAGCGACATAAACTTATTAGCGGAGAAGTAAAATGAGTTCGGTTTGGATTAATTGGTCCTAACTAATACAGACCAATTGGATTAATTAGTCCACAACAAAAGAAAAAAAAAAACCAAAAACAAAGCCTGTTAAAATCACTTGGGCATTTGTGGATGATTCAAATTTCCCAAATTTGGACTATTCATTCACCAAGACACACTTGACCAACAACAGAGTGAAGCTACCAATTAAGGGAAACAAAGGATAGCGAATGAGAGATAAAATTCAAATCCTCTTTGAATGCATAAGTGTATGTGGAAGATGAAATTTATGCAATCAAAGAGGTAAATGGGGACTCTAGGAGACATTATATAGTTTTGAATGAAGTTAAACTCCGACGTTGTTAATTATAATTGGAAGTCAACAGTTTCTTTAGAGTTAATCCATGTCATATCTGAAATGTCAATTGATGGAGAGACACATTTTAGTATATATTATTGATTATTAAAAACTAAGGATCATATAATCAGTTAACTATACCAAATGTCAATAGTTCAACCGGTAAAGACAAAACCTAGAGGTCATTGGTTCAAATGACATTTGGGAAAGGATCACATAAAATGCTTTGATCTCTCGCATAGGAGATATACGGACCTAGGCCGAGATCTTTTTAATCACAGATTACAAATATTTTGTTTAGCGAGTTTATCAAAATAATTTCCGATAACATCTATTTGTAGTGAAAAAGAAAAGATAAAAGATCTCTTACCCTCACATGTAACATACAGCCCAAATGTATATATGCTCTCCTTTTAATCTAATCCATATTTCATGTTTAATCTCAAATCCTCTATCTATATTATTGACAAACAAGCAAAAAGAAATTTTTAGTTTAGAAGATGCAAGACTTTTAGATATTTTGTTCTTCACATGTACAGTATAGATAAATTCATACAACCTTATTTATGTTTGTAAGATATTTTATATATATTTTCATTCATTTAATTTAATTCTAAATATATGGTTCCATAGTCATAAGTCATAACAATGTTATGAAACATGGCCGGTTCTAAATTAAGGGAGCCAAGTCAAGCAACTGCCTGCTTACGCCTCTACGAGTTTAATGAAAAATGAAGACCACTTGTATTAAAGCTTCACTAGTGTATATGGCAATAATCATTTGTAAAGATTCATGAGTAATGTTTGAGTCCCAGTCTCCCATATCTTTGCATGTTTGTTTTTCTTACTATACCATTACGTGTCTTATTAAGAGTTAGTTTCCTATTCCATTCTCTTTTCTAACTGCCTATGTATAATAAAATCTAAGTAAAATTTCTTTTCAAAAGGATGATTGTACATTTGGACATGGTTATCTGGCCACCAACTTACCTAAGGCCACGTGTTACATCCTCAACCTGCTTTGGCATTCGTCAGTCTACAAACATTGGCGTGAAAGGATTTTTAAGGTTCACTAGCTCTCAACTGCTATGCTCTAGTATCTCAAATCTTAAAAATAATAGTGGATATATCAAACTGCAGTATAGATTCAACACTCCTCCAGAATCTATTTCCATGGACTCTTCTCTTCTGGTGCTATCCTTATCTTGGATTAGTCATTAAAATATTATGGTTTCATCTATTGTGTCATGAGGTTCTACAAGGATCATAGTTATTTACTCCCAGTCACTATATATCTTAAGTCCCTTCATAAATGACTTTATGTTAAATAGTTTATGTGCTTATAATAACTAGTTATGAACCTGAAATAAAATTTATTAGTGTGTACATAAGTGATACAACACTTTAATAAAATCTACAAGAGTTCCTAAATAACATTTCATTAGTAGTTTGGATAAATTACGGCATAAGGTATGAAGTATATGAACCAAATTTTTCTTTGCACGCTGAAAAGTGAAAACCTTTTAATGCATAAGGACTAAGAGTCTATGACAACAGTAACTTACTATATATTGTAGAGGAGGGGTGAAAAAAAAGTAGAGAGACTGGTCCAAAAACTTAACCCCACTCAATAAACCCAGACGTGACTTGTTTGACGATAACTCCATCTTTCTATTTTGGGCAACGAGGTCCCCTTCCCATTACGTCTTGACGTGGACCCTGTCCGTCTATTTTTAGCAGATCTATCCAACGGTTCTTATTCTTTCTTCGACCCTTCACGACATTGGCTCAAAGCCGTCCGATTCTCATCTCACGCCAATGGACCACATCACACACCAGTACTTCGCAACTTAGCTGTCGTGTAGGATTTCACGTGGCATTTATTTGTTCTAGTTTGTAGTGCAAACATTGCAAGTTGATATGGTCCCCTATCGATCACCGTCGTCTCTTTTGCTTCACATCGAGATTCTTCTTTCTTTCCTACGTGTAATAGCATTTTGATTTTGAGAACTTCTTTAGGACCGTTGGATCTCTCATCGTTGGATGATCCATCCATCCAAATGGGACCTGTATTATGTGCTCCATCCAGGGCATATGATCCCAAAGCCAAAAGAGTATTTCCAAGTGCTTCTTTCTTTCTTACTAACCTTTTTTTCTTATGCTTTAGACGGAGAAATTTATTCGGCCATATCCACTTTTACGAATTATATCTTGCAAGATCTCGTATAACCATTCAAAATGTATAATATGACTTACTTTTACTTGTTAGAATTTATTTGAGTTAATTCGGTGTATATAGCCATGGGAAAGATTGAAACTAAATAAATGATAATGATATGATGCAATGTATTTTTACCAAATAGTATAATATAGATGTCTAAATAGTTTTTTTTTTTAAACACTGCGTGTTATGCACACACAATTAACTAGTAGATATAAAACTGTATAAAACCTTTATTTATTTAAGATTTACATGTTGGTATAGAATTATAGATAAACACGGAAAAACACGCTTTACTTTACAATCAAGTGTAAAGTAAAATTATACCGAAGATATTTATATCACATTATTGTTAAAATTCTCTAAGTTTTCATTTATTACATTAATGGTATATATTACAAATTGATTTTTTGGGATAAAATTCTTAAAGAGACTTGAAGAATGTTTTTCAATATTTTCTTGAAATGTTTGACACTTGAAAACGTTTAAAAACTAAATATAGTATTATATATCATTGTTGGTCGTCTCATACCTTGTAATTCATCACATATATTATCAATAGGGAAGATTTGAAATTTTTGGGGTATCAAAAAACGAAGGAAAGAGTACAAAAAGAGAAGGAAAAGATAGAAGATATATGTTTTAACTTCATTGGTATGACATCAATAAATAAATAGTTGAATGTACTTTAGTTTCTCTTTTGGTTTAATGCACATCATCTCTATCAATTGTCATCATCTTACATTGAATTATACGACCAGATCTGATAAGAAGTGAATTCGTACTTGCCTTCCTTTTCTTCTCATACCCTCTTCTAACTAATTTTGATTGTAAGTTAATTTATTTTATTTTTTTCACCTAAAACTAAAGCAAATTAAAATATCATAAATATTGACTCCCACATGATGACAATATATATAACTCGTGCAAATTTGCTTAAAATGCTTCTACGAGCAAGTGAGATTAGTAAGAGATTCAATGTGCAAATCAAAGAAAATATGCTAATGGTTTAAATATAACCAAACAGAATAATAATGCTATGTTTAGTTTTTCTAATTGAATCATACCTTTGTGTCCATCACCTACTTACCGGTCAGAATAAAGCAATTACGTCTGCAACCAAAAAGCACTAAGACTTTCGGTCAGACATGATCTCTAACATCGGACGAACCCTAAGATAACCAAAATAAACTATATCTTATATTCAAAACTTTGTTTATTTTATCCATTTATGTTTTTTTTCTTTCCCATATTTTTTGTGTGTCTCAAACTCTCATCATACCAAACTGAATTTATCAACATGGTTTTTTCGGTTTGGCCACGTACATCAAAATGGTGGTTAATAAAGTAGACTAATAATAGACATTTGTATTTTGTATTTTATTTTAAGACTAGTATTAATTTCACTAACAAAAAATTATCTAGCACTATAGGAAAAGAACAGAAAATCTAGCAGTAAGATTTATCAAAACCACCAGTAAGAATATATAGATATCATGAAGGGAATCTACAATCTGTATCCATAGAAGACTGATTAATTAGTTTGACCAATTGGTCACTGTATAAACATTTTTTAGACTTTTTTATCCCTTCCCCTTTTCTCCCCTCTTTTCTTCTTTATTTTGTTTCTTCGTTGGTATTAAATTTCCAGACAACACAAGAACATGAGAATAACAATGGCCACATAAAAAATCAAATCGAATCAAAGATGTTGAAATCAGAAGCTGGCCGGAAAAGAAAATCGGGAGTCGTGTGATTCACTAGTGACAGTGGTGGTTTACCGGACATAGATGCGATGAAGATGAGTGGAGCTCCGGCCGCTTCTGTAGCTTATTTCCATAACCGACACACTCAATTCTAACCGTACGTCATCTAATTTCTGTTAGACGGCTATCATTTTGTCGAGACTTAGGGAAGACGATGGTGACGACGTGGTTTGATTCGGAGTTTAGATAGAAGGATTTTTCTTAGATCGAGTCCATCCACGGGTTCACTTACAATTTTCTAGTCTATCACAATTGATGTCAATCGGATTTTCAAAGTTTTGAAATCGATTCAACCAAAATTTTCTCGTAACAAAACATCTCATTTGGGAAAATGGTGAGAGACTTTGCTAGATAAAACATTAGCCTGTTACAATTTTATTTACTGTAGTCTTATATCACCGTAAATGAAAAGTTCACACATAATTTATAAATTTATTACGATACTATACTAGTTAACATGTTAATCAAATAGTTATCTACACAAATACTATATTACATGTAACTCATTATTTTTTCTATATGATAATATATGAGATAACACGATAAATATTAATTTATCACATAATTTATAAACTTATCGCGATACCATATGATTTAACACGATATGTTTATACACTTATTGATTATATATTTTGTTATCGTGTTAACTCAATAGATAATCATCTAACTCATATATTTTTTTACCAAATATTTGTTGAAGAGTATTATTGGAATCTGATAAAAACCGTCGATAACTATTTTATTATATTGCTAAACAATTAGTTATATGCGGAGGGGTGATTTGGTCATTTTCCAAAACTGCAGAAGAGAGAGAATTAAATACATAATTATGCTTCCCAGATCTTACAATATCTATTCTTCTATGGTTTTATATTTTGTTCACCCTATCATGAAAACATAAATGAATCACAAAAGAGGAGTAGTGTTTTACTTTACATTTTTCACCAATCACAAGGGTAGTTCCGTAAGTTAGGAAAATCGTACGAGGCTTCACCTAGTTAAGGTTAGGTCACATGATTCCCTGAACTCGATTTTATAAGTAAAGAAAAAATTAAAATTTAAAATTAATTTTTTTATATAAAAAAAAATCAGGTGGATTTATCAGACCCTACCATCAAGATATCGACACGTGTCCGAACTCATTCATTGCCCTACTCTTTTCTGTTTAGGGTTGCAATCACTCATCGCCCACGCGCCATCTCCACCGTCCATTAATCTCTCATTTTCAACATCACACTCTTACGAATCATACGATTTAATATCTCTGTCTCTCTCAACATATTAAAAGCTTTAATAATAATGGTTTTAAATGTTAGGGTTTATGTAGGATTTTCAATTATTAATCTCCATAATTCGATGAACCAAGTAAAAAAGTATCCAACTTTCTTGCGAGAATCACATTTTTCTCTAAACTATATATGGATTGAAATTGAAAAATTAAACCACTAGCTAGGATAAAGTGTTGGTGAGAGTGGAACTCTAATTTCTCTCCTTTACTAATTATGTATAAACATAAAAATGCACCAAATTTTTAGGTTTGAAAATATCAAAGCATGGATAGAGTAATTAACATTTTTTCAATTTTGCAATATTTGAATAAATCCTATGAGGTACACAATAATTGGAGGGTATATAGTTGAGTCGGAGAGTATATTAGAAAGAGAATATTTCAAGTAATGAAGCTGACATGTTTATATGTACTTGAGAGAAGTGTTGTGAGATTGTACAAATGTATATATACACTTTAAAAAGTAAAAATAACATATAAAAAATATAAAGAAAAAAGAGAGAAAGAGAGAGGCTCATATATATAGAATTGCTTGCAAGGAAAGAGAGAGAGAGAAGGAGAGATCTTTTGGGAGAGGAGAAAAAATGGGAAGAGGGAGAGTAGAATTGAAGAGGATAGAGAACAAGATCAATAGGCAAGTGACGTTTGCAAAGAGAAGGAATGGTCTTTTGAAGAAAGCATACGAGCTTTCAGTTCTATGTGATGCAGAAGTTGCTCTCATCATCTTCTCAAATAGAGGAAAGCTGTACGAGTTTTGCAGTAGTTCGAGGTATATATCTACTTTTGTATATTATTATATGGACATACTTTTTTCATATATATATATAAGTAACACAAAAATGTCTTGTTGTATGGGTCTCTGTGATGTGTTGTTGTGTCGTACGTGTTCTATCATCCTTTTAAAAGAAGCAAATAGGAAATTTTTGGGATACCCAAATCTGTATCATTTTAAAACATGTTTGCTTTTTTTGATGTTTTTTTTTGTGTGTTCTCTTGATTTCCATTTTTGTTTTTGATTTTCTCTTCTGTTTTATTTCTATTTTTTCTTTGTTGCAGGATTTTATAAGCTTATTTATTTGTCTTTCCTTGGAATTATATATACTTAATTTACATTATCTGAGAACAAACAACCATTGATCTGATATGAAATTATTAGGTTTACTTAATTTCGCTTGTGTGTTCTTTAATTAGGGTTTTCTCTTCAGAGCTTAAAGTTTCCACCTTTTGAGTTTGGGGCTCATCCAATTCGATCAAATCACTCAATTTTGTTGTCAGATTCGTATAAGTTCTTAGGGGATTATTGTTTCCACGGCTACCCATTTTAGTAACCCTTAGGGCTTTCCAATTTTGGTTTGAATTGACTCTAATGTCAAATTCATCTAAAATCCATTGGATATGTATACTTGGAGATTCATCCTTCTTTCTGGGTTCTTCAGATCTTCTCTGAAAAGACTCCCAGATTTTGTTGTAAACCCTAGTAAACAGTTAAAAACCCCATTTTCAGAACCTGATTTTGAGATTACCAAGGTTTATTGGACACTTGATGTGTAAGAAATGATGTTTTTTTTGTGTGGTGTGAAGCATGCTTCGGACACTGGAGAGGTACCAAAAGTGTAACTATGGAGCACCAGAACCCAATGTGCCTTCAAGAGAGGCCTTAGCAGTTGTACCCCCTTTTCTTCTCTTTCTTCTGAACTGATTACTTCACTTTCTTTGCTTAGCTTTAATTATTGTTTGAATCTATTGATTAATGTTAATTTGTCATATACTTCAGGAACTTAGTAGCCAGCAGGAGTATCTCAAGCTTAAGGAGCGTTACGACGCCTTACAGAGAACCCAAAGGTAAAACTAATTAGCTCCTTCAGCTACTTATAGAGATTGTTTTTTAATAGCAGATTTTTGATGGTTTTGATGTTGAAATAGGAATCTTTTGGGAGAAGATCTTGGTCCTCTAAGTACAAAGGAACTTGAGTCACTTGAGAGACAGCTTGATTCTTCCTTGAAGCAGATCAGAGCTCTCCGGGTACTACTTGCTCATATCTTTATACACTGATCTAATTCCATAGTAAGAGTATGCTATATTAAATTTGGTGTGTTTAATTCTGCAGACACAGTTTATGCTCGACCAGCTCAACGATCTTCAGAGTAAGGTAAATAAAGAAACACTAATTCTCACTCACCCTCTTCTCTAAATTCCACATCTAAAATTAATGTAACCAAGAAAACACAAATATTTGGAGCAGGAACGCATGCTGACTGAGACCAATAAAACTCTAAGACTAAGGGTAATTAATATATACATTCTCATCACAAATAAATGCATATCACTAAATTTGGTTATTAATTATTACTCCAAGTAACAAGAGTACTGTGTGTATACATATGTGACAGTTAGCTGATGGGTATCAGATGCCACTCCAGCTGAACCCTAACCAAGAAGAGGTTGATCACTACGGTCGTCATCATCAACACTCCCAAGCTTTCTTCCAGCCTTTGGAATGTGAACCCATTCTTCAGATCGGGTAGCTACTTTATCCTATATAACCAATTTGGTCTCCTTTGATTTGATTTGTGTTCTATTATATAAGCTTTTCTTAAGAAAGTATCTCAAATACAAAATTTTCGTAACAATGGATGGAGCAGGTATCAGGGGCAGCAAGATGGAATGGGAGCAGGACCAAGTGTGAATAATTACATGTTGGGTTGGTTACCTTATGACACCAACTCTATTTGAATCTTTCTTTCTTAATTAATCTCTCTCTTTTTTTGACATTTTTAAGATGATGTTTCTATTTTATTACCTCTCTCATGTTTTCTGTCTTGTGTGCATGTGTGTGTAATGTTTATGCCCTTCTACAATTCAATAATTTTTTCGACAATTTTGCTTCCTATTTTTACCCATAATTACTCCTACACTTCCTGATCCAGTTTCTTTTAAATTACAACTCCCGTTTTATGTTATCTAACCAATTCTCTTAACTATAATTTATGGTACAATATAACTCACATCTATTTGGTTTTTTCAAGTCTTGAGAAGGGACATCTTGTTTATATGGAAACCAAATTAACTTTGTTTATCTCTCTTGTTAAAGAGCAGCAACCCACTGGCCACTGCTTATGTATCTGTAGGCCCACCTATATCATTTTGGGCCATCTCTATACTTTTGTAGAGGGCCTATAGAAGACAAATTTGGTTATAATATATCTTGCAGGTCGTTGATCTTCTCTATGATCATGTTTGGATCGACAAGTTTTTCAGATACTTTAACATGAAATTATGATCTTCTAGCATTACGATCTCTAACATTTTTTCACGTCTTTAATTTGAGTTCAGTTCGATTCTTTTGACATGCATATGTGTTTTTTAAGTAAATGTTTCCTTTTTATACCAAGAAGACATGAGATCCGATAGTCTTACAATTGAACTCGAAATCCTAAAAACAAAACATGAATCCGAAAAGTTAAAATCTAAATCTTGACAAACTCTACAAACTAAACCTTGACAAATCTTAAACCTTGTATCCAAATATAAAAATTACATCTTAATAACTAAAAACTTTAACAGTTAAACGAAATGATAGTTTTTTTTAAAGTTAATCTACTTCTTGGTTTAAAAATTACACCTTGTATTCCTTCCAGCTGAGTTTCAGAGAACCATCCCACCCGAGGCTAGAAAAGAGTTCGACCAATTTCAAAATGTGGTTGGAAGAAGCGTACCACGGAAGCCTACCATGGATGATGCGACTTCATACCTCAATGCTGTGAAGAAAGCATTTCATGATGAACCTGCAAAATATGTGGAACTTATTAAACTCTTGAATGATCTTAGCGCTCGTAGGTATGAATTGTTTTCTTCATGTTATGTCGATTTACTCAGTCTAACCAACAAGCACGCATGTGAATCGATTCTGATGTTACTAAGTCTCTTTGTAGAGTCGATGCTGCTAGTGTCATTGCAAGGGTGGATGAACTCATGAAAGATCACCAGAATCTGCTTCTTGGTTTCAGTGTCTTCCTTTCAGCTAACATGAATTTTATAAGGAAGCTTAAGGTATAGACTTCTTAAATGGTAAAACCATCTTGATTGCCTAAGGAAAACCATTTTGAAGTTTACTATATGTTAACTTGCGGTTTAAGTAACAAATTCGATGATGAGCAGGCAAGGAATCAGGGCGATGGTAGTCATGTAGTTGACTCAGTTCTTCAGATATTAAGACTGTACAGAGTGGGAAAAAAATCCAAAAATGAGGCGTATCAGGAGGTAGGGTTCTTTGTGGGACACTATATGTAATATGTTATGTGTTGCACTTTCTTAGTTCTTCGGTTTGATTTGCTTTGTTATCATTGCAGGTCGTTGAACTTGTTCAGGATCATGAAGAGTTAGTCATGGAGCTTTCAGAAATTTTCAGTGGACTCACTGATCCATCAGGGTCAACCTCTACTAGTGATAGTCAGATAGCTAATGACATTGGAAGACTGTCTCTGCCTTAAGAGAGAAAAAGAGTGGAGCTTTCTAACGAGAAGAGAGTGTTATAGTTTCCTTTTGTAGACATTTGAGTTTAGTTCGATTCTTATTGTATAGAGAACATGATATAAGGACATGAACAAATATCTATGCTTTATATTGAGGTGTACACTTACAATGATTGGCTATCTAGAGTGTATAGTTCTTTTTGTAGAGAGGCTTAAGTTAAGTTCAGAGACTGTTAAAATATTTCCTTATTATCAAGAAGACATGTAGATTTTCTTTGGGTCATCTTTGATTAGAAACTCAGAGGGAAAACACCCAAAAACAGAGTTCACACCGCAGAGAAACAAAAACAAAGAGGAACAGAGCCTATAAATGGCCCAAAAAAACAGAGCAAAGCAAACCAAATCAAGTAAATCCATTAACAAAAATGTTTTATGAATCTTATATAAATTATTTACGATTTTAAAAAAATAATAATTTATGAAGTTAATGAAAATATTTAACATAATATATATAATATATATATGTTTTATAATTATTTTACGAAGTTAATTAAAAATATTTTAATATCTAATTTATATATATTTGCTAAAATTAATTAGTATAAATATCTGTATTATAATAATAAAAAAATTCCTCATCGTCTTTGATATATAAAAAGCTTTTAAATTATCAGTTTCACAGATTTTTACCAATTATAGTTTTATAACTAAAATTTTTTTTTAGTGCAATGAGGGAGAAGCTTATGTTAATAATTTGATCAATGCAAACAAAAGCTGATAATAAAAAAAAAAATTGTCAAATCTGATAATCCCTACTATAAATATAGACTCGTGAATAAAACTCAAATCAGTCTCTGAGGTTTTGCTTTTCTTCTAGAAATCTTATTTTGCTGAAAGAAAAAAAAAGAAGGAACTCAAAACAGAATCAGTGCGTTTGTTTCTGGGAATCTTGAAGCCTCTCACTTGCGAAGACGAAGCTTGCTCGTTAGGTAATTATCTTCTTCTTCTTCTTATCAATTCCTTTTTCGTTCATGCGAAATGTGAATTCATGTGACGTGACGATTAAGTTAACGATCGAATTTCTTGATTTCATATATGATTGTTCTTTAGTTTCTTGATCAGCACTTTTTGTTGTTTTCTTTCTATCGAAACTGATTCTAGATGTTCTTAAGGATCTTGTTCGATGAAATTTACATGAATTTGTATTCTAGAAGATGAACTTTACATGAATCATCCATATCGACGAACTGAACTTGTTGTTGCTGTGGATTAAGTTTCTTGAGATAGCTTCGAGATACAAGAAGGGCTTCAATGAATAGTCTGATCTGTTTTGATGAACAAAAAGCTTTATCTTTGAACAATGGATTAGGTCAATTTCACACCATGGTTGGAAGAAGTTTATCACCGGAGTTAACTGTGGAAGATGTGACGTCATACGTCAATGCTGTGAAGGAAGCATTTCAGGATGCTGAACGTGCAAAATATCGGATGTTCCTAGCACTCTTTCGTGGTTTTAATGCTAATAGGTATGTTTGGGTTGCTCTTAAACAGTCTATAGAACACACACATGTGAGAATTGATTTTGATGTTATTTTTCTCTTTGTAGAATCGGTATAGCTACTTTCAGTGCAAGCATGCAGGACCTCATGAAAGATCACGCGAATCTGTGTCTTGGTTTAAATGTCTTACTTCCACCTGAGTATCATATAACCATCCCTCCAGAGGCTAGCACAGAGTTTTATAAGGTGGCTGGAAGAAGCGTACTACCACTGAAGCCTACCATTGATGATGCGACTTCATACCTCATTGCTGTCAAGGAAGCATTTCATGATGAACCTGCAAAATATATGGAAATTCTTAATCTCTTGAATGATTTTAAAGCTCGCAGGTATGTATGAGTTATTTTCTCCATGTTATATTTGAATTTCTCAATCTACACTACAAACTATGTGAGTTGGTTCTGATGTTACTAAGTCTCTTTGTAGAGTCGATGCCGCTAGAGTCATTGCTAGGGTGGAGGAACTCATGAAAGATCACTTGCATCTACTTCTTGGTTTCAGTGTCTTCCTTTCAGCTACAATGAGTTTTACCACGAAGCTTAAGGTATAGAATGCTTAAATGCTTACAGTTACAGGATGTTTTAACTTGTGATGTAAGTAACAAAAGTGTCCATGTGCAGGCAAGGTTTCAGGGTGATAGTAGTCATGTAGTTGACTCAGTTCTTCAGATAATGAAAATGTACGGTGAGGGAAACAAGTCCAGAAATGATGCGTATCAGGAGGTAGGGTTCTTGGTGGGACACTTTGTGTTGTGTGTTTGACTTTCTTAATTCTTTGGTTTGCTTATTGCTTTGTTATCTTTTGCAGGTCGTTGCACTTGTTCAGGGTCATGAAGATTTACTCATGGAGCTTTCAGAAATTTTCGGTGATCCATAGAGTCTAGAGATAGCCAGATAGCTAAGGAAAGTACTGGAAGACTGTATATAAGTAGGAATGCGTGTGTGTGTTCTTTTTTGATCGAAGCTTGGGAAGAGCTTAACTCTTTAGATGGAACTGAATAAGTAAAAGAGGTCACTGAATAAGCTCTGTTACTAGAATAATAGGAGTCACATTTGTTGTAATCCTCTCTGTTTCTCTGAATTGTTGTTGCAATTGCTATTGTTTTGAGCACATTGTTCCCATCTAGTGTCTTAAGCTGTCTGGAGACAATTCCCTAAACCACAGACGTTGACTCTTTTGCCATCCTGACCGAATCATGAGATTTACAAAGTTCAGGATCGCAATGTGCGTCTTGTTCTTGGATTTTATTTGATCAACACGAATTGTACAGAGTGTATAGACTTCTTCTTCTTCTTCTAGCTCTCAAGATTACACAATCAAATCAACTTTGCGTTGAGAAGGTAGGTTTTTTGTGGGCGGCGTTGCACTTTCACTTGTTTTTCTTTCCTTGGTTTGATTTTTCATACCTCACGAGCTTATCAAAATTTTCCCTAAACCTAACTTAACTAAACCAAAATCAGGGAAAAAAAACTGATAACAAAATTTACCAGTAATATGTGGGATGGCGATGCCACAGGCAAATATTCATTGCAAGTTTGTTGGTAAAAAAAACAAAAACAAAAAAAAACCATTTACCGTTAAAACTGGTCACCAATACAAGAACGAAATTTATTCAACACGAACAATTTCCGGTAATCTTGTACAGTACTTGTTTTTTGCTGTTGTCCTGTGAGAGAATATACAATGGATTGGTGCAAAAATATTACTCATAAAACTAGGCCTGGCTCATATATATTACTCGGCCCTGAGCAAAACAATTTTAGTTATGAATTGTGAACATAAATGGGTTTTAATCTAATAATAACTACATCTCTTCATGTCTAATTTACTTAAGATATTATCATTACGGTCGATGATGAATTATTTGGAGTCTACTAATCATTTCACAAATCCTATCATTTTCCAACACCAAGTAGCCTGATTTGAACCTCAGCGATAGACAGCTTAAAGTGCGGTCATTCTCGCAAAAAGCCATCAGTCTTTATTTGATTCAAGAACTTTATACACCAAAGTCAAATATAAATAACCAAAATTATTTATAACCAAAAAGCAAACAAGAAAACGACTTCTCTGGTATGATTGGAACAAATTTATTAGAAGAGAGCAAGAAAAGAGGAGGTTAGATAAGAATGTGGTAGAAGATAAGACCCAACTACGCGTCATAACTGGGTCCCACGTTTGTCCCTTTCCCTTCTTATCTCACTCTCTACTCGCCAACACCATCGCGTGTCCACACGCTCCTTCGTTGCTTTTTCTCGTTATCCAAAACACGATTCTTCATTTTATTTTAGATTTTTATATTAAAAAAAAAAAAGTCCTTGCAGAAATTTCAATCGTTTTGTTGTGTGTACAGAGAGATTATCGTGTTTTGTTGGCAATCGCCATTAAACCTTCTTCTTCTTCTACCCAATCAATTTGCGGCTCTTTCTTTTATCTTCTCGCCTCGGTTTTAGCAAACCCTTTTTTTCCTTTCGTTATCTTCTTCCTCAAGCAATTTTCCTCGGATTTTTTTTTGGATTAGAGTGGTGGTGGTGATGATGAGAAGGCAACGAGATGAACAACAATCTAGGGTTTTCTACGATCTATCAGCTCTTGTTTTGAATCTTCTCCGTTCTCCTCCTATGCCGATTTCTTTACCTGATCATTTCCCGGATCCGCCGGCTAGAATTCGTCCTCCTCCTTCGCATCGTTTTTCTTCGTCTTCGCCTTCCATGGCTCATATTTCACCATCGGGGTTCGCGTCGCTGCTTCTTGGTATATCTGTGGCTCTTATGCTTTGTGGATCTGTGACTTTCTTCATCGGGTTTCTCTTGATGCCTTGGGTTATTGCTCTGATTATGGTTTTCTATGTCGCTGGCATCGTTTCCGCCATTTCTATGGTTGGGAGGTCGATTCTATGTTACGTCTTGACGCCACCTTCTCCCTCCGGAAAGGAGATTTCTGGTAAAAATTTCATTCAAATTTGTCAAAATTGGTAGTTTCTGCTTTTGATTTCAATGATTCAAGCTTTCTACTTTCGTCACGGATCTGTTTAGATTTCAAACAAAGTTTCCTTCTTGATTATCTCGAAATGATTCTGCTGGGTTTTGGTTCTTTCCTTATCTTGTTTGAAATGGAGGTTCGAATTAGGGTTTTCTTGAAAGCAACAACGCAAAATGGGAATTTTTGATGTTTGTTCTGTTTTTGACTGAAACGATCTCGTTCTTTGCTTCCTCTTGGATCATGATAGTCTTTGTTCCATCATTCATTTTCACACTACTTTTGTTGTCTGAAATTAAACCTGTGTTTGTTAGTTTCATGTTCTTGCAATAATCTTGGTTTTGACATGTCCATTCGCAGATTGGAAGCTTCTGTGAAGTGATAAACAACAACGGTGGAGCTATACATCATCCGGAAGCAGAGCAGAGCGAAGCAAGACAACAAAAAAAAAAAAAGGAAGGATTGATTATATAAACACATATATATCCAATAGAGTTTTTCTATGTTCGTTATCTGTATTTTGTTGGGGGAAAATCATGTGGATATCAGGGAGTTTTATATTCTTACATTTCGAAAAAGAATTTTTCTGTTTTACTACTGTTAGAAATAGAGAAGCCTTCTTATTTGTGCTTTCATGTATGTCGTTTTTATGTAACATGATTTCTTAAAGCATACAAAAAGATTTTAGGATTTCTGTTGCAATTCTTTTGAGTTTCTTGCTTTGTCGACACACTCCTATGTTGTGATCTTCTATTAGCGAACCAATTCTTATTTCTGTACTTGATATAGAGTTCTTATTTGCTTATTCTTGATCACTTTTAGGTTTTTCAATAATTGTCTCCACAACTAGATGATTAGTTATGTGTTGTTGGTAGCAGCTTCTCTTGTTCGTTTACTTTTTCTTCATTCTTCTCTGTTATTTTATCTCTCTAAAAACTGGTGTGGACTAAAAAAAATCACACGGAATCTTAGTGTGAATCGAGGTTTAGTCGTGCAGAGTTGTGTTTATTATTAATGAATTAAACCGGTACATTATTACATGTACTGTGTAAATATTAATTTATTCAGTGGAGTATACGCTATTGCCCATCTCCAAAATGGTGGAGGTGCCGTGCCGTCAATTGATGTCACGTGTCCTGACTTTGCATTCTCAATACAAACAAATACTCTCTACCTAAAAAAAACAATAAACAAACAGAACACATCTTTGGAGCGTCGGTGAGGTTGGAGGAGAAGGGGTTTGTGAAATGGAGTCGAGTGAGGATGTGGAGAATCTGAGTAGAGCTATCGAGAAGCTTCTTAATGAGAAGAGGAATAGAGCAGCTTCTGGTGACGCTTTCATTGAAGACGACGATGATCAGCTTTTGCTCTCTAGGCTTATCTCTCAGGTACTTACCATCCCTCTGTTTTCTCCTTTGTTTGATTTATCTGATGTTGCCCCAAATCAACTTTTCTGGGTATAATATGATTGAATCATGACTATTTTTGAGATAAACTATTGAGTCTGTGTAATTGTTCCGTTGTGATTTGATGAAATCTGATTGGTCTGTGATGAGACTGCTTTGATTTGATGATCTTGAATCGAACAAATCCAAGCTGTTTGTCGTTTGATTTAGCTTTGTCAATTATCACAGTAAAAGGAAGATTAATTGTTAGTGTGTCTCTTAATTCTTATTTCAAATTTGGTCTAGACAACGTAACAGTGAGCTTATCTTTTCAACATGATTGTGTTAGTTGCTGTTTCATGTCTACAACATTATCTGTATTGGGATGTGTCCATGACCTACTCCCATTTCAGGGCTGATGCTAATTTTTGTCTATAACTTAGTTGGAATCACCAAAGTCCAAGGAAAAAGCAGGTGTGATAACCAAAGAAGAAGAAGAAAAGGAAGAAGAAGAATCTACAGATTCTTCACCATCCAAAGGAAAACGCGAGGGCCAGAGACAATTGGAAGAGAGTATAGAAGAATTAGCTAAAGACATCAAGAAGGTGAAGAAACAGAACACAATAACCCATGTACTTCTCTCGGCTGTGATCATCCTGACATTGACTTGGCAGCTCTCTGAGTACTCCATGATTTTCATGTTGAAAGATAGAATAAGCCACCCAGTCAGATCCATCGGAGGTATGCTTAATGGGATGTTCAAAGGTAAGTTACGTCCAATAAAGAACCAACTTGCGGGGACTTCCAACTCCAATGACCAAAACAACCATGGGAATGGAACACAAATTGGACCTCAACTTCAAGTGCCCGAGCTGTTGCGAGAATTTGGTTTCGACGATGAAGAATGATAGCTTTCCTTTGTGACTCAATAATACAACTGCTATCTGGAAACAGGGGTCACCCTCATTGTTTCTTTACTTTCAGAATAGGTACTTTTATGCGATCAAAATGCAAAAGAATAGGGGCATAGTTGCTTTCTCAAACTTTTCCACATGAAAAAGGGTTCCAAAAGAGAACCATATTTCAAATAATTTTTAGTTTTATCCCTTACTGAATCATTCATTGTTCAATGCCCGAAAACAAAAGGAGTCATCTCAACCAAAGTAACAAATAGCTCCATTGATTAAAATAAAAACAGACAGCATACCACCTGAAACAAACTTCATGTTCCAAATCTAAAACCAACTCAAACAGTTCTTGAATAGTCCCAAACTTCCACCACTCTCTTTTCGGCTTCCAATAAATGGTTCATATACCCCTGGCACTGCATTCCTCAGGCATAGTTCAACCTGAATATATCATTGAACACGTAGTAGTTTCCCTGATTCGATATCAAATGGAACATCTGGACACAAAATACAAGTATGTCAGGAATCAGGCAAAATTCAAACAACAAACGTTTGGATCGAGTGCGTGATTCACAACACGAGAGATGCATATGTAGCTTATTACAAGTAGGTCAAGTTGACATGAAATCATACCACTTTGCTCGATGCATACATTCCACAAGTTTGATGTTCACACAAACATGATAACAAGAATACAACTAGTTCCTTGATATGAAGAACTAAAAGGCAATGCCAAAAACATTATTTAGCTTCTTATCGAACAAATGTAGTAAAGAGCGTTCAACACTAAAAAGAGAAAATAATGTCTTACGGCAGATGACACACACACTAAAAGCACCACAAACTATAGAGTTGAGACAACAATTTCACATCTAAGCATAGTTGACAAAACCTAGCAGAATCATGGCAAATAGCAGTTTTCCAATGCTACATTCACGAAGTGCAAGGAGATAGAAGCACGAGATTAAATCTATGCAATCATTGGGGGAAAAACTCTTTTACCTCCAACCTAATCACGGATCCATCACTAAAAGCATCAAGGAGGGTCTAAAATTTCGAGAAAATTCGAGATCGTTCAAGCTTTTAGTGACAATAGGCATATCAATCTACAGAGAAGCACGAATAAAAACCCTAAGACCCTATCTATCACACATGATCAACCTAGTCACGGATCTATCACTCAATGCATCAAGGAGGGTTTAAAATTTCGAGACAATTCCAGATCATTCATGCTTCCAGTGACCTAATCGCATATAAAAACCCTAAGACCCTATCGCAGATGATCAACAACCAGAAATTCAGGGAAAACACTAAAAATCGAAGTGATCTAAACAAAGGGAAAGAGAGAGAAGGCAAAAAACCTGGCTGAACTTGAGAGCGTGTTGTTCACCAGCGAGCTGAAGATTGCCGGAGACAAAGACGAGCATACCGCCGGCGGGACCAGAAGGCTGACAATCGACGGTGGTGATGTTGTGCTTGCACTGCTGGAAAGGGAGGCTGGTGAGCTTAGCGACGATGTTCTGAGAGCCCTGGATCTCCTGGCCTTCGAAGGTCAACATGGATCCTTCTTGGTACAGAGAAACCAAACCTGGACGATTTGCATCGAAGGTGGAGTAGTAGTGCTCCACGAAAGCCTTGGCAACTGCGTCTGGATCCATCTTTCTTTTCGTTGATCCTTGGCTCTTCCGTCGTACTTTTCCAACAGGCGAGAGAGAGAGGATCGAGAGGGTGAGATAAAATACTGAACAATATACGAATAGACACAAAGACACAAATATATTGAAAAAACGTCTTGACGATACTTTTAAATGGGCCTTAACTTATATGATTTATTGGCCCATTACTACCCATTCAAGGCCAAAATGAGTAAAAACCGTGTTTGTTTATGGCTATTAGTTGAATCTGGGAGATCGGGGTGGAAGAAAAAGGATCATGATTCATGGGTGAGAGAACAACCGTTGATTGGTGTGTTTCAACTTTCAAGCAATCCCATTTTTAAAATAAATATTTGGTAGCAATTGCAAATAAATTAGAAAACAAAATGAAATGTTTATGCTTTAAGATATCGACACGTGTAAAACAGATGACGTAGCAAGATAGAAATGCTTCTGTATTTTGTGTTAGCCATTTGTTTACTTGTTTCTTAAAAGGAAGTGGAGAAAAACCGAGTTATAGGTTATTTGACTAAATAAGAGGAGCTTTGGTTTCTTTTGGTGTAGTTTAGTTTTGATAATGGCCAAACAATTTTGTCACTTTACCAACTACTGCAAAACCCATTTCATAATAAACTAAATTCGAACACGCCTTTTATTTTTATTTTCCATTTTTATTATTGGAGGGTGAGAACTGAGACCATATATGCCTATGTTCCCTTCATGTGGGCCCCACTAGCCTTTCTTTTTTTTTTTTCCTGCGCCGTTTAGTTTTTTTTTTTTAAAGAGGTAAGTTATTTTACCAATCATTTGGTGTATGTGTTATTAATAGTAGTATTAATGAGGTTCTAAACTTGTTTATACTAAAAATCAGATCTAAACAAACTCCAAGAATCTCAACTATGAACATTTCTTCTAGAAATCGAGTTTTAACATCATCATCATCATCAGGATTTAATTTTATAATTTTTGTGTATGAATATATCTGTATATTATTTTGAAGTACATATGCAGCTGAAGATTAAAATATTTAATATTGGAAGTATGAATGAGAAAAGAAAAGAAAGATAATCAGATAATAGAGAGAGAGAGAGAGAGAGAGAGAGAAGGAAGCAGACATTTGTCTTCCACCATATTCTTCTCATCTTTTTCCGATGATAGATTCTTCTTCTTCTTCTACTTCTACTTCTGCTCCTCTTTCTTAAGTTTCTCCATTAGATAATCCACTCAAGTCTCTAGCTCCTATTCACTTTCTCCTCTTCTCGCCGCTTTATTCGCTCTCTTTCTCTCTTCATCATCATCATCATCATCACACTCAAAGATTTCTGTTGTATTGGACCAAACTCTAGCGAATTTTCGTACGCCCTCTGTAGAATTTTTGTTTCCTGTTTTGGATTTCGAGGAATCTCGCTTTGGAAACTTTAAGTTCCTGTTCAAAGTTTCTACCTTTTTTTTTTTTTGTTTTCTTCTTCTCTTATCTTTCGTCATCTTTGATTAAGTAACCACTTTGATCTCTCAATTTCAGCCTTTGGGTTGTCTAATCTGACACGTTCCTCTGTCTTGCTTTCCTTTTCTCTTCTTGTTTGTGGGAAGCCTACAAGGATATAAATAAATACCCCCAAAAATTCTTCCTTTTGGATTCTCTGATTCGTCCCCTTTTGTACAGTTTGGTTCTTAGAGCTTCTCTGAGTCTTGCTGAGTTGAATTGAGCTGGTTGCAATCACTCTGCTTCTTGGGGTTGATCGTGTATTCAAGTGGTGGATGAGTCTGTTCCATGTGCTAGGGTTTGGTGTCAAGATTGGGCATCTCTTCTGGATGCTATGCTGCTGGTTTGTTTCTTGGTTCGTTGATAATGGGATCGAGGACAACAAGTCTGGTCTTCTAGTTGGCTCTGTCGGTGATCTTGAGAAGACGAAGATGACAACGATGAAGAAGAAGAATAAGATGTGGTTCTGGAATAAGATCTCCAGCAGTGGACTCAAGATCCCGAGTTTCTCTTATCAGTTTCTTGGCTCAGTTAAATTCAACAAGGCATGGTGGAGGAAGGTTGTGGTGGTTTGGGTCGTCTTCTGGGTATTGGTCTCAATATGGATGTTCTGGTACTTTAGCTCTCAAGCTATGGAAAAAAGGAAAGAGACGCTAGCTAGTATGTGCGATGAGAGAGCTCGTATGCTGCAGGATCAGTTCAACGTTAGCATGAATCATGTTCAAGCCATGTCTATCTTGATCTCAACCTTTCACCATGGCAAGATTCCTTCTGCTATCGACCAGGTATTCTTGATTCCGCTTCTTCGTCTCTTCCAATCTGTTTGGACTATCATCCTCTGGGAATTTTGATTGATGCCTGAGATCTAGTCTTGCTAGTAGAACATAAGTAGTTCCTACAGTGTAGTATGTGAACGATTCTTGGATGATTTGACACTTATCTTCTAAATATGGAAGCTTTTTTCATTCAACTTGCTCTCGAATTTCAGTTAAGATTTACAATTTTGCAGATGTTGCTTAAGTCTTGGTATTTAGCTAACACTTGGTAGCTTGATTCCTATCTTCTTGAGTATTAGTGAACAGTATACTAACATGAAGAAGCTTTGTGTAGAGAACATTCTCAGAGTACACTGATAGAACTTCCTTTGAGAGGCCTCTTACGAGCGGGGTCGCATATGCTATGAGGGTGCTCCATTCAGAGAGGGAAGAATTCGAGAGGCTACAAGGTTGGACTATTAGGAGGATGTATTCTCTTGAACAAAACCCAGTTCACAAGGATGACTATGACCTGGAAGCTTTGGAACCATCCCCTGTCCAAGAGGAGTATGCTCCAGTCATCTTTGCTCAGGACACTGTTTCTCACGTGGTTTCTCTCGATATGCTGTCTGGGAAAGTAAGCTCCTTGACTGGTTCTAATTTTACTGTTTCTATGTAGTTTACAAATATGGTCTACACTCACTACCGGGTGAATTCTGCCGACATGGCTAGTTCATATTTCAAACTCTGCTTACTGATTAAGTTGTTTTGATCATTTTATTTTAAGTTTAGAGCAGTGGTTTAACGGATACTTACTCTCACTCAATTCTTCTTGACAGGAAGATCGTGAAAACGTGTTACGGGCCAGGAGTTCAGGTAAAGGTGTTTTGACAGCTCCTTTTCCATTGATAAAGACAAATAGACTTGGGGTGATCCTGACATTTGCAGTCTACAAGAGAGATCTCCCCTCCAATGCAACGCCAAAAGAGAGAATTGAGGCTACTAATGGGTGTGTAGCATAGGCGTCTAAATAAATAATTGAAGTTAGATATTTCACGCAATCATGCATAAGATTTACAGACATTATTTTTGCTCATTCATCTCTTTTGATGCCCCTGAAGGTATCTCGGTGGAGTGTTTGACATTGAGTCCCTGGTAGAAAACTTGCTTCAACAGCTGGCTAGCAAGCAAACGATTCTTGTCAATGTATACGATACCACCAATCACTCTGAACCGATTAGCATGTATGGTACAAATGTGTCGGCTGATGGGTTGGAACGTGTTAGTCCACTAATCTTCGGCGATCCATTTAGAAAGCATGAAATGCGTTGCAGGTACTTGGCAATTGGCACATACAACATATGTCTGCAATTTCTTCTTGTTGACAAGAATCCAGGTGCTAACATTCTGTTGTGAGCTTCTTCCTCTTTGTAGATTTAAGCAGAAACCACCATGGCCAGTTCTATCAATGGTGACATCATTCGGTATCCTTGTGATTGCGTTGCTTGTTGCACATATAATCCACGCAACCGTGAGTCGAATACACAAAGTTGAAGAAGATTGTGACAAAATGAAGCAGCTCAAGAAAAAGGCTGAAGCAGCAGATGTTGCTAAGTCACAGGTACATACATCATCCTCAGTTGATAAATTTCCACAGCATATTAAGCTTTCTATGTCAGAGAGAAGAGTTGTAGTCTAACTTTGTTTTTATGCAGTTCCTTGCCACTGTTTCACATGAAATCAGAACTCCAATGAATGGTGTTCTAGGTGAGTATCGAATTGGCCACTATGTTGCCTCCTTCTCACACCTTTGTTCCTTGAATGCACATATTTTCTCAAGAACAAACTTAACTAAATGTCTTGAAGTTTTGATCTCATGTTGACTTTGATCTGGGGTGTAGGAATGTTGCATATGCTTATGGACACAGAGTTAGATGTTACGCAACAGGATTATGTTAGGACCGCACAGGCAAGTGGAAAAGCTTTAGTCTCGCTAATAAATGAGGTTTTGGACCAAGCAAAGATTGAATCTGGAAAGCTTGAGCTTGAAGAGGTGCGGTTTGATTTGAGAGGAATATTAGATGATGTCCTGTCACTCTTCTCGAGCAAGTCCCAACAAAAGGGGGTAGAGGTAACTTACTATATGATCTGCAAAGCAAGGGTTGTAACTAATAGAAAGTCTTTCGTACTGATTTTTTGAGTGTTGCTGATGCATGCAGTTGGCAGTATACATATCTGATCGTGTTCCAGATATGTTAATTGGTGATCCTGGGAGGTTTCGACAAATACTCACAAATCTTATGGGTAATTCCATTAAGGTAAATGGTTTTGTTATGTTCTTTGTTGACCATTCCTTGCATCCTAGTTGATCAACGGAGCTGACCATTTATAAATATTCTTGCAGTTCACTGAGAAAGGACACATCTTTGTAACTGTCCATTTGGTGGAGGAGCTATTTGAATCTATCGATGGAGAGACAGCATCGTCTCCGGAAAGTACACTGAGCGGGCTTCCAGTTGCAGACCGGCAGAGGAGCTGGGAAAACTTTAAAGCTTTCTCCAATGAGCACCGGAGCTTTGAACCATCTCCCCCTGATATCAACCTAATCGTCTCAGTCGAGGATACTGGCGTAGGGATACCTTTAGAAGCGCAGTCCCGAATTTTTACGCCTTTCATGCAAGTCGGACCATCCATATCCAGGACGCATGGAGGCACAGGAATTGGGCTTAGCATAAGCAAATGTCTAGTTGGACTGATGAAGGGAGAAATTGGATTCTCGAGTACTCCCAAGGTCGGGTCCACGTTCACATTTACTGCTGTATTTTCCAATGGGATGCAACCAACTGAAAGAAAGAATGACCCGCAGAACAATAACCAGCCCATATTCTCGGAATTTCGGGGCATGAAAGCTGTGGTTGTGGACCATAGGCCTGCTAGGGCAAAAGTCTCGTGGTACCATTTTCAGCGCCTGGGAATTCGAGTTGAAGTAGTTCCACGTGTTGAACAGGCTCTACGTTATCTGAAGATTGGTACTACCACTGTGAATATGATACTCATAGAGCAAGAAATATGGAATAGGGAAGCAGATGTGTTCATTAAAAAGCTGCAGAAAGACCCTCTTTTCCTTTCTCCTAAGTTGATTTTGTTAGCAAACTCAGTAGAATCGTCAATATCAGAGGCTTTATGCACCGGTATAGATCCTCCAATAGTGATAGTGAAACCATTGAGGGCGAGTATGCTAGCAGCAACTTTGCAGAGGGGATTGGGTATTGGAATCAGAGAACCACCTCAGCACAAGGGACCTCCTGCTTTGATTTTGAGGAATCTTCTCCTTGGTAGAAAAATTTTAATCGTGGATGATAACAACGTAAACCTCAGAGTGGCAGCGGGAGCTCTGAAAAAGTATGGAGCTGATGTGGTCTGCGCTGAGAGTGGGATAAAGGCAATCTCATTGCTTAAGCCACCTCACGAGTTTGATGCTTGCTTCATGGACATTCAGATGCCAGAAATGGATGGGTATGTCAGATTGGTACACTAGTATTGTTTTATGTTTGAAATATGTAACAAAAAATTGAGATGGTTTTTTTGCCTTTGCTTTCTGCAGATTTGAAGCTACGAGGAGAATACGGGATATGGAAGAGGAGATGAACAAGAGAATAAAGAATGGGGAGGCTTTGATAGTAGAGAACGGTAACAAAACAAGCTGGCATCTTCCGGTATTAGCAATGACGGCAGACGTGATCCAAGCAACGCATGAGGAATGTCTAAAGTGTGGAATGGATGGGTATGTATCAAAACCCTTTGAAGCAGAGCAGCTGTACAGGGAAGTTTCTCGCTTTTTCAATTCGCCTTCAGATACAGAATCATAAGAGGAGATGGGGCTGGAAGAAGAACGGCAAAGGAAACACAAAAACTCGTGTCTCCTATGCATCTTGAAGTAGTAGTAAGCCTATATTCCTCTATATATTTTCTCACCTAAAAACATGCTATCTCGACACTGACAGTAACGCCTTATGTGAACTTGTTTGTAGGAAAAACAGATTGACGATTGCAAAAGAGTGTATATAGAAAGGCCGGTGTGACCAGGCCAAGAACTTAGACCAGTTTCTCCTGTAAAGCTTTTTTTCTTCATTTTTCTCTTGTCTGATTGGGACACACCAAAACTTTGGTTTGTAGATGAGAGTAGCAGCTGGAATATATTCAGAGTTGCTTTGGACAGGGAAGAGAGCAGCATAGTATGTGTGTAAAAGTGTGTGTGCATGGATTTAGGATTCTTCTTGTATTAGAGAACAGTGCAGCAGTTTCTTTGTCATCATCATGGTCCAAGATAGAGGGAAGTGGACATTACTACTTATACATACACTGGCTTTGTGATATAAAGTTGAAGATAGCTTTTACTTTCTCTTCCCCTTCTTTTACACTTGAAATACTTTAAACATATGCATATTGAAACAAAAACCAAATGTCCAAATGATCGGACCGAATCAAGGAAACAGAGCCGGATGTCTTGCAAATTGCGTTATATCCAAACCAAATTCACGTTGAAGAACTACTATAGAAATGTGGTCCCCAAAACGTGAGTGTGTTTGTTGACTTTTTGTAAACACGTCCGTGCTGATTTTCAGATTGACCTTACGTCCAAATTTTGTCCACACATGACATGAGAAAAGGCTTTTTTTTTTTTTCTCAAGCATTTCAAAGCCCAATAATAGATGTCCAATCAGTGAGCACCATGTGGACCTCACACGTCGCGAGAACCAATCATAGAATGGTTGTGACGACGTTCACGGTGAGTTGAATTGGATTACCGATCCCCTTTTAAGGTCCGTGACAGAAGTATTTTGAAACCAGCCAGACAAATTTAGTCAAACCAAAAAAAAAGAAAACGCAAAGACAAAGGATACAAGTTTTTTCTTTGACTCACGATTCCCTGTTCGTCTCAAGCGTTTCTTCTCCGGTGTAATCATGGTATAGCCTGCGATCTCGATTGTTTTTTTTTATCGCTCTATTCATGTTATACTAGCTCTAATTATGCTTTGTACCTCCGATTTGATTCAGCATGTCCGAAATTATTTGAGGATTTGAGTTTATATATGTCAATGATTTAATCTATGTTTTGGATATTGAATCATGGGCAAATTTCGCATCACGCCAAAATCATTTGTATCTCTTAAACTATAATCAAACCGAATCATGCAAAAAAAATGTGGATCTGTTTTCGAAATGTTATTCGGATTAATTAGCTGAGTTGTTGTCTGCATTATGTGTTGTTTCTTGCCTTGTTGGTTTAAATGCATGGCCAAATCTTACCAGGCCTTTGCACAATCTATCTGATAATTACAAGAAGAGATTCTGATTTTAGTAATATGCTTGATCTGGAAAGAACCATTACTAATGAGCAATGTGTATAATGATGCTTATTGGATGGGGTTGATTTTGATAATTGTTGCAGACAACCTCAAAGCGACTCGCAGACAGGAAGATTGAGAAATTCGACAAGAACATATTAAAAAGAGGATTTGTTCCTGAGACCACCACCAAGAAGGGCAAAGATTACCCCGTTGGTCCCATCCTCCTCGGCTTCTTCGTCTTCGTTGTCATTGGATCATGTCAGTACCTCTTCTTCTTTGTGTTCCTTGATTTCCGTTGGTTCTAAAATTGCTTCTTTGTTCCCCTTTTATTGAACATGTTATATGATTATACTATGTAGTATATGTTTATTAAACCTTGTATATGCTTTGTTACAGCTCTCTTCCAGATCATCAGGACCGCAACTAGTGGAGGAATGGCTTAAACCCAATCACATTCTCAAAATTAATATCTCTTCTTCTTCTCTTCTTACTTGTCTCTTTTTCCCCTTATACTGTAGAATGCGACTACTTTCTGTTGACTACATGTTATGAAGAATTTTGAGAGTCTTTTCTAAAAATATCCACTCTTTACTATTGTCTTGAAGTTACTTTGCCATTGTTGTTATGCTTTTGTATTCGTGTTGACTTGTCTCAACTTGGTTCGCCCATATATCCCGTTGAATTAGTGAAACTATTTTCCTCGGCCAAATAGTTCGGTGCACGAAAGATCAAAGTTGATCGCTGACGGATTTAGTTGAATGGACGGAAGGCTAATCGTCAAAAAATCGAAATGTGATTCGGCTGATGGATTGGTAGGGAGACACCATGCGGTTGGTGGTAGAACCCGTGATAGAGTCTTGAGTTGAACAACTTTAGTCCAAGAATTAAGAAGATAAAATAATGATAAGTACCCGTGAGCATTTCTCTTTCGATCCAAGTTTGAATTTATTATATGCTTTTACTTGGCGAATGATATGAAAACTTGTTCATAGATGAAGAATCTATCAATATATTCTTTACTTGGCGAGTGATAAGAAAAAAAAGGTTTCCCACAACTATTTATCATTTTTTGATCTTTTACCAATAATAGTTATAAGTGAACCAACTCCTCTCATTTTTACCATCAAGTTTTTTCGTATTCAAACTAGATCTCTTAGCCTTATTCTCTTACTAATAATATTTCTTACCGCTTTATATCAATTGGACCATATACAGTATCTGTAAGAATAGTTAGAGAAAAAGAAAGACTGGGAGAGGTTATGATGAGTAAGATGATGATTATTCTTTAATATATTGGTAATTGCTATGTTAAATGGAAGTGACATGATTGAAGAAAGCATATTTGATGGGATGAGAAAAATGAACCCCCACGCTTTACGACTACTTTACATTCTCTGTGGAATGATTTTGAAAATATAATTATTACACCAAAAGAAAAAGATAACCAGGCAAAAAATTATGCACATGCAATTTATTACATTCGATTCACATTTTCTTCCCTTTTTTAACTTGCACATTCAGTGACTTTTGGAATCAAGTTGTTCTCGGTCTTCTTCTAACGAACGATGACACAAAATTAGATTGAAATTGTCTTGTCTTTCTTAGAGTAAATTGGTTTCATCATACTCACTCAATTGTACAAAAGCCGAAATGCAGTAAAATTATAATAAGATCTTCATCAAGAAAAAATTGATGGTCGTTAAATCCGTTCATTTAAATATGTTAAAAGTAAAAAAAAAGTTAGATTTTCTTTGTATCATTACAAAAAAATATATCATAAGCAAAGGTGGACGAAACCATGATTTAGTATAATTGCAGCAACCTCAATTATCCTCTTTATATCAAGAAAAAAAGAAGAAGAAAACCCCATAATTATCATCTCAGTTTAGTTTACCAAGCACGCGTCTTTCTTTTTTGGCAACAAACAATAAAAAAGATTATGTTATATTCTGTTAGAAACATTTTATTTCTGTTACAACAAAATGAAATGAAACTATAGTGTATGTATGTTGTTAGAAATTAAATTTAAAAATATGACGTACAAAAGAATAAAGTGAATGAGAAAGAAAAAAAAGAGAGGGGCAAAAGTGGAAAAAGAAGAGATAGAGAAGGGAGGAATAATTGCTAAGAAATAATAATATGGGGCCAACTGACCATGGAAAAAGATGAAGCAAAAGAGAGAGAAAAAGACAATTCAATCCGAGTCCTGAGAGATAATACAAATTAGGGACAAAGGAATGGTTTTGTTTTAAGACAGAGAGAGATGATGGTGGGAGGTTAAAATCTCCAAACCCCCAAAGTTCTTCATTTTCAATCGACGATGCTAAATGGCTGCTGCCATTGATCTCTTCTCTTAGCTATCTCCTCTTGTTTGGGGCATGGAAGAAGAGCTTGCCATGCTTAGACAGCTCATCGGTCAGCTTCAAGAGCTCTTGCACAACGGCTCTCCTCCTCTTCCTTCTTCTTCTTCATCACCGTCTTCTTCTCCGTCGTTTTTAGTACTCCACCATCCTCAGTATCAGAACGGGTGAATATCTTTCTCTCTCTGTGACTAGATCTATGTGTGTGTGGAGATTTCGATCCTATTTTTGCAAATTGGGGCAACCTCGTAATGTCTTTTGGTTTAGGGCTTTTTTGATTGCTCCGTTTTGTTTAGGTTTCAACTTCGATTGTTTCTTAGAATCATGCAATCCCCATATGTCTAAGGTCTGATGATGATTCTTTTGTTTTTGCTTTTAAATTAGCTGAAAGAGGAATTGATTCGATTTGGTCATATAAAGGGCATCGCTTTGTCAATATGCTTGTTAAAACTCTCTTCATTCCTATCATTCTATTCTTCTGCTTCCCCGAAGCCTCCAGTGTTTGTTATTTCATCGAATCTTGTGCTTACTATTACACTAGTCTTATCATTTTAGGTCAATAGATAAGTATTTTCTTAAGGCTCTCCTTACTTTGATAGTAGTCTTGGCAAATTTTCCTGTGCATCATTTGAAAGCACCCCTTTTATTTGGTTGTTTGTCTTTTAGTTTGGTCTGCTTGAAAGTGTCTTCCTTTGCTCAAGCTCGTGCACATCAGTACTGTCCCATGTTAAAAATACATACCCACTAGTCACTTGTGACGAGTAACTGCGGATTTTTCTTTGAATCCTGACTAAAGGCTTACCCTTTGCATTACCTCGAGCTTTACTTCTTGAAGCATCTAATTGTATGTGTTTATGTGCCACTTTTCTGGACTAGAAAAGGTTTATTCTTTTAGCTGGTTTACTGCTGCCCTTTTCTCTGGTATACTTATTTGTTGTTGATTTGATGGGAAGTCTTTGTTTCCAGTGTAATGATATCATTTTTAGAAAAGAGGAATATGTGTCGTTTTCCTGACAGATAGTACCATGTTTTTTTTCTGTTATGGCAGATGGTGTTTGCCCTGTATTGAGGAAACTTCTGCTGATGATTGTTGTGATATTGTAATGGCTGCTGGAAAGAGGCCTGGGATCTTCAAGATGTTAGAAACTGTCAAGCCTCCCGTCAAACGAACTCGAAAAGACCGGAATCAAGGGAAATCATGTACAGAAGGAGATGACATAAGTGGAAACATGGATCAAGAAATCTGGCAGGAATTTCCTCAAGATCTCTTTGAAGCTGTTGTTTCCAGGCTACCAATTGCTACATTTTTCCAGTTCCGTGCAGTTTGCCGTAAATGGAATGCTCTTATTGAGTCAGATAGCTTCTCCAGATGCTTCACTGAGCTGCCTCAGACCATCCCATGGTTCTATACCATAACCCACGAGAATGTCAACTCGGGACAAGTGTACGACCCTTCTTTGAAGAAATGGCACCATCCAATTATCCCAGCACTACCCAAGAAGAGTATTGTTTTGCCAATGGCTTCTGCAGGAGGTCTAGTGTGCTTCCTCGACATTGGTCATAGGAACTTCTATGTGAGCAACCCGCTGACCAAGTCTTTCAGAGAGTTGCCTGCTAGGTCGTTCAAGGTCTGGTCTCGTGTTGCAGTAGGAATGACTCTGAATGGAATCTCCACCAGTCATGGGTATAAGGTCTTGTGGGTTGGATGTGAAGGAGAGTACGAAGTGTATGATTCCCTGAGTAATGTGTGGACCAAACGAGGGACCATCCCGTCCAACATAAAGCTCCCGGTGTTGCTCAACTTTAAGTCACAGCCAGTGGCTATCCACAGCACACTTTACTTCATGTTAACAGATCCCGAAGGGATATTGTCCTACGACATGGTCTCTGGGAAATGGAAGCAGTTCATCATACCGGGCCCACCAGACCTGAGCGATCACACGCTGGCTGCGTGCGGAGAGCGGTTGATGCTGGTGGGTCTACTGACTAAAAACGCTGCCACTTGCGTTTGCATATGGGAGCTGCAGAAGATGACACTGTTGTGGAAGGAGGTTGACAGAATGCCAAACATATGGTGCTTGGAGTTTTACGGAAAGCACATTAGGATGAATTGTCTGGGCAACAAAGGTTGTCTGATATTATTGTCCTTGAGGTCTAGACAGATGAACCGTCTGATAACCTACAATGCTGTTACAAGGGAATGGGCCAAGGTCCCTGGCTGCACCGTTCCTCGTGGGAGAAAAAGACTTTGGATCGCTTGTGGAACAGCGTTTCATCCCTCCCCTACAGCTAGGGCTTGATCATCTTTTCTCTTGGTTCAATTTCCCTGGCCATCTTTGAGGTTGTATTCGAACGGTTCACACACGGTTGGTTTATTTCTGTTGTTTGATTTCGGTTTTGATTTTCGAGACTGTAAAATATACAAAACGTTCTGTGTTGTAATAAATAACTTGGGTTGTGTGGCACTTCTTTAACCTGTGAGCAAAGTTTCATAAAAAGTACCCAAGTCCGGAAGGAACTATTTAACTGTTTTTGTATTTGGTATCACATAACAACAACAGTATCTAACTTGAAGAAAATACTTAGCGTTGGATATAATAACTTAAAAGAAAATATTCTTCATGACATGATATAATAAACAGAAAGTTGACACATTCTACAGTATAAGGAGAGAAAAAAGAGAGTAGACAGAAGAAGATTCTACATTTTGAAAACTGCTTCTTCTAGCTTGACTGTGATTTGGTTTATGCCATGCCCCCGCTAGTTGCGGTCCTGATGATCTGAAAGAGAGCTGTAACAAAGCATATACAAGGTCAATAAATATAGAAACATACACATAGTATAATCAAATGATTCAGATTCCAGACTATGTTCGTTACTGGTGTTATATATATCATGGGACAAAGAAGAAATTGTAGAACCAACACCAATGTCCAAATCAAGGAGCACGAAGCCTAACTTAAAGAAGTTATTTGGCTCCCTCAACATAGAATAGTAAGTTTTAAGCAAGTAAAGTTAGGGAATGAGGAATTAGAAGAAGAGGTACTGACATGATCCAATGACAACGAAGACAAAGAAGCCGAGAAGGATGGGACCAACAGGGTAATCCTTGCCCTTCTTGGTGGTGGTCTCAGGAACAAAACCTCTTTTTAATATGTTCTTGTCGAATTTCTCAATCTTCCTGTCTGCGAGTCTTTTTGAAGTTGTCTGCAGCAATTATCAAATCAACCCCATTCAATAACCATCATTATATATCAAATCAGAATCTCTTCTTTTACACACTCAACAAAACATCCAAATTTGGGTACCAAAATCATGTATTTATGCAAATCATCAGAGAAATTGGGCAAAGGACAGGTAAAAATTCGGCCATGCATCTAAATCAAAGTAACAATACACATAATGCAGATCAGAACTTAGCTAATCCGACTCGAAATTTCGAAAACAGATCCATCATTTCTAACTAATCAACAGATTAAATGTTCAATTTGACATGATGCGATATACACCAGGATTCAAAATTCAAACATATTGAATCAGATCGGAGATACAAAGGATAATTTTAGCCAATCAAAACATGAATTCAGATCCCCATTATCCAAACGACAAAACAAACCATAAGAAAGTGTTATGGGCAAAGATTGAGATCGCATTCATACCATGATTACGCCGGAGAAGAAACACTTGGAAGCGAATAAGGAATTGAAATGACGATCGCGAGCCGAATATCAATTTTTTTTTTTTTTGTTTTCTTAAGTTTTGTCTTCTTTGTTTCAATATATCTCTCTCTTTTTTTTTTACCTCTGTGTTTCACCACCTAAAAAGGGGTTCGGTCTTGCTATTCTCACAACGAACATTGTCACGGCCCATATGTGATTGGATATTGAGACGTGTGATGTCTACGTGGCTTTCGATAATTGGATCGTTATTTTCAGATTTTAAGAGCTTGAGAAGGCAGGCTCGAGATGAGAGACTCGTTGGACAAAAATCAGACGTGTCATGTCAACTACTGAAAATCTAGCGGACGTGTTTGAAAGTCAAAGCACAAACCTTTATGGGGTCAATATTTCCCAAACAAACAATCTTAGCTTTCTAGTTTTCTACGAGTAGTAACCTCAAAACTTAGTGACCTTGGTGTTACGGACCGTTTTTCCTAGACGGGTCATGAATGTTGTGTTACTTTTAAGAGTCTCTTCGTATAGAGCTTGTGAGAGAGATTCTCAGGTTTCTTACACTTTGTATGATCTTGAAAAAAAAAAACACACATGGTATTGGAGATTCATGGTTTGGGACTGACAATAGTTTTCCTTGAATAATGTTTTGGGGGATATGAAGAGAAATGCCGAACTTTAGATATTCTTGGTGATGATAAGATAATGTGTAACTTTTATAGTATGCATATTTACATCGTTTTGTAGGAGGACAAAGCAAAATCTCGTCGAACTGCCCGGCCCATAACTAAATTTCAGTATCACTTTCACTTGACATCATCAAAAGACTCACGTAATTCCACAAAAGCTAAAATATATGTCTATCAAAGAGCCATATGAAAGTGAATTAGTCTAGTTTACGTTTTCACTCCTCTCGGTTTACATTTTAAAAGTCCTACCAATAAATGGTATGTACTATGTACTAAGTACTAACGGTATATGTATTTGACCAAACTCAAAATATTAATTTTAGTAATGCTTTTAATGTATATTAATTTTAATGCCCCTCAACAAAGTTTAGTCAATAATAAAATCAGTTGCCAAAAAAAATAAACAAGTCTTAGTCAGTTCATCATCGTACGTCTATTACTTTTTCATTCAATTGTGATTTTCTCGGGGATGGACACTCTAAAATATTAGTATTAGTGTACTTGTGAAAGTAATATATAGAGGTTTATAGATATTAGTATTAAAACTTGCACGAATGTAGGAATGAATAGTAGGGTACTAGGTTCTAATTTTCTAACGAATGAAAAGAGTTGCAGACATTTTGAATTAATTGTCTGAACATACAAATTGCGGGCGATAAGAATGTGAAAAAAGATCCACAATATAATCGAGCTTTCTTGCTTAATTAACAAAATGATACTACATGATTTTATTTCTATTTAGAGAGAACTAGCGCCTACAATTAGTTACAACTTACAAATATTTCATCATTTACTTTGTTGTCCATGATTCTAATACAATTAGGCCGGAAATTAAATAATCACTAGGATCGGACCCGGACGTACGTCCGGGGTTATGATAACATAGTATTTTCTGAATAAGTAATTTATGTTATTAGGTTGTGTGTGTTTGTTTGGAAAACAAAATTTGGTATGACTATGTAAATGTGATTATATTTGAGAGATGACATTATTGAATAATATGGTATGGTAAATCAATCTAAGTGGTATTTAAAAGATGTATGTGCGTAGAGTATGTATAAAAAATAATTGGGTTTGGAGGGGTTACATTTGGTAATAATAAATAAAAGATGTATTATATATTCAATAGATAATAATAGATAATTTAAAAAAATGTGATAATCTTAAAAATGTAATTTCCTATGTATAACTTAAGTATTTATAATTTAGTACCGTTCTTATTACAAATTTAAAAATTATAGAGGCCCAAAAAACTATAAATAATTAATTTTAGTTAGGCCGAGTTATTTATATTATATGTTTTTGAAAACAAAATTGTTGGGCCAAATGTTATGTTAGCCCATGTAACTTGCGGATTTTATAAAGTAGTATGTGTTGTTTGTACGTATTAATTCTTTCCTAAATTGAAGTTTGAAATATTAACACAATGTAGTCTTTTTTTTTAATAAATAATATTCCTAAACAGTTGTCAAATATAATGCATGATATAGTTAATAAATGAATAATATAGAATAGAAATTGAATATTACACAGATTCAAAATAACTGCCTTGCATAATTCCAGATATACCACAAGTTCAAGAGTTAAAAAAATAACAGAAATAGGCAAGACATTAATTTGGATAAAAATCCAAAGTAACAAACGGGTAAGTACAATGGATTCTCAAACATTTTTTCTTCCAGACTCAGTCGTGGATGCTTCATTTTATTTATTTTTTGTCATCACATTGTTGAGATAATAACGACCAGCAAATTCGCATCTGAGATAATAACGACCAGCAAATTCTTCCTTGATCTTGGAATTAATCTACAAATTAACAACCTCAAAATATAAGATAAAATGCAAATATTAATTAAAAATAATTTTTTGCTAGCAAGTCTTTCACGTGCAAAAACATGGAATCTATATCCATGGATGCCAAAAACAATGAAAAATTTTTTGAATCCAGAGGGATACATCGATCATGATTATAAATATATATGTTCAATATTAGACTCATTCATATCAGTTTTTATGTTCAGTGATTTCTTCCCCTATTATTTTGGTTGGTAATATATCTTACATTTGTTGATTTGGAGCGTATGGTAACCAGTTTGATCATATAGCACAAAGTACCAATTTCTTCTATTTTCTGATGATGCTGAAACTTAGGAAAATTTAGTTTCTGACCTTTGCATTGTTATTAATTAGAAGAATGTTCAAAGAGAGAAAAAAAAATGTTCGAAGAGATAAATACCAAAACTCTAATAAAAATCTCTTTTTGAAAAATATATACATATATAAACGAAAAGGAGTATTGATGAGAAGACGTCACGGAACGTCAACGATTTTATTTTAATTTCATTTGTTTAATTTTCATTTTTATCTTTGTTTAAATGTAATATTACATTGCACATTTTTATTGATTAAACTTAGAGGAAATGAATAAAGGAGTTTCAAACCTAAAAGAATTTTATTATTGAAGCATAAGAATCCATTTATAATCCGAATAAAAAAACCAGAGCAACACAACCCAAACTTTAACACGAACAAATAAAAAACTAAAAGGCCTACGATGTCTAGCTATTAGTTCTTCCATATGCCGTGGAGAATCATAGTTTTGGCTTTATTCCTTGTGTTTTGTAATCTTTTAACTGCAAAGGAAAAACAACTTTATAAACTAAGGTGTATTAAAAACCATTAACGTCATATTTTGTCATGTCCAAATATAACTTCTATTAAAAATACAAACCTGAAGAGCTTTTATAGCTTGTGCGTTGCAGTTTACATGTTACCTTGGCTTCAATCCTATATTGATATAGATATAAGTAATACATATAAGTAATGTTTTCATGTAAATCAGAGACATAAACATTTGAAACATACAAAACCATTTTTTTTTTCTTTTTTTCATATACCTGATCGCCTTGGGAGAACACACCAAAGTGCTACCATGTGGTAGCATCGCCAATATCTAAGAACAAAACCATTTTTACACCACAATTATTTCTCATTTAATTAGAACAAAAAAAATCAAATAAACAAAAGACTATATACATGCTTTTCATTTGGTTAATGAAGTACCTTTTCATCTGTTAAAAAATCATTAAGTTAGGAGAAACAAAAAAAAAAGTATTTTAGTGGAACTAAATAAATAGATTAGAAAAATCTGACCATTCTCCTTTAGTCATAAAGCTCCCAATATTCTTCACATATTCTTGTTTCAGTCCAAGCTAAATTTTAGATACCTACAATCACACAAAGTAAATAGGCATTATCAATCAAAAAATTTATAAGACAATAAACAGAAAAGAGATAACATGTGAATTAAGCAATGCGGAATATATATGAACATGGCTAAAGAATGAAACTAAACAAATGAATTAGAGAAAGAGGCTTGTCGATAGAAGCACTATTTATACACAAAAATCTGTAACGATTTAGGTTTTTTTACAAAATATTTCATCATTAAAACATATATTTAAATATAGAAGATTTTCTCAATATTTATGGTTCCTACAATTGCTAAGAAAGATTTTGTTAGTAATTTAGGTAAATATGATCATTTTTCAATTTTAAAACATATAGAATATTTACGGAAACGAAAAAATGTAATTTAAGGAAATAATCTATATTTTTGGTAGGAATATAAGGAAAGAATATTATTTGAATAGATTTTTACTCCGAATTTTTTTTGTTAAGATTGCAAAAACTATTGGATTATCCTTAAATTATTTTAAAATATGGTAGTTAATGACACTACATTTTCGGAAAGTAGTATATTTTGTTAACTTGTTGGTTGTTAAATTTGCGTAACACATGGCATTTGAATTTAAATCTTGCAAGATACCCGATGTATAAAACTATTTTCTCGAAATATATAAATACACGTAGACAATCCTGATTCCGAATATGTAAACCGCTAATGGAACGGATTAGAACACTATCCAAACAAAACCTTATTAATCTCACGTTAAAAAAAAATTAGAAGCTGATTAGGTGTGTTTGGATACACCCTCTATAGTAAGGGCAAAAATGGAATGTTTTTTGAAAAATTATAGGCTAAAATCGTTTTTGTGCTGCCGCTTTAATATAATAGATATTTTATCCAATGCTTCCTAATTAATAGTATAAATCTACACTATTAATATCATAAACTTTTATAGATTGGTAACATCGTTGATAAATATTTCTCGTTGCAAAATTGTAATATCGTTGATAAATATTTATAATTTTAGTATTTACCAACCCGCAAATATTTAATTTTATTTAAAAACATATTATTTCTATTATTAATTTAGTTTAGTTGCTAATAATTTAACGTTTACATCTATACTATTAATTGTTTACATATTACGATTTGACAAAAACAAAATATTAGATGGAATGTATGTCGCATATTTTTTTGGCTATGTACTTAATTTGTTATATTTGGTAAATGAGAAAATATCGGAATATATTTATAACATAAATATTATTACTTAGATTTTACAGTTAAAATATTTTGTATTTTTCAATTAATGACATTCGATTTATGTTGAATTTTTTGGTTTTATCTCTAACAAATTGAAAAATACAAATTCGATTTATATTCGAAATAAATATATATTGATGCTGAATATTCATTTATTATTTAATATTTAATGTTGTTTCCTTTTTTATTTTTGTAGACAAATCATACCAAAAATATTGACGAAGCAAATCTCGGAATATATTGGTCATTTAATCCCGTTATTTGTTTTTGCAAAAAATTAATGAAGGATCCGAATCAAATATATTTATTTAGTTGTAGTAATTGTTTATTTACTAAATTGCCCATGTAAAAATTCATTTAGTTAATCTTAAACTACCCTCACAATGTTGTAGTTCACAAAATGCTTCCCAATTAATAGTATAGATTTTCAGTATACAATTGAATCGGTGTTGTTAAAAATTTAATTCGTTTTAATAAGACATCAAACTAAATAAATATTTGTTAAGTTAAGGAAAAAAAAAAGGAAGAAGAAAAAGAAAAAGAGTCTTTGAGCTACTCTCATTCGATTTCCCTCGGGCGATTTTGGTGTATCGTCCCCTTCACTGTATTTCTTAGTCAAAAGCCTCTTCTCCGATCGTTGACCGACCTCCGGAGATTTCTTCGGCCGTCTCTTTTCTGTTTCCTACTTGAGGTTTCTACTCTTACTCCCTCAAATTAATGGAAAACTTAGATTTGGGCGTCTGTCTTCTCGTTATTTATCTCAGAATTCAGCTTTATGCGTTATAGATCGATGAATCAATGAAGTTACTTTCAAGGTGAATGGTCTCTAGGTATAGAGAATTTGTCAAAATGGCGAATTTGATTGTAACATTTGGTAACTTTTTTTTAATCACTTGGTTAGTTAGTTTGAACTTATTGGTTTGGGGGACCACTGGCTTTCATTAGATAGGACTAGGAGGGACCTTGATTGGGATCGAAACCTAACTTACTGTCACTTTTTTTTATCGTTCAATCTTTATTGCTGCGTATAGGTCCACTAATGCCTGAGCTTGGTGCCGTTTTCTTTGACATAAGAGTTAATTCAATGAGTAAAGTTCTAAGCTTTATAGTCTTTGGTTTTGAGGAAGTTAGTTAGGAACCTTCTCCAAGTACAAAGGAGGAATGGGTAGGGAAGGCTTTGCATTTACAATGTGTACATCGTGTTTCTTGACAAGTTACTGATAGATACTCTATGCAAATTTGATTTGAGGAATGTAGGACCAATTCAATAAATGCCACTTAGTTTTTGTGTGATGGAGAGCACGAGAAGAAAAGTAATACCCTTCCTCTCTTGCCCTTTTTGCTGGTCTGGGTGAAACATAGAAAAGTTTCTCTTGCTGAAGTTAATGATAAAAGGGTGAGCAATAAACGCTGATAAGCCGTGTCTGCTGCTTGAAATTCTGAAGGTTTTTTTTTTTCCTTTCTTATGGTATTGGTAGTTGAGGGTGTCGTCGATAAGGTATCTGTTTGGCTAGCCAGTGTAATATATAGGATTGATTGATTGTCTAGTCTTTTCTTATTTGATTTTCGCTTCCATTTACTAATCCTAGTTCTGAAAACTTGTAGTTGTTGTAGGATTTGTTCCTCTGGCTCTGGTGGTAGGTCTATGAAATCAACCCATATCTTGAATGGACTGCAACATGGTATCTTCGTTCCAGTGGGACTGGGAGAGTTTGATCATGTCCAATCCGTCAAGGGCTGTAAATGACAGCAAGCAGCTATCTACTGAGTGGGAAATTGAAAAAGGTGACGGAATTGAATCTATAGTTCCACATTTCTCAGGCCTTGAGAGAGTCAGTAGTGGCTCTGCCACCAGTTTCTGGCACACTGCTGTATCAAAAAGCTCACAGTCGACGTCTATCCATTCATCATCTCCCGAAGTCAAACGATGCAAGCTTGCATCAGAAAGTTCTCCTGGAGATTCTTGCAGCAACGTAGATTTTGTCCAGTTTAAGGCATCCACAGCTCCCGAGGTATCCGTTGCCTCAGCTGAATCAGATCTTTGTTTAAAACTAGGAAAGCGGACATACTCTCAAGAATATTGGGGTAGAAATAATAATGAAATTTCAGCAGTTTCTATGAAGTTGGTGACTCCATCTGTTGTTACTCGGAAAAATTCGAAATGTGGTCAGAGCATGCTAGTCCCGCGTTGCCAAATTGATGGTTGTGAACTGGATCTCTCATCTGCTAAGGGTTATCATCGTAAGCATAGAGTCTGCGAAAAGCATTCAAAGTGCCCAAAAGTTAGCGTGAGTGGCCTGGAACGTCGATTCTGCCAACAGTGTAGCAGGTAAAACCGGTGGTTATGTTCTGTCCTCCATTAATTTTTAAGTTGCATTCTCTTTAGTCTTGACTGTAGAGTGCGCATTCAGTTTAATTATCCCAAAACAACTTTTACATGCTCCTTTTTATATTATACGGTAGAGATGATCACATTCTAATTTTCAGGTTCCATGACGTCTCTGAATTTGATGATAAGAAACGAAGCTGTCGAAAACGTCTTTCTCATCATAATGCGAGGCGTCGTAAGCCACAAGGAGTATTTCCAATGAATCCAGAGAGGCTGTATGGTAAGAACATATACCGCAATTTGATATAATCAATATTTTCTAAGGATCTTTCCATCAGTCTATTTTGTCTGACTCTATCACACGCACATACACACATACATACCCAAATTCATTTAGTGGAATCTAATGTAACGTGTTTACTCCTCCAGATCGAAGACAGCATACAAATATGTTGTGGAATGAGTTGTCCCTTAACACGAGATCAGAAGAATTGTATGAATGGGGTACCACTTATGATACAAAGCCTACACAGACAGAAAAAGGCTTTACTCTGAGCTTCCAGAGAGCTAATGGCTCTGAGGACCAGTTGGTTGCTAGTAACAGCCGTATGTTCTCTACAGTTCAAACCTCAGGCGGGTTCCCAGCAGGGAAGTCCAAGTTTCAACTTCATGGCGAAGGTTGGTATATGCACCTCTGCACTAGTCCTTTAATATATGGATGGAGTAGATCTCTGTTGATTTGATCTCTAGTCCTTTAAAGATTGGGTTAAATCTTTTGGCAGGTGTGGGAGAATACTCAGGAGTCCTCCATGAATCTCAAGATTTCCACCGTGCCCTCTCTCTTCTGTCAACCTCTTCGGATCGCCTGGCCCAACCACATGCGCAGCCATTCTCTCCACTCTGTTCATATGATGTTGTACCAAAATAGATGAGTAAGTAATGTGTAATTTGTAAAAACTGTTACTCAGTTGGTGGATACTTTCCAAACTTATTATAAAAACCCCATCCTGGATCCCGTTGAATCGGCTACTATGTTATCATTATACTTGTTTAGCATCCTAGTACCAAGTCATTGTCAACAAAACTCTAAACAGTAAATATATCTATATATATACCTCAGATAGGCTCTGCAAAGTATCTCTCTGTATTGATAGCAAATCAAGGGGAAGCTGTAAGAATTTAATTAAAGGCTGCTGAAATTTACTTTTCTCACCTCTAGATCAAATTTCTTGGAGACATACTTGTGAGTAGGTAAATCTTTTCAACTAAGGAAGAGTTCCACTCCTTTTAGGATTGTCAGCAACAGATCAAAATCAACAAGAGTTTTGAGGTTTCTAAGAGCCATATATTACAAATCAGTTTCGTATCAACTTTGTATCAGAGTAGTTACTGTTTGATGGGTGAGGCTGTAGTAGAAGATAAGAGACATCAAAGAAAAGAAAAAAACAATGAGAAGTGGGAAGAGATTAGAAGCCAAATTGAAAAGAGACATCCATTTAATGATGATTGTTGAAAGGCTATTGAAAGATCAAAGATTGAGAAGAAATAGAAAGTTGAAAGATGACAAGTTTTGGAGGTTTAAGTACAAACCCACAGTAGGGGACCAAATTATAAATTTCAATTTCATACTCAAACGACAAAAAAAAAATGCCCGAGGAGTGTAAATTAAAAGAGAGAACCATGTGCATAATGGATTGATGTTGAAGTTAATAGAAAAAGAAAGACAAGGATTGAAATTAATGTATATTGTCACCAAGTGGTCTGTGAGAAGTTGTTGTCGCTTGTTATAACAGTTTGGAGGAACTTCTTGACAAAATGGAGGAGACAAAAGGTTAGGCACCAATACAAGAACATGCACAGTACAAAAATTAAGCAGAGGTCCTTTTAATATATCAGATTTTTTTTCCAATTGAGTCTCAGACTTGAGCTCCAATATTACGGAAAGCACCTTAAGGAGTGAAGTAAGATAGAGCATGGCTATAAAAGTGCCTACCAAGTGTTTCATAAGAGGTCCTTGCAAGATTTATCTTCAACATTGTGCAACTTCCACAAAAAGTACTCATTGAGTGTATATTGGTTCTTCTATTTTTTAACGGCTTTGTGTATTCCTTATTATTCAACTACACTAACCAAATCCTGGAGCTCAATAGTGACATTTCTTGTTGAGTCAAATGTATCTTCTTCACCCACAAGAGAATGTTCAGGTTTGTTGAAATGGTTGGCCTCTAATACCCACAAATCAAACTTTTTTAGATTTGGTTCCTTCTTAAAAAGCAGAAGTTGTCTTGCATAATTCTCACAGACTTCACTGCGCAAAGATGTTTAAACTAATATTACAAAATCAATGATCTCTGAACTGGTTTTAAAATAATCGTAGACATGTTTGACAGAGTAACAAAGTTGATATACAACAGAATCCAGGAAGAAATTGACTTAATATGTTTGGAAATGTATTAGAAAAGCTGAGCTAACCGAGTAACTGGTTTAGCTTGAGCAATGAACGTTACACATTTTTATTTTATTTGAAAACAAACTCCATCGGATGCAACCCGACTTTTTATGGAGTGACTTCCTTACTCTTTCATATGAAATGAGTAGGGAAAGTGCCAAATATTGGCGGTGGTTCGGCCACGGGATTGTGTTTGATCCCTTGTGAATCCGAAGTTGTTGACAGAAGAGAGAGAGCACTGTAGAAATCATGAGATTCATGGAGGCCTCCTGAGCATTCTCCCACACCTGCCAAAACATATCACTCAGTTTCAAAACCAGAGATCTACAAAAGGCCAATGGATCAGCAAACATCCAAACAAATACAAGATGACCAGTAAAGAAGTGAAGATATCAACCTTTGTCAGGAAGTTGAACGTTGGATTTCCCTGCTGGGAACCCGCCAGAGGTTTGAAACGCAGAGAAAGAGAGGCTGCTACTAGCAAACAGCTGCTCCTCAGAGCCATTACCTCTCTGGAAGCTCAGAGTAAAGCCGCTTTCCATCTGTGTAGGCTTTGTCTCATAAGTGGTACCCCATGCATACTTTTCTTCAGATCTCGTGTTAAGGGACAACCCATTCCACAACATACTTGTATGCTGTCTTCGATCTGCAAATGTAAACATTTCACATTAGATTTCCCTGATATGAGCTTTTTATGTGTGTGTGATATAGAAAGATATAATACACAGATGGAAAGATCCTGAGGAGACATCACTAATATCAAGTTGTGGTGTAGGTTCTTACCGTACACCCTCTCTGAATTCAGTGGAAATACACCTTGTGGCTTGCGACGCCTTGCATTATGATGAGAAAGACGTTTGCGGCAGCTTCGTTTCTTCTCATCAAATTCTGATACAGCATGAAACCTGAAAATTAGAAAAGAAATCAATTCTCTACCATAATATCAGGGCATGTTAAAGTTATTGCTGGACAAGTAAACAGAACTATCATTTTGCAGTAAAGACAATGCAGTCAGAACAATAATCACGGTCTTACCTGCTACACTGTTGGCAGAAACGACGTTCCAGGCCACTCACAATAACTTTTGGGCACTTTGAATGCTTTTCACAGACTCTATGCTTGCGATGATAATCCTTAGCAGATGAGAGATCCAGCTCACAGCCATCAATCTGGCAACGCGGAACTTGCATGCTCTGACCACACGATTTGGTTTTCTTCCGAGCAACAACAGATGGAGTCAACAAATTCATAGAAACTGCTGAAATGTCATTATTGTTCCTGCCCCAAAATTCTTCAGAGTATGTCCGCTTTCCTAGTTTTAAACAAAGATCTGATTCAGCTGAGGCAACAGATACCTCGAGAGCTGTGGATGGCTTCACCTGGACAAAATCTATGTTGCTGGAAGAATCTCCAGGGGAACTTTGTGATGCAAGATTGCATCGTTTGACCTCGGGAGATGATGAGTTGATAGAGGTCGACTGGGAGCTTTTTGATACAGCAGTGTGCCAGAAACTAGTGGCAGAGACACTACCGACTTTCTCAAAGCCTAAGAAATCTGGAACTATAGATTCAATACCATCACCTTTTTCAAATTCCCACTCAGTAGATTGCTGCCTTTTTTCATTTTCAGTCTTCGAAGGATTGGACATGATCAAATTCTCCCAGTCCCACTGGAACGGAGATACCATGTTGCAGTCCATTCAAGATGTGGGTTGATTTCATAGACCTATCACCAAAAGCCAGAGTAACAGAAACTGAAACAACCATAAGTTTGCAGAAGTAAGTATTATAAATGAAAGCCAAAATCAAATAAGAGAAGACTAGACAGGCCTATAAATAAGTATGGCCAGCCAAGCAGATACCTAATAGACAACAACACCATTAACTACAAAACCATAAGAAAGGAGAAAAACCTTATGAGAATTTCAAGCACCACACACTGCTCATGGACGTTTTTTTTAACCCACCCGTTTATCATTAACCTCAGCAAGAGAAACTTTGCTATGTTTCACCCAGACCAACAAAAAGGGCAAGAGAAAGGGTATTACTTTTCTTAGCTCCCTCTTGCGCTCTCCATCACAGAAAAACTAAGTGGCATTTATTCCAAATGGTCCCACACTCCTCAATTCAGATTGCCCAGAAAATCAACAACTTGTTAAAGCACACGACTTAAACAAGTCATCAAACCAAAAGCCATCATAATTACAAACCCTTCCCTACCCATTCTCCGTTTGTACTTGCAGAAAGTTCTTAGCTAACTTCCTAAACCTAAAAGCTTACTATTGGGTTCTACAAATTCACACATTGAATAAAGTATATGTCAAAGAAAACGGCACCAAGCAAAGCCATGAAGGGAGCTATCTCCAGCAATAAAGATTGAACTAACAAAAGGAGACAGCAAGTTAGGTTTCGATCCCAATCACGGTCCCCTCAGCTAGGGTTTTCCATGAAAGCAAATGGTCCCCCAACCAACCATTAAATTCATCTAACTAACCGAAACAAAGTTATCGATGCTACAACAACAAATCCAATTCGCCTAGTAAAATTAAAACCACAGACTTGTGAAAAAGAAAAGCTAAAGAGAAGAAAACGATTCACCATTGTAACAAATTCTCAATACCTAAGACTTATTCACCATGAAGTAAATTCATTGATTCAACGATCTATTTCAACTTAGCAGAACAATTAAGCTAAAAATGAAAAGCCCAAATCTCAGGAGAAAAAAGTATGAGTAAGAGAAGAGAAACCTCGAGTAGCAAAACAGAAAAGAGACCGCCGAAGAAAGCTCCGGAGGTCGGTCGGCGATCGGAGAAGAGAATACTAAGAGCGAGAGTGAGGAGGAGACACCATTATCGCCTGAGGGGAATCGGATGAGCTGCTCTCGATTAATTTCATCCTTCCAATTTTTCATTTTTGTTCCATTATTCCTTTCCTTTTTGTTACTGTTGTTTCTTTGCTTTTTCATTTTTTTTCTTTTTTTTTTTATTGGTGACATTTTTTTTTTTTTTTTTTACAGGCTCACAGAGCACTAGAGCAGCTTAATTTCTTGTTCTTTTGGCGTAACTTTTAAAGTTGTTTACATGACATCATTTATATACTGCAAATAAAAGTTTTCTAATAGTAGAAAATAATCAATATTTTTTTCTCTGTGGATAAAAAATGTTTTTTTTTAACATATCTAGAGGAAATCGAACAGGAAAAATAAAACAAGATCGTGAGATGCATCCATAGATGGGAAATTATAATTTGCATGAAAGATGATTATGAGTAACAAAACTTACCAAAACTGAATCGTTAAGGAATGAGATTGATTATTGAATTTTGAGGTACTATGTACTTGCAACCGAATAAGATGATCTTACGACTAGTTATCAAAACTATTGAAAGAAATGTCATATAGTTGATTTAGTACTAGAAGATGCGAAAATCAGACGGCCGTGAGATGAAACCCGGCGAATGGAAAAGATGAGGAGGAGTTGTCAAAAGTGGTCATGGTTCCATCAACTCCGATGTGGCTCAAGTGCTTCACGTCCGTTGGAAATCCTATCTCAATCTCCGCCTCTGTCTCTTTCGTTTCCTCTTCGTAACCTGGTCAGAGAGTATTTAATTTGTGTCCTATCAACAATACATAAATGATGAATCTATTACTAATTTGAGCGTGTTTCTCTAATTACCCTAACCAATTTTTAGCGCTTTTACTAAACAGGAATCACACACATAAGTTTATGCCTTTATGGTAACTCAGAATGTAAAACTACCATGCAAACACATATACATTCTATGTAGAATTGAGATAATTAAAATAAATTACGCCAACTCATAGGTAAAATGGTTACAATCTGAGAGATGCTATCTAGACAAACTAGGACTCAGGACCTCCGCGATGTCGCGGGAGAATATATTTCAAAAATCATTTAAAAAAATACCAAACGAAAAAATCATAATGAATTGTAATAATTTTAAATTTTTTTTAATAACAAATCAATATATATTTTACAAAAATTATGATAAAGTAAACCCTCACAAGCATATTTTAATTATATTAATATTAGAAAAACAATAATTTGTAACTAAAAAACTATTCGCAAGTGTAAAAAGCATAAACTAATAAACCAAATATTACAATGGTTTGATAAATAAGCCAAAACGTTCAACGTCAAATAAACCAAATGCTATTGTGTTAAATTAAACGGTAACAACAATTCATTTAAATATATTTTAGTATTTAAATATTTTTTAAAAATATGACGAACTTATCCGAGAAACGCAACCGTAGATATCAAATATTTCAAAAACTGCAACGGTTCGTCAATTATACCAAATGTTGCAATAGTTCATCAAATATACTAAAGATAACAATGGTTCGTAACACAAAACTAAAAGTTGCAATAATTCGTCAAATAATCCAAATGTTGAAACAGTTCAATTAAATAGTTACAATCTCATTTAAATATATTCTAGTAATTATAAATTAAGAATTAAAATAATAATTTATGAAAAATTACACCGAGAAACGCGGCGGTAGATAATTAAATGTTATACCTATTTACAAAATAAACCAAAAATTGCAATTGTTCGTGAAATAAACTAAATATATAAACCAAAGGTTGCAATTGTTCGTAAAATAAACTAAATATTGCAATGATTCGAATAAGCGGTTTCGACTGTTTATGAATAGTTACAATAAAAAACGCAACCGTAGAAAACATTCAGAATGCAATTTATATAAAAAAAACATAACCGTAAAATATATATTTTAATTAATAAAAACATTAACGAAAAGTTGCGATAAAAAGACGCAACCGTTCAGATCTGCAAATGGTATTTATTAGATTGCTATTATATATAGATTAAATGATCAAAAAGGCTATTCAGTTAATTGTCCCTATATTAAATTGGAGGAACATTGAGAATCCAAAAAAAGATAAATAAACAAAACTTTACTTATTATTACGAAATGTTGTTTTGCCAAATGCCAATTCGAAAAAAGGATTAGAATAAGGGACATATGAATGAAAAAGTGAGAGAAACTCTTGAAGCTTCGAATAATTCTGTAGATACCATCTGAGAGATTACCACCATTGTTGTTGTCCATCTTTGTGTAATCTTTTTTAAATGAGCTATTTTCATCACTTTCTACTCTTCCTTATAAAGCCAAAAAGGAAAAAAGATCATTCAGAAAAAAAAAGGAGAGAGTAGAAACGGCACATACGAATGAAAATGCGAGTGAAACTCTTGAAGCTTCGAATAACATTGTAGATACCATCTGAGATATTTGCACTGCTATTGTCCATCTTTGTATATTCTTTTTTAAATGAGCCATTCTCATCATCTTCCTCTCTTCCTTAGAAAACCAAAAAGGGAGATAGTTCAGAAAAAAATGATAGAAGAAGCAAGGCTAAAGAAAAAAAGGGGGAAGTGTGATAAGAAGGTACTCTTGATGAGTTGGTTTGGTTTCTTGTGTTGATGAGTAGTGGCCACGGCGACGCAAGATTGCGTTGAACACCCTAACGAAAACGGCAATATCAAAAACCGCTCCATCCGATCTTTCATCTCTATCCCTCAAAATGTATGTATTTATGTATGGATGTTACAAATATGTTATGCGTGTGTGAGTGAGTGAAATGATGGAAAAGTAAGGATTTTGGTAGGGTTTATATTGCAATTTCGTGTATGTTTATAACTTTGTAAGCAAGTTAGTATCATTATCTCCTTGAATAATTTTGTAATTCCTAACCCAATAAAGGAATAGACAGAGGGAGAGAGAGATTATGAGTGTCATACTGTCATTATTGAGTATACTTGGGGTTGCTTTAAGTTGGCCAACAGTGCCACTTAACCTAATTTCAAGATTAAAAGATTCAAGATAACCCCCACACCTTCCACTTTTTCCTCCTTACCCAATAATCTCCCATCTTTGTATTTTAATCAATACCATAATTAGACTAAGTAGCTCCGTGAGCCACCCTCCCACGACACTCGGAGAGACATAGTTACATGTACAGTACTCAGTTTACAACAACTTTCCATCTGTTGTGAAATACACAATCCAAAATTCAAGAACCGAGCTGACCAAGCCCGCAAAAGCGGCAAGACTATAATAAACATGGCTATATCAAACCAATGCAACCATAAGGGTTATAACCTCGTTATGCTTCTAATCAGATTATAATATATTGATAGTCTGATACTTATATGTTTCTATATCTAAACAAGATTAGATTATAGTCCAAGAGTTCATCACTCATTAAGCTTTTCTTTTTTTTTTTGTCTCTGGCCCCTCACTTGTAAAAGAAGCCACAACTCTCTGGGCGTTAATCTTAGAACCAAATCCAACTCTACTTCAGAGAGATACGAAGGAATTTTCCCATCCCACCTAAAACAAATATTATGTTTCTAAACTTTATCTAACTATTTATATGCATATAAGCCATTTTAAATATAATCGACTAATTCCCCCAGATGCACAGACAGTGTCTAACAGAAGTTGGTGTTGATAAGTAAAAATAATAATTAATGGTGGCCTTACACTGCATAATTTACATAGTCGCAATGGAGGAGATAGAAAGGAAAAGACCCGTGATTCTACACACTTCAAACCTACAAGAAATATTTCATTCTTTCGTCTCTCCTCATTGCATTGTACACAGCTTGAACCTGTCAAACCAAACAACACAAGTTCTCATCACATCAGTCTGCAACTCCTAACTTTCTGACATCTTCTCTACAAATAAGGTTTGATTCTCTATGCTTCTTGTGCCTAAATACCCATATTGCTTTTCATATGTGTATATGAGTGTGTGTGGGAGAGAGGGGGGAAAGGGAAAAACCTGTTCGCTAGAGACAACTTGGATAGGGCCAATGTTCACCGACACATATTTTCCTTTGCTTGATAACGTCTGCTTTACACAATCCTTTAATGGGGGAAACAAAATTTGCAACATTAGTAGGATTCTCGTGTTCTCAGTATTAGAATATTGCTTTTTCGACA